CCTGGCTAGCTGGCATGACAGCTTTGCGCATTAAAGTGTTTTTGTCGGTAGGCCCCGGTTTCACCGAGGCCCTGACTGCTCTGCCCTGCCGCCTGGTTCTGTTCATCAAAGAATGCTAAACAGGACACAGTTAGCACACCACCCCTTGAGCACAAACGGCCGAGCGTCACCCGGGCTTTATTTAGCTCGAGGATGATATTGTCCCCATAGAACCTTGGAAGTCCGAAAGGTCTCGTTGCTAGCAATAAACACGTCAGTGATTTGCGGCTGTTATTAGTTTGTCGCGGACCCCATACTTGGTGGTAACCTGGAGCTTAACGCCCCGTTTTGTGCAACATGCGGGTCGAAGTCACCTGGCAGGAATTGCTCTGCGCCGTCTTCACTGATTTCTTCCAACCCAAAGCTGTCTTCGTATTTGACGTGAAAGCCTGGTGACTTATGGAAGAAGAGGAGGCACCCCTCATGGCGTCGTCCGCCATGCCAGAGATACCCCTGGCCCTGTATCCGTACAATACGTTTTATCTTGGGTTGATAAGACTTAGAGGATCGAAGCAGTGTGTATTGAAATAGCTTAGGTCGGCAGTGAAGTTGGGGCATCAGACATGAGTGTTCAAGATCGATCAGATACCAGCGGAGTTGACCATGCGTGCGTGCTTTCTTGTCTGGTTCACATCCGGATCAAATACCTAGGTAGACGGCCCTGCACCGGGTCTTCGTATGTAGTGTACATACGGATAATGCATTGGGCGGGGGTCAAGGCTCGTCAATCGTGCGCGATTAAGGAAAATTGCATGCTGATCATCTCGCGGAAGCAAGTTTGGCTTTTGTCTATCCAGCCACGCCCCTAAGTGACCTAGTGCACGAAACCAAATATGGTCGAACAGACTTCCGCCGACTGACAAGGAGTAGGATCGCTGGCCTTCAGTATCCTTACGTACTTGGTCCCGGTACATGATGCGCAGGTAAGGAGAGACGGCTGCTGTCCAAAGGGCACCGACCTCCTCGAGAAATCGGGAGACCTCTGGTATTAAGGAAGCGTATCCGTGTTATCTAAGTACCTTATTATTAAAAAAAGTTAATTCTTTTTAAGTTATAAGTATAAGAATATAGTTTTAATAAAATAATATAGTACTTACTTAGTATTTAAATTAAAATACTTTTTTAAGCTCGTTATAAAAAAAAATAATTATATTATTAACTACTTATTATTAAGATTTATAATATTATAGTTTTAATTATAATAGCTTTATTTATAATAAGTAAAAAGTTTAATTATAAGTCCTTTAAAAACCTCTTTTTAAGGGTTATAAGAGCCTCTAAATTAAGTTAAAATACTTATTAAAATATTAATAACTAAACTAACTTTATAATAATAGTTTTAATAAAAAAACTAAGAAATAAATTAAAAAATAATACTAAAATCTTTATTAATATTAAATATAATTTATAAAAAGTAATAATATAATTATAAAATATTAATAATATATTTTATATTAAAAAGATTATTATTAATATTAATAAAATAAATAGGGCCGTATTAATATAATACTTTAGCTTTTTTTATAATTTAAAAACTATAGCTTTAAACAGTATTAAAAGTTTATTAAAAAGCTTTTTTAAATATTTTAATATATTTATTACTATTTTTATAATAATAAGACTTTTAATATTTATATATAAATATACGTTATTTATTTTTAAATAGTAATATTAGCTTATTAATAAGCTATTAAAACTATAATTTTAGTGATTTTTTAATAAGAGAGAGGGTAGAATAGAGGAAAGGATAGGTAAGAAAAGGGTTAAGGTTAAATAGTACGGAATTCGAGGGTAGGGTAGCGTCTATATGTACTATAGAAATCCTTTAATAATACAAAACGATGGAGTTAAACAGTGGTATCCGTGTCGTCGTCCTAAATCGAGAGAGCTTCAAATCAGCCACGCGTCCTTGTGGCGCGGGTGGGCACAGCACAGAGCTGACAGCCATAATTCTAGCAACCCCGAGAATGTGGCTGGGAAAGTGAGCCTGCCTTATCTTGATCACCGCTTCGTATTGGTGCATGAGCGAGAACGTGACGGCGAGGATTTCCAACCTTCGTTAAGTCGTCAACTGAAAGGCGGCCGTGAAAGGGACGAAGCGTGCCCGTATGTGAACGCTTGAAAGGGAATGTGGGCTATGAGTCGTGATACCTACGGATAGTCAGTATCGAACCATCGACGGAGACGCGGGAAACAAATCGGCGTAAGCCCGACTCGGTCGAGTCTTTGGCAAAGTGCACTGTTGATGCGCAGTGTTGGGCGGAAGATGATGAGTCGGTGACAAGACACGCCGATGCTGGAGGACAACTTCTGTGACAAGTCTAAGTGGCACACGGATCGTAGCCGTGTGATCCGGCCATTGGGAATGGCAGGGCTCAATGGCTCAGACTTTGAAAAGGTCTCGCCTGGCTGTGATCACCCTTGAATAACACGGTAGTGTGCTCCATACTGTGTTGGGCCTTGAACGTTGGTAGGATGAAGGCGCAGACGTACTGTGTAAGTAGCCAGATAGGTAGATGAGTCGAAAGTCTTGGCCAATGTGGCTTCCAACGATGAGGTGGTAGGCCCAGGGTGTCTAAGTGAGTGATATATTCCACTGAAGATCATGCTGTCCTAGGCAGGCCGCAGGCGCATGTGCGCAGAAAGTGTTGCATTAGGTTTCAAGGTCTCCAGGGCCCACGGCATAACCCTTATGAAGTTTGTGAAGCGATGAAATCAGTGACCAGCCGGACGTCAGCAGCGGAATGTTGGCAGTAGCGCTTTGGGTACTCCGTATATCCGTTTGGATTGAGAGACATGTATAGGTGCAGTTGGTACTTGGCGGCATACAAGCTAATTCTGATTAGCCGTCTCCGCGCAGACGTCTACCGGTATCTCAGTGGTGCAGGGATGTCGCTTCAGCAGGGCTCGCCTTGCTGATCTGAAAAGTTGGCTGACACTAGACTACTAGCCTTTGGATGGGCATATAAGGTAGAGGATACTTGCTCACTGCTTACAGGGTAAGCCAAGTGACAGGGACTTGTGACCGCGAGGCTATTCTGTTACCGGGTTGTTGCACCTACCTGATATTCGCACGCGGTGGGTGAAGGCGGCACCGTGCCGCCATAAACACCATTGATGAAGAGACTGTTGTCCGTACCTCTGTCCGTAAGCTTCGAACCATCGCTAGTGAATCGTATTTGGCTCCGTTTCGGGGAACGTTAGGGAGATGGATGGATGTTGAAGAGATCTCGCCTCTTCAGGCAGGTGGTCCATGAACCTTGAAGGCTAAGGTACTGAGCCAGGGCGTCAACTTTCGAATGACCGAGGCGCTGTTCAAATGCCTACCTTACCTGATGTTAGGAACACCACCGAAACGAGCCCTGCTCGCGCCTCCTACTGCCGGAAAAAGGTTGAGTGGGCAGCGAGCCAGGACGATTGGTGTGCTGTCTCCCCAAGGTCGTTGCTAATTACGTGGCAGAGAAGCGACGCATACAATGGTTTGGTCGTAAGCCAGGACAGGGCCACGGGGTTTGGTGAGTACTGAGTAGTGCAGACTGTACGGAGTACAGAGTGTTGCCAAGGCTCCACAGATGATTCAACCAGGTCTGCAATAGCTCACCGGGTATCGGGAAGCTTCTGGGATGTCAAATGTGCATCGACGAGGCCTAAATTGGATGAGAATGGCAGGCACGCGGCACGATGCTTTCATACGACGTGACGGCGTGATGCAGAACGTCGAAACCGAGCATTGCTGTCCATTGGCCCAATGATGCAACCAATCAAGCGGATGGAACGTTCCCAAGACTCAGCAGCAGCCGAAGGATTGAAATGGGTGACGTGGTGGTAGCAGGGGCAAGTTTCCCTGGATCATTCGCCGGGCATGAGATCTAGGTACACAGGCGAAGGTGAGGGTGTGAGGGCGACAAGATGATTGGGCGGCAAACACTGCGCAACGCTTGCTTATGTTAACGCAAAATAATACCCAAGCACCGTCTGTCCTGGGGGATCCGTCTGATGGGAGCAGAAAGACTTCAGCCGGGAAACGGGAGGGATCCGTTGCCATTTGGGGAGGGGTGGAGGGCGTGTTCCGAGAAGTTAGAACTTTGAACCGCTGTGGCATCGATAAGCCTTCGGTCACGTACCGTTAATGGCGTTTGGATGAAACGAAGATGGAAGGAAATCCAACGATGAAAGCGAGCGAGGCGACAACGAGGTCACGTGCGCAGTGTCTCGTGTGTTCTTGTGTGCGTGTGTGCTTCGCGAGTTCACGGGTCCCATCTCACACAGACCGCCGTGCTTGGGTGAATCCAGGGCGGCTAGACCCAGAATCCCAGACCATCTTTTGTATGTATCCCGCAGAAGAATGGAAAACCTAGATGCGTATGCAAGCTGCAAGGTGCGGTCTGAGTGCACGCTGCAGCAGTGCAGCAGTTGCAGCCGCAGGACACGAAGAAGGCGGAGACCCTCAGTCAACCCCGGCCCCCTCCCGTTCTAAATTCTGATATTCCGATGAGACTTATTAGCACTCAAACACCCCAAACGCTGTTGGACCAGTCCTGTTGAAAGCCTAACAATCGGCAGGCTTGCGCGCTCCCCGGTGTTGTTGCCGCTTGATGCGCCGGCTGGAGTCTGGAGAGCGTGTCAGGGATACGTGTTGGCGGACTGTGGCACCCTGACAAAAAACCGAGACTAGAGTAGTCCATGTGCATACTTCGTACGAATACACAGCAGAAATCAGGAGGGTCCAAACCGGACGCATATCTATATGCATCTGCGGTAATCATGGCGGAGGAAATGCATACCTCCAGCGTAACCGGGCTGCAAGCAGTCAAGTGGAGAGAAGCGAGTTGATTCGGGTCGGCACGGCCATGATAGGCATACGTACGGGACGCATGTTGTGAAAGATATTTGCACGAATGTCAGGGCTACTCCTGCCGTGTCAGTCCTCAAGGGTTGCTGATTGAAAAACAAACATGGTTTCACCAAAGGATGAGGAGTGTAGGTAGGTTAGATGTACGGACGTCGCTGGCAATCCAGCAAGCACTTACTTCGTACACTGTCAACGACCGCCAATGTGCTAATGTGTCCGTAGTGGTGTAGCACCCCAAAGTACGGCCCAATACACGCCGAGGTGATTGCCCGATGGCTATGCCTAAAGTGAGACTGGAGTAAAGGGCGCCAGCCGCCAGGCGGACACTCATAGCTGGTGGATTTGGCGGCTTGCCTGGAAAATTGGCAATAATGAGCAACAGAATGACTAAATAGACCAGTCCAGGCCGCCACTCGTGGAGGGAGCCCCTCGCGTCCGCTGTCCAAGTGGGTTTCCTGCTGGTCAGTGGTGAGAGGAATGCGAGCGTGAAATGGACGCCTGTCCTGTAGGGTCTGTACCCACCGCGCCACAGTTCCGTATATCCGTACGTATTTCCTGGGTTGCGTTGGCCGAGGTGGCCCAGCGGAACAAGACGACAAAAGTTGACGGCGGCGAGGGATTCCACGACAGGAAGGCCACAGGCGCACAGAGAAGGTGAGACAAAGAAACCACAGGTGGACGTCAGACGTTGTAACGATCGAGGGGAACTCCATGCTGTTGCCGCACGAGATTGGAGCAAGGCGAGGGAGCGAATGAGCGGACGCAAGCCAACGAGTCTTGCTGATCCATACCTACCAACGTGGTACCTTGGCCTGGAGTCCTTGTCAGTGCCTGTGCTTTGATGGTTGATGCGATTCAGCGCTTGCCGGGTAGTCCAGAGCAGGCTTTGGGTGGAATGGCATCTGCGGAAGCTGATCTCTAACCGCTGGACGTCCAAAGTGAGGAGTGACGTGGAAATTGGTCCTGGGGATTCGGGGAGTACCAGGGTGGCACGGTGGCAGGGCTTCTCCACCGATTGTAGCCACCGCTTTATCGATACCGTGGTTTCCCTGACCATAATCTCCTCTCGTGGAGCGGACAAGACCCCTCGATCTCGGATCACCTGCGGCCTGTCCACTTCAACCTTCTCGAAGCTGTCTGGGAACAGGGACTGGTGGGAACCCAAGAGCCAGAGCGGCTGCCAAAGCCTTGGGGTGCAATGTCCGGAAGTTGCCTGGCTTGTCCAGCAACTAGAAAAGGTGTGAGGTACTTCGTAGTGCGCACCATCATAGACGAGCAGGCTGCAATCGACTCGTTGGGCCAACTGGACCGCATTTCTCGCACAGCCCGTAGTAATGCCCAGTTTGTGCCTGGCACCCGGCGCTCTCGTCCATGAGCTTGCCGGTGGTTATCCGGGTCTTTAGAAGACTTGGTTATTTGTTTCCAGATCGTGATGTACGAATAGGGTCGGCATGGCATTTCTGGCCTTCTGGTCGGCAGGCATTCTCGAGTGTGACCTCTGAAGTCTCGGAGCAAGGCTGGCCTCAAAAATTAGCAATGGCGAGTAAAACACCAATGGCTTGGCCCATCAGACCTTGAATGCGCGTCCATGTCATACGTCCGGACATCTTCAGATGGGAGGGAACGGCCTGAAGCACAGCCGCGGATGGAGGAGCTTGCTTGCTAGTCTTTCGGGGCGGGGCGTGAGGGGAGATCGGCTGGGGCCCATTTCTCAACTTCCCAGGGCAGCAGTCATGGGCTCGAGACACCGTGCCTGATACCACAGGAGACCTAGCCAAGGTGGAACAAGAGCTCGCTTCACAGGCCGTCGGCTTGCTCAAGGCTCCAAATGCCACCGATATTGACCCAGTATTGGCGTCCACACACACCGCAAGGGGCGCAACATCCCCGTGCCCCCCTTCTAAAAGGAAGCTCATACCCCTAGAAGGAAGGGTAGGCCGGCCTGGGGGTGTTGTCGGTGAGACTGGGTACCGGACGTGCTGGCGTAGACAGGGGCAGAAGAAGCGCTGAAAGTTGGAACATGGCCTGGAGAAAAAAGATTACCGGCCTCCGCAGTAGAGACTGGGTAATGGGGTGCTGAGAAATGTGGTGGTGCATGGGTCCAAACTCTCCAATCGCGGGCTCGCCTCAGATGACGGGCGTCTCCATCTGTGGCATGGGCCATGGATAGACAAGTGACGGGCATGCAGATTGTTGGTGTGCGGTGGTGTATCCGTACAGACATAGTTAGTGGTACGTGGTGGTGCCGAGTTACGTTAGCTGAAGTCTCTCTCGTTGGAACTTGGAGTCGACAAGCTCAAGTCTTGCGGGATGCATAAGTCCACCTCGCACCACATCAGGCTGGCCGACCTTATACCTGAGGCCACATAATTCCTGTGTGTCTTTCCCTCTTTAGCCTTGAGTCAACAGCAAAGCAAGTGCCCCCCCACTCGTTGTGTTCATGTTCTTGGGCACTATCTTTGCCTGAGGTTGCAATGCCTTGCCTTCTCCTTTTGGGCGCCATCCTCCTGCACTACCTAAGGCCCCTTCCTGCAATCTTTGTAAAGTATACATTCCAAGACATCAGGATGTGACTATGAAGCCAGGTACGGATACCTACCTAGGCAACAGAGTGAATTTGGCTCAGGTTCATCATCTATGGGCGGCTGTTCGAAATTTGACAGTACGTGCCGCTTGCTTACGGATACTTTCCCCAGCCATGGAAGTTCCGTCTTCGCTGTCCGGAAACTACCTTATGTGCCTGCTGCGGTGCATCTTGGTCGTTTTTGCCCGCAAACCTTCCTCCATAATTTGTGCCTGGGTATGGGGTGGGGGCCGTCAATAACTGCAGCCGCCTTTTGACTTCTGCTCGAGAAGAGAGGGGCGATTCCGTATCTATCTTTTTTTCTATTTGCCTTTCTTTTTTCTTCTTCCTTCCCTCTCTCCGCTCCGTATGCTAGTCACACAGTCTGCCGCAGCCCACTTTGACTTCACGGAAGTGACAAGCAATTACTCCGTAGACGCTAGACAATTAAGGCAAGTCAGGTCGCAGCACAAAACTTGCAAGTTACGGTCTCCAATTTGACTCCAACTATCCGTACGGAGTATGGAGACAGAGTGACAAAGATGCGTGCCTACCTTACTGCCTCGCCCTGGCCTGTGCCCCTGGATCCTTCTCTGGGTCCCTTCTTTCCGTCCTTGAGCCTCGTGTCTGGCCGCATGCCATGCCGGTTCTCGCCCTGTCTGTCTCTACTCTCCACGGAGTACGAAGTATGTACCTTACTGCGCATTGCGCTGTCAGGGCTCGAGAGCAGGCGCTGCCCTTGATTGATCCCGTCGTTGTGGTCCTGATCCTCTCAAACTCCCGTCCCTATTGACGTTCGCTACTGTATCGCCCTAATACTGCGTATAGTGTCCCTACCGAATCCACAAGCGGCAGCAGCGATGCTATATCTGTTGCGGAGCGGATGGGATAGGATTGAACTCCTTCTCATATTCCCGGGGGTTGGGGCTCCCTCCTGGGTAAAGGGGGGTGGTGTGGAAGGTTTCCACTACCTGGGTTTCCATTGATGTCTCACTATGTCCCAAGTATTGACTACCTTGTCGTGCATTCTTCCCGTCTCTCTTTCCTGACGAGTTACCGCACCTTCGTAACCTTCCTTCTTCTTCTTTCATCTTTTCTGAGGTACCTAACTTTGCTACGGAGGAAGGTACGCAGTACTGCCACTACTGCCATGAACCGCTCTTCGCCGGCTTGGCGTTTCTTACCTCAAGTGTCAACCCCCCCCCCCCCCCCCCCCCCCCCCCCCCCCCCCCCCCCCCTCCCCCCCCCCCCCCCCCCTCCCCCCCCCCCCCCTCCCCCCCCCCCCCCCGCCCCTCCCCCCCCCCCCCCCCCCCCCCATCTTCCTTGTACCCTCTTCGCCTTTCCTCCTTTTGCTCTTTTCCAATCTATGGACATTGACTGTGCTCTGTCCACACAAGACACCATGCCCATGCCTGTGGAATTGGACCTTCGGCACCCTACAGCTCCCGCAACGCATACCACGCCCAGGTGGGACAGCTGACTCTTGTTTGAGGACTGGGCATGAAGGAGGGGCCAAGCTCGGAAAGAAAAAGCGGATGGCTGCGTACCGGTATACTTTGGTCCACAACGCAGTTGCCAGCTAAACAACCGGTACACAGTACTCTTCCGCCAAGCAGGCTGAGTGATGCCGCCCAACCATCTTCCATTCATCGACCAACTAACTGTCTTTGTTAGTTATTCCTCGGCCGCTGGCTGTGTGAGCGTCTTTAACATCCTCTTGCGTCGACATCCATGATCCATATCGGAGGTTTCGCAATCCCACGTTCCAATCTGCCGCCAATTTGCCCGGTCGAGAGTCGGACTGTCTTGCCAACACACTTTTTGCCCGCACCCGCTTGCCGAAACCAAGAAACAGTCCATGCTCGCCTCCCTCATCTAGATAGACACGATCATGGATGGAACCTGCTGTGGAGGAACCATGATGGCTTGTCACCTCGACATCTCACTGGCTGAAGCCTGAAGCCTGAAGCCCCCGCGATGTCCGCGATGGGGATCTATCGACAGACCCGTCTACGGGTACGCAACTTTTTTTTATTCCTCTCTCATGACCGATGACACCCACGTTTACGACTCAAGCCTATGCTTGCATGACCTGGTCATCAAGACAATCTCGGCCGGACCACTTGGGGCTGATGAGCGTGACCAAAGCACGCCGCCTGCGTCTCCGGAAAGCATCAAAAAAACCATCAACTAATACCCACTCGCCATTCACTGCAACAACACGGCCCATGGCTTTCGGGCTGCCACCACTCTATTCCTGTCCAGGACATGCGCATCCACCGCCTCCGGTTAATTCATAGTCCTCGTCACGCTCAGCTTGCACAACACAAGACTCAAGCGGATGCATCCCAAAGCTCCATTCAGCGTACTCCGTACGGATTCCTCACCAAGAAAGTCTGAGCGAAACAATGAGACTAGCCCATAGGCTGTCCTGCCCGGCGGACGGAGTGTTGCCAATTAAGCTGTCACCTTGGAATGAGATAACCTGCGGCAACTCTTTCAAATCGGCTGACTAGCTTTTGGCTTGTTTCCTCGCAGTTGTTTTGACACCTACCTAGGTGTCCGTACGTGTACAAACCGTGTTCTCCATTCCGTCTGTTGACGCTTGGAAAAAGAGCCAAGAAGGCGACACGTTACTCACGACATCCACACCTAAATACCAAAGCCGCAACTCTCACATACATGCTGCGCTCGATTAGGTACCTAACAAAACCCGTACCGCCTCTCGCCGCTGTCTCCGCAAACCATCTTCCAGAGTCCAGGGCCAAGGGGTGTATGGATAGAACTGCAAACCAACACTGTCGGTTGAGCGAGATCTGTGATCCGCTCCCATCCGTCCCACCTACCATCCTTTTGGAAAGCGGCTTGTCAGTCGACGCTCACACACCCTCTTGGCAAACGCCCCATTTTGACCGCAAGGATGGCTGCAAACAATCAACGTTCCGTTTCGTACCTTGAGCTGTCGCTCAACAGGGCTTGAAATCGTCCCTGTAGGGACTCCGCATGCACGTCCTCCTACCGGTAGACTATTGCACGCGCATCCGTACGATCTCTCACGGCCAATGCCGATGCCCAGCAAGGAACTACAGTCCTTCTCTTACGGATACATGGTAGTCTTGTCTGGTAGACGCCAAAAGCATGGTCTGGTCGGCAGGCGTGAGTCAAACAAATACCACAAATCCGATTTGGAACCCGTCTACTCGTATACTGCGTACGGCATTGGGGAAGTGATCGAAGCATACATCGCATCATAGCCTGCAAAGTTTCTGCCGACAACCTACCTGGCAGCCGGCTTGCTTTCTCGAACAAGTACGTACTGCCCGACCAGGGGTTCCCTTATGCGGAGCCATCTCCGTGCTTCTCTCAAAGTTCTTCTGCGCCCTGAGACCAAGACCCCGATGGAGATCGTGGATTTTCAGAAGTCTGTGCTTTCCGCATGTTATTTTTTCTTTCTCCTTTTGCCTTGGATCTTTCTAAACGGAGTATTGACCGTACGATGGTCAGAAAGTTTTCCGCTCCGTTTTAAAGACAACGACTCAACGATGCTTCCTAGTGCAGCAAGGACCAGATGAATCTTTGTCTCATTTCCACGATGTTGCCAGTCATCAGCCGGCTCGGTACCAGAAGCGCATGCCGTGGTCGCACTGCAAGTTCCTCCTTTCCAAGTTAGCAGACAGGAGGGTCTATTGATCACACACACACACACACACACACACACACACCACTGTAGGTATGTGTACGGACATTGTGTCTTCAGTTATCAATGGTAGGCAGCTAGGTAATTGGCACTTTCCCGGAAACCACCAAAACATGTAAAGGCAAGCCGCAAGATGCACATCCCCATCTTCACATACCAGCGTCGCCGTGCTAGGGGCCTAAGTGGGAGGGAAGGCTTGAGGCTTGGAGCCTTAGAGGGATGACGGTCATGGATTTATGGTCCCAGGAGCGGGTGTCTCTCCCCTTGGGTTCCATACCTAGATCCCCGAAGGGCTAGCACTGCAACGCCCCTTCTCATCCGACCCGTCAGTTCGAACTACCTAGGCGTACCGGGGTGTTTTCATCCTCGATGGCGGCTTGTGACTGGTCAGACGGTGACGGGACTCGAACGACTCAATGCAATAAGTCCACCCCCAGGGTCAAGGGGATAAGACCTGCCGCGACGCCGCGTGTGGTTTCCCTTGGACCCCTTCTCAACTTTTGGGTCCCTGGAAAGGAGGCGGCACACTCTTCTCTGGTGACACTACTTCGTAGTGTACGAATACCTAGCGCTGTGTGGTCCGTAGGTGGTGCCGGTGGTATCCGTACTTTGTATCCCTGCCCCAGAGCAGCAACCTGGAAGGTATCCGTACCGCAGTCCAGTCGTGTTGCACGAGACGCAAGCAGGGATAGCATCTCTCACAGAGTCCCAGACTCCGACCTGGCGGCGTGAGCGCCTGGGCCGAGCGGTTCTTTCTGGGGCCAAGGACATTCCATCCATCTTCTCTTTGGTTTCCTTGCGTCCTTGACCGCCCGCCGCTCGTGAAGCCCCCCCTCTAATGGACCATGATCCATCTCTGGGGCTGCTGCAGTAAGTACTTGGGTACCGGGAAGTGCTAGACTCTCTCCTCTCAGTCTTGAGTCTTCCCTCCCAAGACCTAACTTCCCAAGACCCAGCCATTTGCCCAGAATCAGAATCAGATGCCCTGTCCTGACCCCCCTTGGCCCCCTGGCCTGTGCCTGCTCACCCGTTGACCAGGACGATACCTTGCGTGCCGTTGTCCCTCAGGCACTTTGTCTTGGTCGTACATTTTCGAACCTTGCATCCCGCCATGGCACTGCAGTCACAGTCGGTTTGGCATGGCGCGGTGCGAGGTGGAGGGAACGTAGGCAGTACGTACTCTGTGGCCAGGGGCTGTCCAATGTCCCATCTCAGGTGCCTTCTGTTACCCAAACAATGAAGACGCGACGCTCACTCAGTCAGTCAGTCACTCCTTCACTCCTCACTCAGACGGCACCCACCGAGTCCTCAGTCCTGGCCAGCACACAGCGTCCTGTGGCATTGGTACCGCAACCTGGTTTGCTCCACACTCCATTCATCCACCCACCGCCGACGCTCCCTCCCTAGCACAGTAATCCCATCCGTCCATCCATTCAACCATCCATCCCTCCTCCAGAGAGTCCAGAGTCTGGTGGGTGAGTGTCCACTCGTGCCCATTCACACGCTACGGTGTGCCAGAGAGGCCAGGGCCACACAATCTGAGCTAGAGTACCAGGGCAGCGAGACCAGCGAGGCGAGGCAATCAACCACTTATCCACTTCCGCATCCACATCCACACCCACCGCTGCTTTGCCCACACGCACACCAGCGCTATCGACAAGTCTGTCCCATGCTTCACTCCTCCCAGACTCCCAGTGCCTCCCTCCTCTTCCTCTCCTCCCCCCATATGGCCGTGCCCCCCCCCCCCCCCCCCCCCCCCCCCCCCCCCCCCCTCCCCCCCCCCGCCCCCCCCCCACCCCCCCCCCCCCCCTCCCAACTCCCCCCGCCTCCCCCCCCCCCCGCCCCCCGCGGCCCCCCCCCCCTCCCCCCCCCCCCCCCCTTTGGCGGGCCCCCCCCCCCCCCCCGGCGGTCGTGGAGTACCTACTCTAAGAGGTACCTCAAGCCCCAAAGGGAATCAGCCGCCTCGTCTGCTTCGACTCTGAAATGCACGACGCTCCGAGGTGAGATCCATGCTCAACCAATATGACGCAGCCCGCTGGCCGCCCCCCTTACCATCTAGTGTACCTAGAATCCCAGACACCTTCTTCGTTCCCATACTATGCAGTCCGCACTCACCTCAGTTACGGAGCACACACCCATACCGGTACCCCATGCGCTCACACGAAGAAAGACGGAAACAGTACGTACCATCCCTGGCCAGCCACGCCTGGGACGCCTGCCGCCTGCGCTGGCTGCGCGGATACCTCCCATCAACATCCCATCCTCCACCCATGCAAGCAACCCGCGCTCGCAGCCTTTTGGTACGAAGTACACACACACACACACACACACACACACACACACATGCCAAACCGTTCATGGTCTGAATTACTTGTTGGCCCACTTCGCACCCTTGGGCGACTTGCTCCTCTATGTACGGATACTGGAGCTAAGGTTTGATTTTATCCTTCAAGACCGATCTAGTATCACCCATGTCTTTTCTCGCTACTGTAATCCCTTGGGCCTTTTGGGACCATGACCTCTTGTCCATACATAGCCTGGGCTGAGTCCGTCCTTTCCATATCACGTATATCATCATCATCTACCGCATGTCCTACAACTAGGAACTCTTAGTTAAGAAACAAACAACCCGCAACCTCTCCCATCTTCATTCACCATCTCTATTTACCACAACACAACACTTGTCTGGCACCTACTACACACACACATACATCAAACAAGATGATGCCCACACTTATGGGAGGCGTTCTTCCTGGGCCCGTTCCCACACCCTATCACACCGACACCTTTCTGGACGACTTGTCGAGACAAATGGCCATCTCCCAAGCTTCACGGAGACTATCTCGAGGCTCCAACGGACAACGCAACGCAGGAGCTATGCGTGTAGCCAAGCCCACCAGCGCCAGCAACAGCCCGAGATCAGCAGCAGCCATGCAGGCAAGGAGGAGGACTGTGGTGAACGACGGAAACCTGGCGAGGCGGAGGCAGCAGCCCATGGACCAAGTCCCGATGCCCGACTATGGATCTCAGTCACGACCGAGTCGTCCCCTCAGCTGGCACCCTTCGACCTTTCAACAACAGAAGATGGCCGTCCCTCAGAGCATGGCACAATACCCATTCCCTCCTGTCACGTCGGCATATGACACGGACAGCTACCACGTATACCAGCAATTCCCACCAACACCGGCAGCCTACTCGTGCAACACTTCACCTGTTGCCTCATTCTCCCCTTTGTCACTCCCTTTTGGAGGATATGATGGGTCCAACTACCTGCCTGTCGAGGGCTGGAACGTGCCTCCTCAAGCACCACCGGCCTACGTCTCTTCAGACAACACTGGCTACGCTGAGCCTTTCCCATCTCTACCAACTACGCTCCCGGATCTTACGCCGTCTTCCACCTCGACACAATGGAATTCGCACCATGTGCACGGCTTCACTAGCACTTCTCCGCCCACCCCCGAAACGCTGCCGCAGGCCCAGCAGCCCCAACCTATCGTCCCGAATGAGGACACTATCCCTTATCAACCCCTCGACGAGCCTGAGGAGGAGGGAGAGATCCTTGTGGGCATGGGACTCTATGACGCTCCCGACAAGTATGATCAGGACCCGCAACTCGACACATCTCGCTCTGCCATGTCCTCGCTGCTGGGCGTTTCTTTCCGCCCTCTGGAGGGTACGGGTAAGGGCCTGAAGCTTGAGGAGTCGTGGCAGCCTCCTGAGAGCGATGACGAGGATGAGGATGAGCAGGACGATGCTGATGGCGAAGACTCGGATTAATGACACGACCAAAAGGAAAAGGACAACTCTCACACATTACAACACCAGCGCAAGCGTTTGATGATTTTACGACGAAACCCTGTAGACTTTGTATGATATCAAGAAGATGTACCATCAAGAATCGGGCTTGGGGGATCTTTGGGGACTGCAAAGACGGAGCATCACTATGCATGCTCCTCATGTCAAAGAAGCGAAGAAGATGAATGGAAAGGCAAAATACCCAAAGATAGAAGCATGGGCCAAATTTGTGGCCCTGGCGTCACAAAAGGCAAAGGCCCATGAAAAGCGCCTAGATAGAAACTATCAAAACGCGTAAAGCGAAAAACGGAACATATACCTACACTCTGCATAGTCCCTTCGCCCTCCAATGTGATTCCTAGAATCAAAGTAATAGCTGCCGCTTAGTTGATAATCACAAACTTGCAACAGCTGCACCAACACGGCCAACACGACCACGAGGATTACATGGTGACAGAGGCGCCGGATGGAATGGAATTTGGAAGTGCAATCGTCAACGCGGACACTAAAAATAAGCGAAAAAGAGGCTCCCGAATGGCACCCCTGTCGAGGCATGGCATGAGCTGCATGTGGGTCCGAGTCTCCCCTGTCACATTTTGTCAGCCGTCCAATCAGTCGAGAGAGATAGCTCCCCGCCCCCGCCGTTCTGGCCAGCCCTGCCGGGTCAAAACACCCCGCCCGTGGCCCCTAGAAATTTTCTTTGGTGACCTCACCGTAGCCCAGTTGCACACCCAGCCACCTCCCTCCCTCTCCCCTCCCGTCCTCTCCTTTCCCACCGTACTGTGCGAGGTTATCCGTACGAATACCGAGCGTGCACCTCCATCTCTTTGCTGCCCGTCTCTGACTACGCAGTATGTGTGGCGAGTGAACCTTCCATTAGAGAGTTTTAGACTCCAATGATGAGGGGTCGAGGGGGAACAGCCGCCGTTATCGGATCGAACTTGGCACCTTCAGTTCTTTACCCCACCATGGATGCTTTGGAAATTTTCCTCGCTCGTCGAGTCACGAATCGCGAATTACGACATTGAGAGAAAATAATTGGGCTCCAGTTCGGCTTCTCTCCCGTCAATCTCGAGTCCAAGTTCGGGTGGGTTCCCATTCTGGCTTACCCCTCTTCTTCCGTTCGCTGCTGCTGCTGCTGCTACTGCTGGTCGGAACCTGGATTGACTCACACAGAACAACCAAAAAAGTTGCATCAAGTTCAACCACGATACCATCATCATCCGGAAGAAACTAGTTGAATTTCAAGATGGCATCCCAGTAAGCCTGATACTCCCGTCGAATGCTTAACTCTTAAACAACTTCTAGTCGCTAATGGATTGATGACAATAGGAGCGTTTTGATGCTCGGCGCGGGCTTCGTGACCCGGCCGACGCTTGACATCCTCAGCGATGCCGGAATCCCCGTTACCGTTGGTACGAAGCTCCCCATCCTACCACCACTACCGCCACTGTCTCCTCCTCTTCCTCCCTATCCGCCCGAACCAGATATGAAGGCACCCGATATCAACCACCAGACTTGGAATAACTGAAAACTAATCAATTCCTCAACATGCAGCCTGCAGAACCCTCGAGTCCGCCAAGAAGCTGTCCGAGGGCGTCAAGCACGCCACCCCCATCTCTCTCGATGTCAACGACGACAAGGCCCTCGACGCCGAGGTGGCCAAGCATGACCTCGTCATCAGCTTGATCCCCTACACCTTCCACGCGACCGTCATCAAGTCGGCCATCCGCCAGAAGAAGCACGTCGTCACCACCAGCTATGTCTCGCCCGCCATGATGGAGCTGGACCAGGCCGCCAAGGATGCCGGCATCACCGTCATGAACGAGATCGGACTGGACCCCGGTATCGACCACCTGTACGCCGTCAAGACCATTGAGGAGGTCCACCGTGAGGGCGGCAAGATCCTCTCCTTCCTCTCCTACTGCGGCGGTCTCCCCGCCCCCGAGGCCTCAGACAACCCGCTCGGCTACAAGTTCTCGTGGTCCTCCCGCGGTGTGCTGCTCGCCCTCCGCAACGCGGCTAAGTACTACAAGGACGGCCAGGTCGTCGACGTCTCCTCCAAGGACCTCATGGCCACCGCCAAGCCCTACTTCATCTACCCGGGCTACGCCTTCGTCGCCTACCCCAACCGCGACTCTACCCCCTACAAGGAGCGCTACAACATCCCCGAGGCCCAGACCATTGTCCGCGGTACCCTTCGCTACCAGGGCTTCCCCCAGTTTATCAAGGTCCTCGTCGACATTGGCTTCCTCGAGGACGCCGCCCAGGAGACGCTCGCCAGCCCCATTGCGTGGAAGGACGCCACCAAGGCCGTCGTCGGCGCCGCCTCGAGCAGCGAGAGCGACCTCGAGGCCGCCATCGTCGCAAAGGCCCACTTTGAGTCCCCCGAGGACAAGCAGCGCATCCTCAGCGGCCTGCGGTGGATCGGCGTCTTCTCGGACGAGAAGATTACGCCCCGCGGCAACCCGCTCGACACGCTCTGCGCGACGCTGGAGAAGAAGATGCAGTTCGAGGAGGGCGAGCGCGACATGGTGATGCTGCAGCACAAGTTTGAGATTGAGCACAAGGACGGCTCGCGCGAGACGCGGACGTCGACGCTCGCCGAGTACGGCGAGCCCAAGGGCTACTCGGCCATGGCCAAGCTCGTCGGCGTGCCCTGCGGTGTCGCCGTCCAGCAGGTGCTCAACGGCACCATTGCCGAGCGCGGCGTCCTGGCACCCATGAACTCCAAGATCAACGACCCCATCATGAAGGAGCTCAAGGACAAGTACGGCATCTACCTCATTGAGAAGACCTTGTCTTAGAGAGGTCTTGTTGGTCGAGATAGTGTTTGTATGTCTACCTACCGGGTTCAGCTGTCATGCGTGGGAATGGGCAAAAAAAAAAAAGCATGCGCAGTTGGACTTTGATGAGAACAGAGTAAAAAGTTTAGACATTGTTCATCGGGAAGAATAGAAAACGCTTTGACGTGTCCATGATGTTTCCCTACATTGTTGCCTAGTCATGTCTGGAGTGAAGCTTGAAGGGAGTAATCGCGTGTATCGGACCATGCATCATTCGGTGGACCGACTGAGTCCGCGGGAATGCTCAGATTGATCAGTTCGCCTTGTGATGATGGGCCAAAGAACGGGACGTGGCGGCTACTCATCTCAACTTTTCAGTATGAGAAGAAAGCGGATCTCCACACGAAACGCCATGGCCAGACAACATAGGAGAGTGACATATCGAGATTGGAGGGTTCACTTCGTCTGATGATCAATAACAAGGACAACGATAAGTCCGAATAACCGCGTGGAATGGAATGATGCTTTTTTGCACTTGACTTGCGTTTCTGGCTGGTATGAGTGAAGTGAGGTGGGAGGAGTGTATTAACGTGTCGCATGTGGTGGCGTTGCGTGTCCCAGAGGGATGGATTATTCTACACAGGTGAGTAAGTAGCTTGGGGCGTGTGAGTGTAAGCAAATGTGAGTGCCGTGAGGGTTGTGAGGGACAGTGGATGGATGAGTGTGTGAAATGTGGTTGGCGGTGAGGTGTAATGTGCAATCTGAAGATCGGGCGGCCGCTATTCGATACTAATCGGGGAATTTTAACACATTTCGCAGTTCCCCCCGTTCCCAAAACTGAACTTTTTTCAACCTCATGTCTTTTTCCCCCCTCCCATCCTATCCTCTTCCCCATTTTCCTCAACAGAGCCTTTGAAACCCAAATCCGCCATCAGACTGGACCCGGCCAGAACGCCATTCGAACAAGGGACGAAATCAGACGGTGCTCATTCGGCTCTCCCGGGTTATCCGTCTGGGGAAAACGAGCGAGTCCAGTCCTTCTGAGCCGCAAACCCGTAAGAAAGCTTCAAGCGTAACGCCAAAAGCCGCGAGCGCTCCCCTCGCGACACACTAGGAAACGAAACCAAAGCGAACGACATTCTTTCTCAAGGGGGACACACACGCATAGGGGCCTGAAACACTGCAAGTCGTCAGCTTTTCTGAGGACCACTAGAGTTCTAGACAGACGGGGGTCGGGAGCAAAGGCTGCTGACAGCGAAACCGGGGGGGGGGAAAGACAAACGGAACGGAACACGCGAGTCGAATTTGGCTTTGGGCTCTTTGGAAAAGACAGACTGGCAAGCATAGCACGTCTGTACAGCAGCAGCAGCAGCAGCAGCAGCAGCAGCCCGGTCAAGGAAAGCTAGACGAGGGCGGATCTGAGCACACCGTAAGTAATCGTACGTTCGATCACACACCACCAGGCCAGGACACATTGGGTACAGCAAGTCTCTCCCCGCGGCCAGCCATCCAGACTCTCACACATACAACCAGACACAAGCGCAGAGAGACGCACACCCACTCACACTCACACACTCTCGCAGTTGAACACCACACACCCGGCACATTACACACACCCAGCAAATGGTGCAGTACATCCTGACGCCGTGGCGCGATCGCCGCGAGCTGCTCAAGGTTCGCCAGCAGTTCTATCCCGCTGCCCCAGCGTCTGCATCAGCGGCACCAACAACATCCACATCCGCCGCCCGAGCTAGCGGTACGGCAGCAATAGCAGCGTCCGCGGCCGCCGCATCCCAGGCCTTGACAAGGTCTTGGATACGAGGAACAGCTGCACAAGCACCAGCACAAGCACACGCGCCAGCGCCAGCACCAGCGCCGACGCCATCGTCAAGTTCATCAGCACCAGCAACAAGCACCAGCACCAACAAGACGACCCCAAGCAGCGACAAGCACCATGCCGTCGCGAGGGTGTCCATGTGGATGCAGCGCGGCAACTGCCCGCACATGGTCGAGTCCACGGCCCTGCTGACGGCCGCCATCCTCAGCGACGCCGAGAGCAAGGGCGGCGCCGGCACCTATGCTGTTCGCGCTGCCTACGCTGCTGCCTTCAGCCGGTACGTTTTACATCTTTCTCCAGAGTTCCCTCTCTTCTCCCTCTCCTCTGTCTCTGATATTATCACTTGTCTCTTTTCTGTTGTCCTCCATCATCTCAAGGGCCAAAAAAGGCTGTTTGTTAGTTCCAAGTTCAAGGTGCGGCGTGCCAGTGAGAGAAAGGAAAGTCTAGTAGGGGTGTTTTACGTTCCGTCCTACGCCCGCCTCCTCCTCTTCCTCCTTCTTTCTGCCCTTGGAGTCTTGTCTCTAGAGAGTGGCTTGAAACAATCTCAATCCTCCAGGGATCTGGGCCGCCTCTTCTTTTTTGTCACCTCTACATTTGGATTTCGGCGCATTTCACATCTCACATCTTTATTTGACTTTTCTGTCATTTTCACCCATCCTTCGACACAAACATACACACGCCCCCCCTCTCACCACCGAAGCACCCTATGTACCGTAGCCCACTCACTCCCCCCTACCCGAGTCGGGTCCCGTCTGAAGGGCCATCAACAATCGCCTGATCTGCGCGACTGCTGGAAGCCACATACACCAAGACAGGCTTTCACTTACATACACCGCGCCAACCAGCACACCCACACCCCCTCTCTTCCCCCCTTCAAGATTCCCAGCAAGCCGGCGTGGTTTTGCAATTGGGCGTCTCACCTTGTTCGGGAAGCGTCAGCGGTACAGTACACTTGGGAGCTATGGTCTGAGGGACGTTCCTGGCATCGGGGGAAGCTTGGCCTGATTTGCTTGAGGCATGCTAAACTTCCTATGGCCTCTTTGAGGCCCGTCGCTGCAAACCCGGAATGCCATAGCTCGTTTCTCACCCTGTAGTCAATGGGCGCCGGTTCAAGAACCCAGTATGGGTGTGAGGGCTTGCAAGTGTCTTGCCCAGATCATTCATTGCTCGAGCCTCCGGGCTTCGGGAGCCCTGCCTTTTCCGCCTCGGGTACACGGTGCACCCCTTGATTGATCAATCTGCCACTGTCACCGCCTGCCGATCGTTCGGTGTTGCTTACACTGCTCTTTTTTTCGTCTAGGTTCGTGACCGGGCTCTTGGACGGCCATCAGGATAAGCAACGCAAGCTGAGCATGTACTCGGTGGCAAAGACTATTGGCTTGCCGGCGACCTTTGTCGAGCTGCGGCACCAGGCGACGCACGAGACGCTGCCGTCTCTCGCGAAGCTGCGGTCCGCCGCGCGCAAAGCGCTGGTTTGGATCTGGGAGTATTACTGGCAGCACCTGGGGCCTAATGAGGTCGTGAGCCAGGCCCCCGAAAGGACGGGTCCCGTGGCCGTCGCCGCCGGCTCTGCCGTCCCTGTGCGCCGCGAAGTCGTGGTCGCGTTTCTGGAGGAGCAGGACGCTGGGAGGAGGGCTGAGATGAGGAAATGGATTGACGGGCTGGACGAGAGTCGGTTGCTGGCGACACTGGAGAAGATTATTGAGGCGCCGCCGAGCGACGCCGTCATGCTTGCGGCTCAGCGGTTATCAGAGGACATTGCGCGCAAGGGACAAGCAGATGGGCAGGGCGAGATGGAGGAGGACGAGGCTTCCGAGAGCGCTGGCACCGGATGGGCCAAGTTTGAGGGGACTTGGAAGCCACGACCTATTGGCGTCGCGTAAATCGTCGACCCCAGCCGCAGGTGTCATATGTGAACATTCAAACGTTATACCATCATCACTACATATCATCTATGAAAGAAAATGCTCTTGCCTGTGAGGTATTCAGCATCGAGATATCACCGATGGAGTTGTTGTTGCAGTGCTCATGCGACATCACGTGGGGTATGACGATGCCAATTGGATGCGGGTCGTCTGTCGTTGGCCCCCTCGCGGATTTGTAATAACGTCACCGTGACTTGCCGAGGAGCTCCCGAACGCAACAGCTCACAGCTCTGATCCCCCAACTGACTGCAGAAGAAACAGCTCTCACTACACTGCACAATTGCCTTTCATGAATACCCTCATCGCAAGGAGACCACTACTGAGACAAAAACTCGCCACCGTTACAGCTGCAGTGAGTTTTTTTCCCCAGTGTTTGCCCATTCAATTCTAGGTTGATTAGCTATTTGTGAGAGATTGGGAAGCTTATACAAGGTGGATAGCTCACATTCGCCAACGCTATGCATATCCAGTCGATTCCCATGTGTACGTCACCTCCCGCAAGCTTCTTGATGCCCTTTTCGTTATTAAACACGAGAGAACGGGAGTGAGAGGCAGCAGATGGAGTATATGTTTCCATCATACTGGCATGAGATTTTGACTTGTTTTCAGGGGTGGGCAGTAGTAACAACTACGCCTACCTGGTCAAGGACGACAAGACCAACGATGCCGTCATCATTGACCCGGCCAACCCGTCCGAGTAAGTGTTTCTCCCCCATCACTCATGAATCTGAGGGAAAGAGGAAGGGCATCTTGGACTGCGGTTGCGTCGTGTATCGAGCTTAAGCTGACAACCCTCTCCAGAGTGACTCCCGTGTTGCAAAAGGCTATCAAGAGCGGCGAGATCAACCTCACAGCCATCGTCAACACGCACCAGTGAGACTCTCGTCCTTGAGAAAAATTCACAAACGACGCGGGGAATCCCCTCGAGACCTTGTGCGCGTATCTGACATCTCTGACAGCCACTGGGACCACGCAGGCGGAAACAAGAAGCTGGTACGTCTTGGATCCCCCTCCCCCCCTTTTTTTTCCCCGTCTCGCCCGGACTCACACACAGAAAAACAGCAAGGCGAGCTGGGCCTGGATAAGCTCCCCATCATCGGCGGCAAGGACTGCGAGGGCGTGACGCGGACGCCGGGCCACGGCGAGTCGTTCAAGATTGGCGAGGGCATCGCCGTCAAGGCGCTGCACACGCCGTGCCACACGCAGGACAGCATCTGCTGGTTCATGCAGGACGGGGACCAGAAGGTTGTGTTTACGGGCGATACGCTCTTCATCAGCGGTGGGTTCCCATCGTTTGCCCGATTTTTTTTATCAACTCATCGCCTCCTTTTCGTCCCTTGGACGGTGACAATGCGGGGCGGGTTTCATCTCTCGATAATCATCACCATCACGAGGGAGAAGATGCCTTTGAGAAGGAGAGGTTCCCTGTTGGGGGAAGCAGAGGCGTAGCTGCTAGAGATTCTTTTGCTGACTATCCTTCTTTACTTTCCGACAGGTTGCGGCAAGTTCTTCGAGGGTAACGCGGAGGAGATGCACAGCGCGCTGAACAAGACGCTGGCCGCGCTTCCCGACGACACGGTCGTGTTTGTGAGTTTCTTGGACCTCCCATCAAACTTGATCCAGGGACAGGATGAAGCTTGGAACAAGGGGGGGGGGGGCATCATTGCTGACAGAGCACAAACAAAGCCCGGCCACGAATACACCAAATCCAACGTCAAGTTCGCCGCGTCGGTGCTGCAGAACGAGGCGATCCAGAAGCTGCAGGCGTTCGCGGAGAACAACAAGGAGACGCAGGGCAAGTTTACGATTGGGGATGAGAAGGTATGTTATTCCTAGTGTCCCCCCCCCCCCCCCCCACCTCCCCCCTCCCACTGCCAGCGAGGGTAGGGAGGGGGGGGGGATGCTAGACGCGCGGAAGGAAAAAGCAAAAAAAAGAACCACGGGGGAAATTTCATTTGTGGGGTTGGAAGGTTAGTTTTTTCCTGGTTCCCCCCCCCCCCCCCCCTCTTTCGCAACAACGTGGAAGTACGAGGGTAAGGTTGGGGAAGATGAGCTAACGACTGCTCGAAAACACAGAAACACAACGTCTTTATGCGCGTCGAGGTGAGTTTTTACAGGCCCTTTGCCCCCGTGGAGCCTCGCGGGCACTCTCGCCTTGGAGAGACACAGAGGCTGATGGTGGTATTTGTCACGAAATAGGACCCCGAGATTCAGAGGGTGACGGGGGAGAGCGAGCCCGTTTCCGTCATGAACAAGTTGCGTGAGATGAAGAATAACTTCAAGTGAGTAAGTGGCAGGTTTTCCATCCCCCTCCCGTTTCGTCGTATGGTATTATTCTCCTACGGCGTCGGCCTGCTATGGGACGTGGCACTTGGGCCGGTAGTAATGCCATGAGCAAGTCTGACGGATGAATAGTCCACCTCCTGATTCCAAGATCTAACATGATGAGATTGCTCAAATGGGGGCCGGCAAGTTTAGGCCATAGGACATATTGCAAGAGTTTGAAGTAGGCAGTATGCGAGAGCAGTCTCTCGACCGCGAAATCAAAAGCACAGCAGCCACGTCTGTTACTACTTCTCAGACAGTGAACATCAAAGTCATCAAAACTACATCACCGCGTCACGAGCATGTCTCCCACAGGTCCTAAACGCGACAACCACAAGTGATTGAAGCGAGAGTGTAAGCCGGGGAAGGGGCGGTACGTCCTGCGACGCGCCCCCGTTTGTTTAATCTTGCTTCACTGTCCACACGTGCTCGCTCTGGGTAAGAAAGCGGCAAGCTCTAGCATTTTTTAGAAGCTGTGTCATGTCATGTTTTTGGTTTTCTTTCCAAGTTCGTCTCAATGTTTTGAAGACGGTGGTTCTTTGTCTAGTCCCGCTGGGGACGAGGAAAGGAAACCACGAAGAGGGTGCCATGTTTGGCGGGTTGTGATGCCTTGCGGGTGTGGCATTGGCATGTTGCAGCTGCAAACTCCCCGAGTTGGAAGCGCCGCGTAGGAAGAGGGCATGAATAGCCGTGTGGCGTGATCCATTTTGGAGTTTGGTATGAATGCAGGATCCCAGATTTGCTGGGCGCAGGTCCGGCGCGGAGGCCGTGGAGCTTTGAGTATGAGGCACACTTCCTCTAGGCAGCTTTGACCTATGGCAGAGTGTGGAGGCGGTTTTGATAGATCCGTAAACTACTGTTCTCTTCGACCACGTTGCCTAGGTCTCGAGGTTTTTGGTGAAAATGGTCCATGTGATCGGCAATGGGAAGTGAAGCAGAGAGCGAAGTGCGCGCGCAGGATCCGGTGAAGGGCCTGCTTATCGTCGGCCTCTCTGTTCATTCGCAAGGCGCTAGAGCTGGTTTGGGGGGTCTCATGGTTGAGGTAGTCGACGCTTCTCACAGTGAGTGAGTGTCGTGAGGTTGTGATGGTTGAGAAAGGAGAGGAACCGTAGTTTGCGGAAGCTTTTTATGTTGAATTTTTTTGCAACGGCGGGGCGGGCTATCGTGCGAGCGAAACTTCGCGCACATGGTCAGTGCACTGTATCCGAACACGCGCGGCCCCACAACCCATTAACGCGTCCCCGGCGCTCTTTCGTCCCGGCGCAACCATCGTCATTGACCTCCAGCTCTCAAGCACCTGCCTCGCTCGCGCTTGCGACGACCACATTTTCCAAATCCCACCACCTCTCCCGCAGCCAACAAAACTCCTCAAAAACACCGAATCAGCATCTCAACTCCATCCAAGATTTCCAAAATGGTAAGCCACCACCACCACCCCTCTTCGCAATCCTCAACCCACCCAAAACTAACACGCCGATTCCAAAGCCCGCAAAACGCAAACCGCCAACCCAAAAACCCTCCTCCTCAACAACAGACGTCCCCCGCCCCCGCGCCTCCAAACTCGCAAAAGAGCACAACATCTCCGCCCACGAAGAGCGCGAGATCCGCGAAGCCTTTTCCCTGTTCGCCGAACCCCTCAAAGGCTACTCCAAAGAAGGCGTCATCCCCACGTCAGACGTCCGCTCCTGCCTCGTCGCCCTCGGCATCCCGCCCTCCTCCCGCGACGAGCAGGCCGAGTTCGTCGAGATCCTGGACCCCGAGGGCGAAGGCTTCGTCGCCTACGAGCCGTTCTTCGCCGTGTGTGCGTTGAAGTATCATCAGAGGGAAGAACGGGGCGGAGGCGAGGCGAGGAGGAGGGAGGTGGAGGAGGCGTTTGGGCTTTTCACGGGGGCCGGGGCCGGCGGAGGCTCTTCGGCGTCGGGTTCTGCTGGCCCGCGGGATGTCATAACGATTGCGGACCTCAAGAGGGTTGCTGCCGTGCTGAGGGAGGACGTCAAGGACGAGGTGCTGCGGGATATGATCCTCGAAGCCAACGGCGGCGCGGGCGTAGGCAAGGGAGTGAGGAGGGACGAGTTTGAGGAGGTTATGCGGCGGGCTGGGGTTTGGCGATGATTGCGCGCGCGCGTGCGATCTACCTCACCGGCTGGGTTGGACGTTGAGAGGCTTCGTGGTCTATGTGGCGGGTTTGGTCCTGCATTATACCCCATTGTGCTGGCGTTTGGGAGGCACGGCGATTGCATTTTCCTTCTTTCATTGTGTTAGGGCGCGCTTATAGCATCTACGGGCTACTTCTATTATCATGGTTCGAACTTCAATCCCACGGCTTCAAGGTTCACAATCCACACGAGTAACTGCAATTTGCTGCAGTCCCTGGAACACTCTGGTAAATACCGGTGGTAATGATGATTCTATCTGATCTCGGTGCAGCCCATATGGCACCCGTGGGGTGTGATATCTTCATCGCCCCCGAGAGTTTGTATTTCCATGCTAATAAAAGAGACAACAAGAAAACGCCCATGACATATGCTTATTCCGGCCTTGTTCCTTGTGTGTTGGTGCGTTGCCAATTACCGTGGCCTGAGATTGAGTACGGACTTAACCTGATTTGCCCAACAAAACAAAACACATATAAATTCCCATTCCCGTATGGTTGGTGAGATTAAGACCAAGTGAGGTCCCTCCTCACCGCTGTGTCCGTCACTGGATGGGGGTTGCCTTTTGTGCAGAGAAGAGAAAGGGCTCGGGAGGGGGATTCATGCAGAGGCCACGCTGTTGGGCCTCGGAGCCGCAGCAAAGACCCTCTCAGACCCCAGCAAGGCCCTAGAAGGGGGCAGAGTGCGGAGGGACGCGGCCGGCCTTCTAAGCCGGCGCACCTCCGGCCGCAGCCTTGGCCTTGTCAGCGGCCGCCTTTTGTGAGTCGATAACGACTTGGAGCTCGGGAGGTGCCTTGAAGCCGGCATGGTCCTGGTGACGCTTGTAGAAGTAGTTATCGGCCTTGGGGCGCAGCTCGGCGGGGAGCTCTTCGAGTACGCATTCCAGGATAGCATCGACGGATTTCTGCTTGGAGCCGTCGCGGTGCCAGATGGAGATGAGGTGGGAGTTGAAGCGGACGGACAGACCAACACCGCAAATCTGGTCGTCTGGAGGTAGTCAAGGGTTAGCTTGGTTGCGCTTGTGGTCAAGGAGATGCAAGAAGACACGGAAGAGAGGGCGACATACTGTCGTCTAGTACGCTCTGCAGCTTCTCGCCAATGGCAAGAAGCTGAACGCGAGTCCACACATCGGGACCAATGTTCTTGGGCACACGGAAGGTCCAGGCGCCGCCGTTGATGTTGCGGCGGTCCTCCCAGATGGGCTTGAAGCCCTGCTTGAAGAGGTATATGGACTCGCGCATCTTGATCTGATCGACGGGTGTGTTGTTGTTGTACTTCCAAAAGTCCTGGACGGATTCTATCTGCGAACCAAGCTGTTCAAGCTGCACCTTATACTCCTCATCGTTGCCCGACTTTTGCTGGTCCTTTGCTTGTCTGGAGTAATGAGTATTGGGCGTTAGTCTTGAAAGCTTCAGGGGTGGTGGGGGTGGGGTTGCGCAAGATCTGGGACAGGCGCCTGAGGACAGACACTGTGGTAATTTCGAGAGGAGCACTCACTTGTCAAAGTAGACATTCCAGTAATGTTGTGTGGGCAGAGGGCGCATGGCCTTGAGGAAGTTGCGCTTTGCATCGTCACGCTGGTCGGCCGGGGAGCTGACACTGGGCGAGTTGGGGTCGGTTGTGCTCTGGGAAAGCCCCGACAGGCCACGGGTGAAGAGGGCAGGTCTGGCGGCCATGGCGTGTGAAGTGGTTGGGAGGGCGGTGGAAAGGGGGTATCGAGATGAAAATGCACAGGAAGGGCAACAGCAGGTGAAGTCGCAGCAGCAAGAAGACGGAAAAGGGTGTCGAGTGTTGAGTCGCAAGGCAAGTGTCCGGTCGAAGGTGAAGTTGAGGTCGTATGTTGCGTCGCTTGCCCGCTGGACCTGGTCGGGGATCGGGGGTCGGGTAGGCGTGACCGAGAGAGGTACCTTAAGAGGGACGACGGACGGGACACAGTGACAAGTTACACGCTGCCAGACTGAGATGCCCTTGCTTTTTTGAGTCGCTGGTCGTTGGTTGGCTGAGTGGAGTGCGGCGGTGCCTAATGTAGCAACGAGGGGCAGAAGTGGGCAGGCCGTTGACGGGTCGGGGGACGGGGCACGCTTAAGTGCCTGAGGGCCGGCGTCCTTTACTGTATAGTTGCTGTGTGCTGGTTGCTGACTTGGCTTGTGTGTGTGTGGTAACGTGGTTGTTGGCCCGGTAGGAGAAGACGTGGAGAGAGACGGGAGGCTTGGGCTTGTTTGGAAATCGCCAATGAAAGGACCGGTTTGGTGGGTTTCTTGGACTTGTCTGGGGGAGTACAGATACAGCCTGTTCGTACGTATCCGTAGTCTGTAAGGAGTATCCGTATTGGCAGATCAGATAGCGAGATGGCGCGGGGAGGGGAGATTTGATTGTCAGGAACAGATGCCCTTGTCTTGCAGCTTGCTTTGGCGCCCGGTGGTGTTCCTCTCAAGTGTCAATTACCTAGTGCCAGGGACCCGACAGAGGGACACAAGTGGACCAGAAGATACCTGTTAGACAGAACAAGGCGTGACGACTGATGACAGCAGCTGGGGATCGGGTTCCTTGCAACTCTGAATGACTCGACGGTTGTATTCAGGGAGTTGGTGACAAAGAATCGTAAAGATGCAACAGGACGACGACCGAGGGAGAGGCGGTAGAGAGAAAGGGAAGGAAGAGACCCGAGGACGAGTCCGCGGCGAGGTAGGGGTATTAAGCAAGAAGCTGTCCATCTCATTTCATCCCATCTCTCGTCACGGCGACACTCAAGATACCTCGATGGTGCTCCTCTTTCTTGTGCTTCAGAGCATGGAGGGCGGATACAATTTGCGAGGTATCTACACCACAGGGGGCATCAGAAACCTAGGGCGGCAACACAAGACGACACTCCAGGCGGTCCCAAAGAGCAGGGCATCTTTGCTATGGGCGGGATAAGTAGAGGGCGGGAGTCTAGGAGATCTGTCTGGATAAGGTAGAGTGGGCAGGGAGCTTCGAAGTCCGGTCAATGGTCACTCCGGGGCTTAGATCTGAGGTCTGAAGCGCAGCAGGACAGGGCACCTTGGTCCTGTGGGCAATGGCATATGAGCCCCGAGAGAACAAGTGAGAAGTGAGCAGGCTCCAGACTCAACTTCTCAAAAGAGTCGTCAGAATCTCGACGGGGGAAAGGGGAAAAGGAGACGGGACGATACACGAACCGTCCGAGTGTACAATGTCCAGTATTTCCTGGCTGCACGGGTACGTACAGATACACATGTACCTTAGGTACTCTGCAAGGTACAGGCGAATGAGGACGTCTCGGACGCGATTCCTGCTCCTGCTTCTGCTTCTGCTGCCCATGTGGTGGTGGTGGAAGGAACCTGCCGCTGCACACATGAGGCACGCAAGCGAAACGGCAACGGCATCCTCCTGCGGTCCTGCCGTAGCCTGCCGTGTACCTAGGTAGGTACGGACCCAAGGTGACATTCCGCGGCAGCCGTCACGGCCGTCCGTCCCGATCTGACTGTGATGTCTGGAGACGCTGGAACCGACTGGCATTGGCAACTTGGCAAACCCAGAGCCGATGAGTTCATCAACGGCTGGGACGGTATCACAGTAGTCGATCCACAGGAAGCGAAGAAGGAACCCGGGAGATGGTACTTAGAACTTTGGTGGGAACATCTTACCGCCCTGAAACATCCAGCCGCCGGCGCGGCCAGTGATAAGTCGCGGCGACGAGGGTGGACAAGGGGAGCAAAGACCGGATGTTCAGGTTCACGTTCGAGAAGGAAGGTTATTACCCACGTTACTCCGTAATACCATACAAATACAGCTGTTCTTTTCGGTTCGGCGGTTCCTGAGGGTGGTGTAAATGAGCAGGGTCGCCGCCTGGCAGGGGGGTTTTCCAGCTTCCAGGAACAGGGACCAGGAACGAGGCGTGTGCCGCCATGGGATTGCAAGGTGCCTTACGCGCAGATGTCGTTGGAAACCGCAACTTACGCAACCTCCCCTCGAGTTTCCAACTTGTCGAAGAGGAGCTGATCCGAGCGAGGCCAGATGCCTTGCCTACCTCGATAAGCAGTTGCCTGCCAATAATGGTCCAGAGCATATTGCAAACTGACTGCAAGCCTGGATTTGTCTACGGTGGAAGAAGGCACATTCTTCTGGATACCTCAGTCAACATGTGTCCAGCTATGACCCTTAACATCCCATCCAACGTCTGAGCTGCTCAACATTATCAAACGGAGCGGAGAAGGAGATGCACCCACAAGATCAATTGACTCTCGGAAAACTTCGTCATAGTCACACTAATGCACGCTCTCTAACCACTCGCACACTTCAAAGCTCGAGAGTCGGGCTCGACGCCTAGCTCAACCAACAGCCCGTTCACTCAACCTTTTTCTCGCGCTCTTCGCCCTTTTGGCAATCCTCTAGAAATCACTCGCATATCAGACAGGAACGAACCCCTTAAAGTCAAAAAGGAAGAAAACTTGAGATGGATCTCGAGGACGGTATATCGCAGAAAGCTGCGACGTTGAATATTCGAGACGTGTTGGCTCCTACGAATGCATCCCCGCGGAAAGCACGGCAAACAGGGCCACACGACGATGAGCCGCCGCCATATACAGACCACGAGTTGACTAGCAAACTAACTCCTCACGATCTTCCGTGACGATCAAAACATTGTAAGGCAAACCAACTGATCGCAAGCTGCTTCGGGCAGCCTCGCCGGAGAAGAAAACTAAAAACCCAAACGGCGTTTGCACCCGAACTATACTTACGGAATAGACATCAAGCTTCATCCAATACTCAATTCAACAGTCCAGATGTGCCTCTTGAATTGGCACACCCAAACGAAAGCCGTTTACCTCGATGTCCTCCAACTCTCAAAACTCCCGTCGGACATTGGATTCCTAGGGCTGGCAAGTTTGACACTCAACACGGACACAGACGCACGTCAAAGTTTCGACGGCCAACGGCTTCCGGAGCACGTTGCCCGCCGTCGAAAGAACTGAACCGCTGTCTCGAAACTCCTCCCCCTGACAATGTAGTTCGCTGGCTTGCTTCGCCGTCGTCTCTTCCGGATGCTTCATCCATGCCAACCACAAACCCTGTCTAACCCCAACAACGACATCCCTCTTCGGCTCTCGACGATCGGCGTATTCCCAATTTGCAGTACTCTCAATGGGACAGTTGACTGTGTATTTCTAGAGATGGCGCAAGCGGCGCGTAGCGGCCCCCGACGGCCCTCCCGCGCCTTGCTCCATGCACCTTGACTTGTGAAGCACCGCCAGAACGGATCCCCTGTTTGAGATCAATGGGAACAAGCAAAGAACACCCGCCCACTTTCCATGAGATCTGACAGGCCGGATCGTGTTCCTGCGAGTTTCAATCGTGACGTGTCCCGACAGAGGAAACAGCCATTTATCCACACTGCGTTATCATCACTGGCCTCAACCCAGTACGAGAGTCTTCATGTGCCATGTACTATGTGTTGACTGCAGACTATGGATTCTGTCTCTCTGTCTCTCTCCTAAACAAAGTAAACCCCGAAGAACAAGAAGGACTCCCCAAACACCATGCTTACCATTGTCGTCTTGGCGCTTCGTAACAATCAATAGCCGAGCTCTGTCGCCCGCAACTCATTCATCAAACCCCCCTACAAATATAACTTTAGAAGTTCATCTTGCTTCCTGCAGATGGCGCCTCGCCGACCCAGCGTTCTTTGTCGTCTCCAATCTTCCTTCGGAACATGCCCAGATCGCTCAGCAGACTGCGCATGTACTCCTGCATGTCGCTGGCATTATCCTCCATAACGTCCGAGTCGTACGCCGTGTCGTCCGAGTCGTCGTACAATGACTCGGCGTCCTCGCCATTCTCCTCCTTGCCCTCGAGACCCGCCGACTTGGCCCTCTGAGCCTCGTCCTCCACTTCCTCGGCCTCCGGCGGCTTGATCGTGACGGCCGGGATCGGGTTCTTGAGACTCTCGAGCGCGAGCTTGAGATGCAGCCGCAAGGCCTCGTTCTCTGTCTGCAGGCTACGAATTTTGCCCTCGGCGACGAGACTGCGCTCCTCCATCATGCGCTGCATCGTAGCCACGTGGTTTTGGTACTCTTCGAGCTTCTCCTCCTGGTCCTTGGTATCCTTCTCCCGCCGGCGCGATTCCGACACTGACAGCTGAAGGGCTCGGATCTCGTCCGCCATAGCTGCGATTTGGGCATCGCGCTCCGCTGACGAGATCTGGTCTTGGTTGACAACCGCGCGCGTGCGGATGCGCTTGGCTTGATCTGCGTAGCGAAGCGTCGACAGAGTCTCCTCGTAATCCGACGGCGCGATGCAAGCAATCATTGCCGTTTTACTGTTGCCTCCCAGCGAATCCTTCAACAGCCACGTGAGAATTGAGTCTCGGTACGGCACGACGTCTTTGCTGCGCTTTCTCGAACCCGCCTTGGCATCTGCGAGCGCTCCTATCACTCGGCCAAGGGTCGTCAGCGACTTGTTGATGTTGCTGCCTTCGCGAAGCCGCTGGCCTGTTGCCTCGGTCGCCTTGGCACGTTCGCTGCCAGCCAGATCGACCAGGCGGATACGCGAACTTCTCTCCGTCGTCTCGTCCGTTTCCATGTCATGGTGGATCTGCTTGAGCATGATTGTGAATACCGCGTGACTGCGACTACTCGTGTCGTTCATTCTGGTGCTGGCCACGGTTCTCGACCTGTCTCCCATCGTCATGTATCGCAAAATCTCATTGAGATTGCGGACAGGAACCTCGGTCAGATCCTTGACGTACGGTCCTTCCGTTGGCGACTCCCTGATTTTGAGATAGTACGGCGGCTGGTTAGCCACAACCGGGACAAGCAGGTCCCGGACGTGCTCATTGTAGACCTCAAAGTATGACACCCTGACGTTGTAGGAAATGTTGGGCGTCTCGTTTTGCGCAGATTCGATTCGCTCGAAGAGATCCTCGCACGTTCGAGGAATCAAGCCCGGCTGGTCTGGTGTTCCCATCATCGTATAACTCTTTCCGGAACCTGTTTGACCATAGGCGAAGATGCATGTGTGATAGCCCTCAAAGTTGTGGTCAAGGAATTCCTCGCCCAGACTGTTGTAGACGTCTTCCTGGTGGGCATAATACTTGTCGCTGAGATCATGACTCCAGAAAGAATTGTCGAATGTAAAATTCTTTTCTTCGATAACCTTTCTCGTCTTTGCTTTCGCGTTCGCAGGGTCGCTGTCGTTGGGCACGAGAAGCGTCGTTTGCTGGGTGATGGGGTCCATCTCCACCAGGCACTCGGCACCACGCTCGATTTCTGGTTTCTTTCATCAGTCTCCTTCTTCTTTTTCTTCTACGTCGTCCTAGAAAGCCTTCGACATACCTCTGGGCAGAAACGCCCGCACTCGGACAACGACACGAACATTGCCTCCCCCGTCCATTCTGACCGGTCCATCGTGCGACCGCAGAGACGGGGTTGAAGCAGACGAGTAGAGAGCCGGCATCTCATAAACCGCTGGCGGTAGCAGTCGATGATCGAGAGACAATCCACAAAGGGTCTGCTTCAATTCTTCAAAAATTGCGTGGTATCGTTGCCGTTGCGAAGCCCACATCCCAACTCGAGGCGGTCGGGCTTGTTTACTCGGTTGCCCAATTGGGAGGAAAGCTGGTGGGGCCGAGTTGCCGGGGCAGTGACGCCACACTAGCTATGCGGTGTGTTGTTCGCCTGGGGTAGGAACGCAGGGGGTGTTGCAAGTACGTTCTTGGAAAGTGTCGTCGATTTGCTTTTTGTTGGCAAATGAAATGAGGGAATAGGGATTCAGATTCAATTGGGTAAGTGATGATTTTTTTGGTCTTTGCTAGACGGAGGAAGGGCCGCTTATTCACAGAGATGCGCAAAAAGGCGTTGGTGCTGGTGTGTTGTGGAAGAATCAGATGACAGACAGTCGTGCTCCATTCGTGTAAACAAATCGCCCTGCAAACAAAAGTCTAGTGTACACTCGGCACCTCTTTGACGGTGTCAACGCCCAACCTGTACCAAACGCCACGCAGTCTAGTGTATTCTATAACTATTACCGACGCAAACCAAGTTACGGCCGTCTAAGCCCCTTGCCCAGAAGCTCTGAGCCCACCTCTACGATGATCTTCTCATCTGGGAATTGCTTCTTCTTGGCCAAAATCGTGTCCTCCGCATCCATCGCCCTCAGCAAATCCGAGACCTCACTGTCACTTGGTGTGCAGTAGACCAAGTTACCCAGTGCAAGAAGCATACCCTGCAGTGCCTCTGGCGAAGACTCCTCTTGTCCAATGGCTTCTAACACCGATGCAGCCAGCTCTACCGCGTCGCCGTCTGGCAACACGTCTCCAGGCTTCTCACGTCTGACTTTGTTGCTGAAAAGCGCCAAATTGAACATGAGGGACGAAGCGGAAACACGAACATTGTTGTGGCTGTCGTCTAGGAAACTGGAAGATATTAATTGGATAACGGGTGCTCTCAACGCCTCGTTTCGTAGTATTTCCTCCGGGAAGAGAGGCGTGGAAAAGAAGTTGCACGCCATTTGCAGTGTAACCAAACGCAAAGCGTACGGGCAGTCGCTGTGTGAGTTGACGAGTCTAAGGATTGCCAAAACGGTCGTGTGCCCCTTTTCCTCAGCAAAGTAGCCGCTGAACCTTGCATCGACGAGCGCACATCTAAACAAGTCGACGATGGTGAAGAGAATCTCAACAGGTAACGTCTGCACTGATTTTTGCAAGAATTCCGAGAATTCGCCTAGGTTCGGGAGGACTGCGGCTGCGGCGCCCTGCTTATCGCGGGCCTCAATGAACTGCTTGGTTGCCTGCACGGCTGACTCGTCTGCTGCCGAACCCATCTTGCCCAGAAGTTTGGCCAGTGGCGGTACTTTTGAGAACAATACCGGCTTTGCGTTCGGGTTGGAAAAGCTGGGTAGTTTGAGGGACTCATGAGGGTGCCGAGGCCAAGCCATCTGTAGCAGGAGCTGGACGTTCCCCCGAAGAGCAGCAGGATCAGCGCCTGCCCACTCATTCTCCTTTTCTCCATGCAAATAGGTGATGAATGTCGGAGTTGCTCGAGGATAGTCCTTTCCGGGAAGCGGCGTCAATTGGGCCACGTCTACTTTAATGAACATCGCTTTACTACCTGCCTCTGCGGATACCTCGTCAAATATGGGTGAGATGGCCCTGCAAGGTGGGCATGTAGCGGAGGTGAAGAGAACCACAGCGCAAGACTTTCTCGCAGATTCAAGGGCTGCATCTAGCTCCTGTGAGCTACTCACAATCCTGATGTTTGATTGGGGTTTTGTGGGTTGTGGTGCGGATCCGTATCCTGGAGGAGTTGAATTGTTCTGGATACCAAGGATTGAACCATTTTGTCTGTTGGAGTTTATGACTTGGTTGAGTTGAGGCATGAGAATCCTGCCCATTGGAGAGCTGAGTACGGCATCTGGCATCTTGATGATATGTTCTGGGATGCCTTTCCCAAGCAGGAACTGAGAAAATGAGTCTGAGAAGTTGTTGCAGTTGTGTCTCCAGAGATCGTAGGCCTGGTGAAACGTTAGTCTTTGTTAATTCAAACATATGTTGAGCCCACCTCGGCTGTAAAAATTGGCCCTAATGAGTCTAGGAACTCTTCAATGACCTCCATGGGTAGTTCTGTCTTTCCAAGGAAGATACGCTCCATAGGCTGGCCCAGATGAGATGTACCCGGAGTGATGTCAACGATGCCACCATCGTAGACGTACTCGCGTCCGTTGAGTTGGATGGATGTGTGATAGATCGCATCGAGGTGAAATCCAAGCATGCCCTGGGACATTTGCCGTGCAAGCCCGCGGGATAGGTCGTACGTTAAGAGATGCACGTCCATCTTGAGAGGCTTCGCTCGGTCTAGTCCGGGATCTGGCTTCTTTACTGGGAAGTAATGCAGTTCAGTCGAAAAGTGGGAAGGTTGTATCTTTGTTGACTGATGGAAGGTAAGATTGAAGCTGTGTACGGAAGAGAGTTTGATCTTGGATTTCTTAATTTTCTCTCCGGAGGATGCTCATATCTATCATTACGCCGGAGGCAACAAGACGTAGTCGTAATAGTTATTGCACGAGAAGCTTCCAGGGTCCGGTCACAGTGTCAGATCCGATGGAGGGAGCGCCACACGTGGCTTGGAATCTAAGGTAAGGTACCTAGGTAGGTGCCGACTAATCGATAAGATGCATATATCCGCCACCTGCAGATAAGGTGCCAGACTGCAGTACGTAATCTTAGGTAAGCTCAAATGCCAGCCGTGCCTTGACCACAAGCTGATCACCTCAGGAATGATCAGAACATGCCCGGCAAATGGGCCCTACCTTAATGCGTGGGTGAGGTGCCGTGTGAAGGAGCGACTGCGCAATTTAGGGGGCGTAGCAGGGAGTCAGTGGCCCCGCCCCCTAATCATAGAGCCGGCCATTAAGGTGAACGCGACAGGAGGATGGCCTCCAAGGTCAACATTTCAGTGGGTTCGCGTTGTCCCCGCTGGCGCACCTATGCACCCAAGATTAGCAAACTGCCAGCTCAAGACAGGGATGTCTGGATTTTGATGACCTCTCAGAAAAGAGAAAATCTGCAATTGCCATCGAGCCCCCTTCGAGACCAACCTAATCCAACCGTACCTTGCATCTCCTCACCCCCCTTGGACGACGTCTCCCTACATATACGACTTCTGCACTTTTCTCTGGGTCCAGTGCCTCCATCCCATCTCGTCCGCTCCTTTTCTTCGGCCATCCGCACCTTTTCTCTGTTTCCTTGAGTCGCCCCGTGCTGCTCCCTTTGGTAATCGGCCCTCGGTTCAGCCTAGTCCACTCCTTTGTCCCATCTCGACGCCGCTGTACCTCGAATGCGTTACTCTGTGTTCCCCTAAGCACCTACGACAAGCGACCAATGCGAAGAACATCTGTGTCGCTGCCGACGAAGCAACCCGCGCGAGATCCACACGAAAAGCCTGGTCGATTTGCACCCGCTCAACGGAATACTGGCCTGTTCGCGGCGTTCAGAGATATGTCTCAAGCACAGAAGACGAGGTGGATGAGGACGGGCGCCATCGCCTTCTTCGTCGTCTTCCTCTTCTGGTATCTGTCTCCTAGAGGCGTCAACGTCTACAATGGCGGGGGTAAGTCATGGCTCAGTGAAGCCCATTGGATCAACTTGAAACTAATACATCTACAGCAGTATCGAAAGGCGGCGCTGGTGGCCAGGTCCCTGCCGATGCTTCGTACGGCACTGACAAGTGCACTCAATCCAGCTCCAAGTCTAAGCCCATCGTACAGTACGTCCTGATGATCGACGCCGGCAGCACTGGATCCAGAATCCACGTCTACAAGTTCAACAACTGCGGCGCCACCCCCGAGCTGGAGCATGAGGAGTTCAAGATGACGGAGAAGTCAGTTGGTGGTCTCAGCAAGTATAAGGACGACCCCGAGGCCGCTGCCGCTTCTCTCGACGCTCTGATGGAGGTTGCCATGACCAACGTTCCCGACAAGCTCAAGTCCTGCAGTCCTGTCGCGGTGAAAGCGACCGCTGGACTCCGCATGGTCGGAGCTGAGAACGCCGAGAAGATCCTCGCTGCTGTGCGCAACCGCCTCGAGACCAAGTACCCCTTCCCCGTCGTTGCCAAGGAGGATAACGGAGTTGCCATCATGGACGGCGCCGACGAAGGTGTCTACGCTTGGATCACTACCAACTACCTCCTCGGCAAGATTGGCGGCCCTGACAAGAGCCCCACCGCTGCCGTCTTCGATCTCGGCGGTGGCTCCACCCAGATTGTCTTTGAGCCCACCTTCAAGGGAGCTGCGGACGGAGGCATGCCGGAGAAGCTCGCCGAGGGTGACCACAAGTACGACCTTGCCTTTGGTGGACAAAAGTTCGAGCTCTACCAGCACTCCCATCTGGGATATGGCTTGATGAGCGCCCGCAAGGCCGTGCACAAGCAGCTGATTGAGGAGATCTTTGAGAGCAAGAAGTCCGACGACAGCTGGGTCAAGCAGCCCATCATCCACCCCTGCATTGCCCCCGGCATGGTTAGAGAGGTTGAGGTCGAGCTCGACGAGAAGCACCCCCTCGGCAAGACTGTCACCTTCAACATGACCGGCCCCTCCCAGGCCGCCCCCGCTCAGTGCCGCAACCTCGCCGAGAAGATCCTGAAGAAGGAAGAGAGCTGCAAGCTTGCGCCCTGCTCTTTCAACGGTGTCCACCAGCCATCATTGGCCAAGACCTTTGGCCGCGAGGACGTCTACATCTTCTCCTACTTCTACGACCGCACTAAGCCGCTCGGCATGCCCGACTCCTTCACCCTGCGCGAGATGCACGACCTTGCCAACTCTGTCTGCGGCGGTGAGAAGTCTTGGGATCTCTTTGCCAGCATTCCTGGTGCCATGAAGGAGTTGCAGGACCGTCCTGAGCACTGCCTTGACCTCAACTTCATGATGGCTCTTCTCCACACCGGCTACGAGATGCCTATAGACCGTGAGGTCAAGATTGCCAAGAAGATCAAGGGTAACGAATTGGGTTGGTGCCTTGGTGCTAGGTAAGATTTGATTCATCGAGTGGAAAGTTTACAGAAGCTAACATATCACAGCTTGCCTCTTCTCTCCCCCGGATCTGGTTGGAAGTGCAGAGTCAACCAGGTCAACTAGACGGGTGACCTAATTGGCGACAAGATTGCGCAAGCCTCCCCTGGTGTTGGCTGGCTTGTAGTATTATAGATTTTTAATTCCACGACAGAAATGGGAAGTTCGATTACGAATAAGTGTATTTGAGAACAACGAACGTTACAAGGTAGATGCAGGAAACGCATCAGTACACGGATCGACGGCAGGCGTTCCATGTCTCGAATGGTTTCCCATGGGTATCAAGGTTAAAGACTCGTCAAGACGTAGCTATTGATTAGAATCAACCACACTCGCTGGACAAATAGTCAGATTTGCCTTCAAAGCGGTGCCGCCACCATGTTTATCACGTCTTCGATTACGTCCTCGGCGCCCACGCCTTCAAGAATGGATTCGATGGCTTCCTGCTGGCTGCCCCACTGCATGCTCCTTTCCTGTTTTGCGTGCACGATCCGGATCCGATGCAGGTAGATTTTCCTAATAGCCAAGTGAACGAGAGCCGGCGTCACAAAGTCCAGGCTATGCAAGGGGGCGAGGCATCTCAGCAGCTGGTCGAGATGCTTCGTTGCAATCGGTTCGATGCCGCCGGCAACTGCGCGGTGCATCCTCAGATATGTGACAATGTTCATTTGATAGCGTAGCACATCCACGTTGACCTGGACTTCTCGGCTCAGCTTGGCCAAAGACGCGATGTCCTGCCAAAAAGTTAGCCGCAGGGGAGACCAAACACCACGCGAAAGTTCACTTACACCTTCACTTAAAAGGGGATCCTCGCTGACGGCCATAGTCTCCTCGTGGATGCTCTTCTTCACCACGCTTTCGGTGCTGGCAGTCTCGGCATCGTCAGCTTTGTCGTACGCTTCATCCAGGTTGGCAAAGCCGTCGTCTGGGTCGTGCCAGTGGGCGATGAAGAAATAATCGTTCAGGTGCAGCGTAACGTGAGCCTGGCCTCCGCTCTCGGCGCCCAACGCAGCCACGAAAAGGAACTGCTTGGGAGCGGTCTGGACGGAGGTGCGGGTGAAGATGCGGCGGGTGCGTAGGAGCTCGAGGACCTGAATCTGCACGGCCTTGGGGGCGCGGTCCAGGTTCCGGGCGAGGATGACATTGGCGATGGAAGAACCGGCTGCGCCGCTGGGGCCGGTTGGGCTGTAGGCGTTGACGGCGGTCAGGGGCGAAATACCGGCGCGGGAGTAGAAGTAGGAGTCGTTGCGCGTGCGAAGGGGTGAGCCTGATCTGGTGGCTGTGGGCGACTGCGCTATGAGGATGGAAGATGCAAAGTCCTCCAGGGTGGTTTGCGGAGAGCAGTCCACGATGGCGCACGTCAGACCAAAGGTCTTTGTCGCGATCTGCAGGCAGGTTAGAGATGTGAGCAGCGGAACGGCCGCAACAAGTTGGCTTACAAGCTGAAGCTCCTCGATAAGTTCATTGAGGGCGACAGGAGGAGTGCTGACGATACAGTGTTCTCGGTTGACCAGGCACAAGAAGGCGGCGAGCTCAAGGTCGCTCAGGCCGTGGACCTTGGTCAGGAGATCTTCTTCATCCGCCATGAGGATCGGGTGAGATGTGTCTCCAAGGTCCCATCAGCGCATCTTGGGCTACAGACGTAGTCTCGTGTGTTGTTCGTCCACAGCATATATGTGGTGTGCGACTAGGTGAGGTAGAGACAGGCGGGAGAGGTCTTGGTGCTCACATGAGTTTTGAGCATAAGGTAATAAGGTAGTCAGGGCGTGCTCTTGCTGAGCTCAGTTCGCCTGGACCGTCGTTGAGTTGAGAAGGAGCATTATGTGTGGCTGGAGAGACGCTTTGCATGCAGCGGGCAAGGTACAGTGCATTGAGCAGTTCATTCCCACAGCGCCCACAGCGCCTGAGTCGTTACGTCAGCCACAATGACAACAGAAGTAACGCACCTGACGATACTGCGCAGGTAGACACTCGGAGCCCTTCCTGGTTAGTCCCAGCACTGGAGGCAGCTCTTTGATAGGCTGAAACCTGGAAATGTGACGGGAGCTCTCAGTACCGCCTGGTTCCCTGTCAACCTCCACCATGACTTTCCGTCCATCGATCTACTGCGTATCGACCTGCACTTGACACCAACCAACCACCCCTGACCGCAAGACGCCGGTCCGTTTTCGATCACCTTGACGTCCGAACCGATAAGAAACCCAACCCGCGACCGAAACTTTCGTACCTCTACGTAGAAAGACCGACTGTTGACGCCGACACTTGTTGACTATCCCAAACTCTACATACTCCTCCAACGAGGCAATCGATTCAAAATGTCATCGAGAAAGAAGGTCCTTCTCAAGGTGGGCTCTCCCCTCCCAGCGCTGCAGCATATCATGGCGCGGCATAATTGACGAGGTTGTTTTCGTGCAGGTCATCATCCTTGGCGATAGCGGTGTCGGAAAGACGAGTCTGATGAACCAATATGTGAGTTTCCGTGGATCAAGCAACACCCGGGAGGAGACTGGTGGCGCTGACGTGAATATTTCACCCAGGTCAACAAGAAGTTCAGTGCAAGCTACAAGGCCACCATCGGCGCCGACTTCCTGACGCGCGAGGTTCTCGTCGACGACCGACAGGTGACGATGCAGGTGGGATTAGACCGACACAACGACTGATCCATGATCCGGACATGTGCTGACGAATGACGACAGCTTTGGGATACGGCAGGACAGGAGCGCTTCCAGTCTCTGGGCGTCGCTTTCTACCGTGGTGCCGACTGCTGCGTGCTCGTATACGATGTCAACAACTCCAAGAGTTTCGATGCTCTGGACAGCTGGAGGGACGAGTTCTTGATCCAGGCTTCGCCACGGGACCCGGACAACTTCCCCTTCGTTAGTAGCTAATGACACTGGACTGTGCGAATCGAGGCTGATGTGCGACTAGGTCGTTCTTGGAAACAAGATTGATGTTGAGGAGAGCAAGAGAGTTGTAAGTGCGCCAAAATGGTTGTTCTCGGCACAGTTGGCTAACGTGATTGTAGATTTCAACCAAGCGCGCCATGACCTTTTGCCAGTCCAAGGGCGGTATTCCCTACTTCGAGACCAGTGCAAAGGAGGCCATCAACGTTGAACAGGCATTCGAAGGTTGGTGCAGCGTTATCTATGAGCCTCCGTAACGACGAGTAGGCACTGACAACATCAACTAGTTATCGCGCGGAACGCTCTGGCCCAGGAAGAGTCCGAGGAGTTCAGTGGTGATTACCAGGACGTCATCAACATCCCCATCGAAAACCCCCGAGACGGATGTTCTTGCTAAGTTGCTATTGGGTAAACAGTTGGTTGATGTTGGCGAGTCGAGGACTAGGGCGGCACACAGTATTAGGACCCTGTCCGACTCGCATTATGTTTAGTCCAAGGGCCTTTCCACATATCCATTTTTGGCCTTGGCTTGATGTTGCATATCCTGCACTGGTGTGAAAGGTGTTTAGAGGTTATTATTGGAATTTGATCAAGGGTTTATTCGTCTGGTTCCAACAACTATTCGCCTTCTGTGTCATGAATGACTTGTCACGCCTGCAACTATGCTTGAGTAATGGTCCCTGCAAAAGGGTGCCTTTTACAACATTCCATCTCAACCAACAAGCGCAGGGCCCGGATGGACAACCGTCTATCCCATCATGTACTCATCACCAGTCCGAGCTGGCGGATCATTCTTGCCGTCCGTCATCAGACTCCGCTTAGAAGAATGGATCCGAGGCTACACTAAAGCCCCAAGGCTGGAAACCGGCACTAATTCCGGCCTGGCAGCCAGTGCTCTCTGTAAGCTTCATGCGAGGCGTCATGCTTGGCTTTGTCCAGCGGCGGCAGCCTAGAGGAAGAGGAGGTTGCATCTTTTGCTTTAGGTACCTTGGGATTTAGTAAGTACCTTCCCTTACATACAGCAGAGAGACTCATCTCACTTGCTCCCTTACCTTAGCCACCTGCTATGGGTACTGAGGGCGGCTGAGACTTGAAGAAGTGGCACGCGATCGACCCACCACTATTGGTTGCCGGTACTTGGGACGAATACAGGGGGTGTTTTCGCCCGTGCCATTGAAACTCAACCTTGAAGAAACACCCTTAATTAACACATTGACACGAATCCCTTGAAAGTAAACGCTCCAGCGACGAAAAAAATAACGGACGACGCGTCTGCATCAGAGAAAGCTCGCCAGGCTTCCTCGAGTGTTCGCTTTGTTTAGGGTCTTTTCGCCGGTCTCCAGTGAATCGCTCCATAATCGTCATCGCCTTCAACCCGACGGCCCGAGAAGCAGTTGGCATACGGCATATCCGTGCCGTGCTACACATGCGCCGAGTCGAGCGACGGGACATTCGGCCACCGTCCGCCCCCCTCTGAACGCAATTGCTCTGTGACGACTTTCCGAGAGTTCGCCCTGCTCTTCGCCGACCCTGCGGTCAAATGCCTACAGCTTCGACAGCGACCCTGGATTACCTCAAGGCGGACAGCCCTCCCTGAATCTTCGAACTCCTCCTGATTACCTACCTACCTACCTCTCTCCCCCGACGATACGGCGTGCGACGACAGATTGCGAAATCGCCCGAAACGAAAATGGCACCGAGCGAGCCTATGCTGCCCGCCGCGTTGGCACCACCAGATCATGACCGTCCTCCGAGGAGGTCATTCTCGAGCACCGACAGGCTGAGCGCCTCGGTTGCGTCTACAAATCGGTCGAGATCGACGGTGCGGTCATCCGGATGGCAGGCAAAGATGGGACTGGGCGGCGTTGCGAGGCGGACGCTAGGCATTTCGCTGTTGCTCGTGACAGTGTTGTTGTGGACGATATCCAACTTTTTGGCATCTGTGAGTTTTTGGCAGTGTTGCTTTCGTTGGCGTGAACTGGCGCAAGCTGACAGTGAGGGGGACACAGTATATTTTTTCAGATCATTCTTACGACAAGCCATTTTTTGTGGTGTATATGAATACGTCGGTGTTTGCGGTGTCTCTGATACCCATGTTGGTGCGTTTTCTGATGCTTCACGGTGTCGAGGGTCTACGACGTGAGGCCATGGTGGTCTGGAACGAGCAAAGGTACGGCAAGGACCTTAAGACGGCCGAGGATGAGGAAGACACGGTGGCGGGGGAGCGCCTGCTGGTCGACGATGAGCCGAGCCTGGAGATGGAAGGGTTTGAGACAACGACGAGGGTGGAGCGGCTCACGTTTCGGGAGACGGCCGTCATCAGCCTCGAGTTCTGCATGCTGTGGTTCTTCGCAAACTACTTCGCGTCGGCGTGCCTCGAGTACACGAGCGTCGGGAGCGTGACGATTCTCAACTCGACGAGCAGCGTGTGGACGCTCGTCTTCTGCGCCGTGATGGGGGTCGAGGGATTCACGGCGCGCAAGCTGATTGGCGTGCTGGCGTCGCTGACAGGTATCGTGCTGATATCGACGGTGGACCTGTCCGGGTCGAGCGACGAGAACCGCGGGTCGTTCCCGCACAAGACGACGGGGCAGATTGCCATTGGGGACCTGATGGCGTTTGTGAGCGCCATCATCTACGGACTCTACGTGACTGTGATGAAGAGGCGGGTAGGCAACGAAGATCGGGTGAATATGCCGCTCTTCTTTGGACTCGTTGGACTCTTTAATTTGGTGTTCCTCTGGCCCGTCTTCTTCATCTTGCACTTCACGGGGATGGAGCCGGTAAGTCACACCACGCGCCCTTTCCTCGTGGACTTTGAGAGTGTCTAATCAAGGTTGCCACAGTTCTCGTTTCCTCCTACGGCCAAAATCTGGGCCATTGTCATTGGCAACTCGCTATCGTCCTTCATCAGCGACATGTCATGGGCGTACGCCATGCTGCTCACGACGCCGCTAGTCGTGACGGTCGGTCTGTCTCTCACTATCCCGCTGTCGCTCATTGGCGAGATGATACAGTACTCGCAGTACTCCAGCTGGGTGTACTGGGTCGGCGCGGCTGTGGTGCTCATCTCGTTTCTGTTTATCAATAACGAGAGCCACGAAGACGAGTCAAGCGACAAGAGCCCCGAGGCAGGATCCCGGGGCGTCTCGCAATTATGAGAAAGGATGTTCCTATAGACACAAAGTTGTAATTCGAGAGCAGAGAGAGGCGCGGGGATCTAGACGTGTTGCATGGGCTAGGGCGTTAAGACACGGCGTACGGTGCTTCCCTTGTTGGATTCCGCCTGGAGCGCCGTTGAGACTGAGCTGTTTGCTCAGTCTCTTCATTAATACAATCAACTTGCATCACATCGTGCCAATCAACGCGTGTGAGACCTATCCCTCGTAATCTTGTGTCAATCATTGAAGGTCCTTGTGATAGTATATGAGTAAGGCACGGCGTCAATTTCACGTGGCACGCATGGGAGGGAATGACCTCTTAACGAAGCCCATCTCCATATACCAAGGCGGATGATTCGGAAGAGCTGTCAGGCAAAAAGAGGTGGTCCCGAGTGGAAACGTAATGCAGCTGCGGTGGAGATATTGCATCGCAATGGGTGAACCCGCGGAGTTTTTCTCTATTGACTGGTCGGTCGGTCGGTCGGTGAGAGGATGAGCGCGCCGAGGTCAAGGTGCAGCTGTAGTGTGACTTTGGAAAGACTGGGAAGGTCGGTCGAGCACGACAAGACGGGATTTTGCAGAATCCGATGGCGGATTTGAGTAAAATGCGATGCATGGGGCCTTTTTTTTTCTGCTATCTTCCTTGATTTTGTGAGGGGAGGGGGGGGGGGGAGGGATCTGCAGACGCATGGAGACAGCCGCGCAATCGGATTCGCCGCTTGGTACTTGAAGTCTCCAGAATGTTTTTGAACATATGTGGCACAGTGATCCTATGCTTTCCCCCCCTGCTCTTTTGTTGATAGAGTTGCGGGAAACTGGGAAAGTCTGCTGTGACTTTGATTTGGCGTCTTTGGCATGTGCGGTATCACGGAAGGCCTGGGATTCTTTCTTGGGTTGCATTGAGGTTAGAGGTGGGCAGAAAATGTCGGAAAGCAGTCTGTAAGGGATAGAGTCTAAGAAAATCTCTTGGGACTCTATCTGACTGGATTGCAAACCAAACATGATGCGGAAAGAAGTACGAATTAGTTGGCGACAATTGAAAGGAGGTAAGTAAGGTGTACTCTGTTGACAAGGCGATAAGGAACCTAGCTTGGAAGGTATTAGAGGCACAGGTACACTAGAGAAAGGAGGGATCACCTGTTGGCGCCGCGGGCAGCAAGCCTGAAGGGCGCTTGACATCGTGGGGTCCTGCCAGAGTTGATGGCCCGCAGGAAAGCCGATCGCTGGGGCGCGCTTCCTCCTGCAGATGGCCCAGTCGCTATTCGGTATGCATTGGTCTAATTTATTGTACATGGCCGTGATGGAGGAGCCTACACGAGCTAAAGGGTCCAAGGGTTGCATAACTCGTGTTTCGTTAGTCTGGCCAGCTCCCTGTCCTGCTATTCCCGCCTTCCAGGTTTTCGGAGATCGGGACATAAGACATTTGGACTCATCAAGATGAGAAACGCATCAGGCATGAATATGAAGAAACCATTGGTATCTGTAAAGCGTCCAGAAACGAGGAAAATGGCAAGCCACAGTGGACTGCTTGGCTGCGCAAAAATGTCGGGCATGCGGCGTGGCAGGCAGCGTATCCGTACTGTAGCAATGGGAAAATGTTCGATTGGAATCCAGCCCGATGGATAAAAGTGGTCCCTTACGGGGCGAGACCGCGAATGATCAAAAGCCATAGGACCCAAAGACCCCTGACCCCTGACCAAATGGAGGTCCTCCACAACCCTCGCCCCCCGCCGGGTCCCCCTCTTCGCCCTCGTTTGTTTGCTTGAGGGTACCCGAACCGCATTTCCATTTCCTTCTCGTGAGGGTTTCCCATGCAACGAAAAAGGCGAAATTTGCCATGCCGTGGCGGGGGGTTTATACTGAGGTTCTACGGATGTTCCTCTGGTGTGTATGCTGATATGATTCAAGGCTATGTTAGCTCCTCAGGCACAACTACGGATACTACATGTCCACGAGACCTCGACGCGATGCGACAAAGCATAAAGAGATGACATCAATTTTGGGAATAGTTCCCGTCAGGCAACAGATAACCCCGATCTCCATCTCAGACATCTTCTCTTTCTTTTACCTGCACCTGCACCTGCACCCATCACCCCAAGACCAGACCTGAGCTAACACCCGATACGATCTTGGACGTGGCCCAGTCGATTTTCAAGATTCCATGCTGGAGGTGCGCACTAATAGCTTTCCGAGCTTCTCTCGTCCACATCGTCTCGCCGAGACTAGCTTCTTCCAACCCCGTTTGCCGGGCCCTGCTCTCCTGTCCCCGGCTCCTTTGGGTCTTAAACTTTTCTGTCTCTTCAATACCTTGCTTGTTTTCCCAGCTTGCATGCCAATCAAAGTGGAATCTCTCCGGACAACACTAGTCCCAAGTTCCCAACCCTTGGGGACCTACCCGAACCCTCGACCGCGACAAGAAACAGAAAAATCCAAGTTCCTGGGAAAGTCTCACTCCTCCTTGTGAAGAGCAGGCACATCGCATGCTGGCCCGGGTAACCGACCACTTTTATCAGAGTATCAGAGAGGGATACCTACCGCTAAGGTATCCGTAGCTCCAGCAGGAAAGAAAGCTCTGACGTCGCCGCCTTCTTCTCCATATGGTCGGTACCCTTCCGTCTTTGCCACCCGCTACTTCTCTTAGCCGTTGCTACCTACCCAAAGCGCAACTGCCACTGGTTCAGCCTCTCCCAGGGAAAGAAAAGAGAGAGACACACACTCCCTACTCGATCACTGCCCTCGACAACCTACTGAAGATCGACGCTACCGCTTCCGTTTGTGGTTTTCGTCCGTTCTGTCCCCTTCCAAGGTCCTTCTACTTTATCTTGCGTTACGCCTTGATCTCGCCGAGGAGGCCTCGAGGAGGAGCAGCGGACAAGCAAGTCTTCTAGGACTACTGGCTACCTACTCTTCTGTCTCTGCTCCTGTCTACCATACTATCGGTACACTTTGACTCTCGACTATCAACCACATCACCTCGGAACCTGTGTCACCCCAAGCATTCATTATCCTACTATTCACCGATCTGGACGAGGGGTGCTTGGTTCCCGTACGAATACACCCCCTACGCCACGCCCCTATTTCGTTTTCCTGCACGTTTCCTAGAAGCCACCAGCCGCACCTCTCCGTCACGGGAGGCTTGACAAACAAACGGCGCCGCCCCGGTGCCCGTGACGATGACCTCACCAGCCGCAAAGCCGGCCGAAGATACACAACGTCCCTTGGCCGAGTCTATCGCCGCCGCGACCCGATCTGTCCATGCAAGGCTTAACAAGATTATCATTGCTCGCCTGCCCTTGGCGATCCCACCCCGCGCGGCAGATCCCTCACTCTACGCTTCTGGCCTCCTTCACATCACACCCATTTACGACACCTTTGAGTCACTATGGAAGACCATCGCGGAACCACCACAACTTCTCACACCTGGCGAGGCCGGTGACGACTGTGAATTAGGCCAAGCTGAGCTTACATCGGTGTCGAACGCTGACTCAAACCTACGACACCAACCTGCTCTATGCGAGCGAACTCGCTCGATACTAACGTCGCTGTACCTACCTGGACTCATGCGTTCTGATCGTCTGCGAGCCGACATTGGTTCCATCACCGGATGGTCACCCGATGTTGTAAACGAGCAATTGTCAGCGATCTCTCAGTCAGGGCGCCTCGCTGAGTTCACAATGCACGTTAGGCGCACCATCGAGAAGAAGCCTCATGTCCTCATGGCGTACTCGTACATCTTGTTCATGGCCCTCTTTGCCGGTGGACGTTTCATTAGAGCCACCCTCGAGTCTGCGGGTTCAGAATTTTGGGAGCAGACGTCGTCGCCCGTTCCACCCTCAGAGACACCCTGTCAAGAACGTACACCATCATCAGACACGGCTATTCATACTACAACACCAGTCGACATGGCACGGGGTGATGACCGCGGGAAGATCGAAGTCGGCGCAAAGCACATGCGTCATTCTCTACCCCTGAGCTTCTTCCACTTTGCGACGCCACTGGACGGCGAGGACCTCAAAAAGGAGTTTAAGAAACGGCTAGAGGAATCCGAGCATCTCCTGACACCCCGCGAGAGGCATGACATCATCCAAGAGGCCGTCTGTATCTTTGACAATATGCTGCTCCTCGTTGGCCAGCTGGACAATGTATGCGACACAGATTTGGAACATGGTCCTTCCGTCTTGGAATCATGGGCATCATTGGCACCAGGCGGCCGTCTACGCGACAGTGTGGCCATTGCCAGAGACAGGAAGAGGGAAAAGACGGCCTCGAAGAAATCCGAGGACAGCGAGAAGTCTGATTCGTGGCTCTCCAGGCACACGAGGCAGAAGGCTTGTGAGACTCCAGAGTCTCATGCTTTGAGCGACCTGGAGAAACAGCCCCCGGCATGCTGTCCGGCCTCCAAGTCTATGAGATTCGAGCCGAAGCTTGCGGTGCCAAACAGAAAGGAAAAGGGGCAGACGTTCTCGACAGACGGCGCAGCTAACGCAGCGTCATCTGCAGGAGGCGTGATGTCTAGGCAGGGGCAGCTATCACGCTCTGCCACGTCCTTGATATCTAACATCATCATCGTGGCAGGCTTAGCTGCGATTGTCAGTATTTTCTTTCTAGCAAAGAGGACGGGAACAGAGGGCGTGTAGCAGAAGGGGAGCGAAAGAAGGCATTGTGGCAGCATAGCATGACGACCTCGGCGTTTCGGAGCGTTTTCAACTCAGGATACCTACTGCATGGGATAGATATACGATACCCCCTATTGCATTTTCAAGGTGTTTTGACCTTTTGTTTTTTCCTACGACATGGCATAGCAGTAGATGGTCTGTGACGGACTTTTAAGACTTTCAGAGGTTAGATAGAAGGGCTGCTAGACAGCATATTCCGAAACAAGTCTCCCTCGTAGTGGCATACGTGTTTCCCAGTGAACTGAGTGTTGCTTTCTGACATGTCTCATTATGTGTAAGGGGCTTTTTATCCCGTGAGTGCTATGGTATCTAGAACCCCCCAATCCAGTCCGGTCCAGTATAATGCAAAGCGATGCGATGCCATTCTATGCTACTTCCTCATGCCAAGCCAATCCGAACTCAACCCCCCGTCTTTTTGCTCTTGTACTCTCTCATGTTGTAACCCGTCCAAATCAATGCTTTCAGAAAAAAGAGAAAAGAAAAAAACTCCCAACGCGCCCCGATCCAGTTGACTCCTCTCCGCGCATATACAAACCGCACAAAAACGGCCAGACGATGAAGTCGGCCTGTCAAACTCTCGTCATGAAAAAAAATAAACAACTCATGACCTCTTGGTCGTCTAGAATAGCCCAATCCAGACGCATGCTTCTTTTCTCACCTTTCTTTTCTTTTTGCTCTGTCTTTTGTTGGGTTTTTGGATCAGCACTCAGAGTGCGAGTCGCAGTCCTCGTCCCAGTCGTCCGCAACATCAGCCCAACCAGCCATGTGGCGATTGCCGCCAAACTCGCCTCCAGTGCGCAGCTCCCACGCGTCGCGGCCACCACCACGGCTGCCATCGTCGTTGCCCTCTTGCCAGTGGCGCACCATGTAGTCGTCCGAGATGGTCACGAGCTTACCCTCGTTAGACCAGCTGAGACCCGTCACCTCACGACGGTGGCCGCGGATGAGGGGCGTGCCGTTGCGGATGATGGGCACCTGAGCTCCGCCACCGTTGACAGACTTTGCGTGGGACGATGACGTAGTTGCGCTTGACGAGGTGGACATGGTTTCCGTTGCCGGAAGATGACTCTGCGTGTCCCAGTACTCCCGCATGGCGCGCTCGTCGGTGGGAAAGACAACCGCGCACTTATCGGTGCTACCGACGGCGAGAAGCTCGTTGCCGGAAGCCGATACAGGGCGGAGAGCTCCGCGCACGTAGAAGCTCTTGACGTGGAAAAGGTCGTGCTTGAAGCCGTACAAGGGGGCCAACCCCTGCATAGCGGAACCAGCCCGTTGACGCGGAGGTCGAACGGAAAGTTCAGGGGCATGGCCGAGCATGAGGTGCGAGGTCGAGTACGCGTAGACGGTACTGTCCTTGCACACTGCGTACAGGCGGGCCGCGTCACTGCTCAAGGCGAGAGACGTAAGACCGTAGGGCCGCCAGCGATGGGTCGCCGGTTCGGCGGTCACCGCTAGGGGGACGGCCTCCTTGTTGCGCGGGGTTATGTATCGCGTATCCCACAGCTTGATACAGGCATTTGCCTCCGAGGCGGAGAGAAGCAAGTGCTCACGACCCTCCGGCATATACTGCAGCGCCGTGACGGATGCTGGTGATGTAACTCCATGGATCGTACGATCATGAGCATTGTCAAGGGTGTTAGTCGTTCGGGCCCACAGGGGGTTGCGGTCTCTATCGCGGTGCACGATACCTTCCGGGCCGCGAGTGGAGAATGCAGCAGCCGGTGCCATGGAACATCGCAGATCCCAGATCTGAATCTTTCCGTCGCGGTCCGACGTGGCCACAACGTTTCCATTGGCCTGGCCAGGTTGAAATTCGACACGGCGCATCGATTGGAAGTGACCACCATTCAGTTCCACAGCAACCGTCTGCGACATGACGTCAAAGATTTTGCCGGAGCGGTCACCGCATGCACTTGCCAAGCGAAGATCGTCGTTCGAAAAAGCGAGGTCCATAATGGCATTCTCGTGGGCCTGGATGACAATATCAACCTTTGTACGGGGTACTGCTCCCAAAGGGGTTGTGGTAGTGTCGAAGAAGCGGATGAATCCCTCTTCGTCACCAATCGCCGTCATTGGGGCATCTGCGAGGCTTAGTTTAAGTTCAAGGACTATGACTTAGGGACACTCACTGTGACAACTTGCCAAACTAAAGGGAATGGTATTCGCTTGCGTCAGATGCGCGTTGCACATGTGGACGTCAGTGCTTCGGCTCCAGAAGGATGCCGTATCTGCCCTCGAATCTGTCGATGTTAGTTACAAGCCATCATTTGCAAAAGTGAACAACTCACCAAACGCAGGATACTCGAGATGCTCACGCCCGGGGCGGGGTGTGCTACCCTGCTCCCGGAGCAGCAGTTGAGCATCAAAGCCCCGGTTGCGGAGCTTAATCACGGGTTGTGGCCGGTACTCCGGAACAATCTGGGATATATTAGTCTATTTGGAACAAATCGTCGGGGATCAAACATACAGGCTCATCCTTTGGTGGCAGAGGAAGCTTAGTGAGAGTTTTAACGGCCTTTCCTCTGCTAGAAGCGAGAATCCCTGCCCGGTTGCACTTGAAGTAGTCAATCAGCGTGGACCTAGGCCGAAGACCCTCATACCCCGAGGTCGCAAAGTTGCTAGCAGTCAAGGAGCTAAGCCTCCGTGCAAACTCGTCTGGCGTTACTTGAGGTCCTGTCGAGTACGTTCTGCCCAAAGCTGCCGTTCGACTAGCCGAGGGCGAGAGTAACTCCGGAGAACCCATAGGATGGTCCTCGGAACGAGCATTTTCATTTTGTTGCAACGGTGATCTTGCGATAGGACTTCGGCCGAGAGGATAGTCTTCTTCCAAATCCTCCGGTTGGGTCCTTGAACGCTTCGTGTCTGAGCCGCGGCTTGACTGTGGCAACTTCATGGGTATAGCGTTGACGACACTCCGCTTCCGCTTCCTCGGGCCATCTTCGCTACCAAAAGGAGAAAGCACACTGCTGCTGTGATTCGAAGTCGGTGATATCGGTTCGTTGAAGCGGGGGCTGGATCGTGGAGGTGTCGGTTGAACGTTGAGTGCAGGACTGCGTAGCTCGCCAAGGGCTGGTCTTTCCCGAGATATCTGTGAGGGCATCCCGCGAGGGGTGAAGAAACGACGAAACTTCCGGGGAGTCAGGATAGACTTCTTCTTTTCCTTTCGAGACATCCGTGACGGCGGAGAGGAAGGGAGGGTGGGAGAGGATGCCGGAACGAGGCCATCGCTCGGTGGCGGACTGGCCATGCCGCCGTGATAGACCATGACGCTGGGGGTGGTGGTGGTGGTGACGATGACGATTCGGCTTCAGACTCAATGGCTACCTAATAGTATAAAAGAAACAGACGACAGACAGAAACGTCTTTGAGAACAGAGAAAGAGAGCGTGTGGTCCGGCAGGCGGGGTGGTGAGGGCCGAGTTTGAGCAGTCAAGGTTGAAGCAAGGTATCTAGTTGTGGTAGGTAGGTAAAGCTCTTGACGTCTTACTTGCCCGATCGAGACTCCCTCTTGACCCTAGCGCAGCTCTCTACGCGACAAGGTCGCGGTGCGCGCGTGGTGAACGCGGAGACCCACCTGAGGATGTTTAATGGAATTGGCATTCCATCCGATGAACCGAGCGCGGGACACCCCACATTGCCATGCGCTAGTGATATCTCCACGTGATTCTTATCGCTCCCCTGCAGCTCCGCTAAAAAAATTCTGAGAGAAGGGACGTTGCGAAAGTCGAGGCGGCGGGGCGGGTCCGAAATTCGATAATCCTGCAGAGAAGGACGCCCTTTGGCTGCAGAAGAGCTTCCCAACTCTCGCAAAGACTACCCCGTGCATCTCGACTTGGCCTCGCCTTCCAGACAAGATGGCGATCCAGAAGAAGCACGGAAAGGGACGTTTGGATAAGTGGTACAAGCTTGCCAAGGAGAAGGGATACCGCGCCAGAGCAGCGTTCAAGCTGATCCAGCTGAACAAGAAATATGGCTTCTTAGAGAAGAGCAAGGTCGTCGTCGATCTTTGCGCTGCGCCTGGTGTAAGCTCCTTCACGTCAATGATAACCCAATCGCAAAGATTTTCTTGCTAACATTTCACAGTCATGGTGTCAAGTTGCAGCGGAAACGTGCCCCGTCGGCGCCCTGATTGTCGGTGTCGATCTGTCGCCCATCAAGCCAATTCCCAAGGTCATCACCTTCCAAAGCGATATTACGACCGAGAAATGTCGAGCCACGATTCGATCGCATCTCAAGACATGGAAGGCAGACTGTGTTCTCCACGATGGTGCGCCCAACGTCGGTACTGCGTGGAACCAGGATTCGTTCAACCAGGCCGAGCTGGTGCTGCAGTCGATGAAGCTTGCGACGGAATTTTTGGCTGAGGGCGGTACCTTTGTCACCAAGGTCTTCCGATCCAAGGACTACAACCCCCTGCTGTGGGTCTTCAACCAGCTCTTCACAAAGGTCGAGGCGACCAAGCCCCCTTCCTCGAGAAACGTGTCTGCCGAAATCTTCGTCGTCTGCAAGGGCTTCAAGGCCCCGAAGCGCATCGATCCCCGATTCCTCGACCCCCGTGCCGTCTTCGCCGAGCTCAAGGACGCGACCCCGAACAACGAGGCCAAGGTGTACAACCCGGAGCAGAAGAAGCGCAAGCGTGAGGGTTACGAGGAGGGTGATTACACACAGCACAAGGTCGTCTCCGCGAGCGAATTCATCCAAACCGCTGACCCCATTGCAATTCTCGGTCAAACCAATCAGTTGTCTTTTGACCAGCCGGCAAACGGAGACGTGGCGCTCGCCGCGCTGGACAAGCTTCCTGAAACGACAGACGAGATCCGCAGGAGTTGCGCAGACTTGAAGGTCCTCGGAAGAAAAGAGTTCAAGCAATTGTTGAAATGGCGTCTCAAGGTAAGGGAAATCTTTGGTTTCCCAACCAAGAAGACGACGCAGGAGAAGAAGTCCCTGCAAGATCAGGTGGGCGAGGAGGTCGCAGAGATCGAGTCCATGGACGAGGAGCTGCGGATTCAACAGGAGCTGGAGGCGCTCAAGAACAAGGACGACTCCAAGAAGAAGAAGGAGAGGAGGAAGGAGAACGAGAAGAAGCAGAAGGACATTGTGCGCATGCAGATGAACATGACGGCGCCAATGGACATTGGTATGGAGCAAACCGGACCCCTCGGCCCGGACGCCATGTTTGCATTGAAGACAGCCGACAAGGCCGGCGGCATCAACAAGATCTCCCGCGGCAAGATGGCGCTTCTCAAGGAGAGTGAGAAGAAGTCCAAGGAGGCCGAAGCCGGGATCGTGTACTCAGACTCCGAGAGCGACCCAGAGGAGGACCGCCTCGAGCGCGAGCTGGACGGCATGTACGACAACTTCAAGGAGCGCAAGGCGGCGGCCGATGCCAAGTGGCGCGCCAAGCGAGCTCGCGAAGAGCACGAGGACGGCGAATGGGAGGGTGTTTCGGGCGGCGAACAGAGCGACAGCGATGAGGACATGGAAATGGACTCTGACAGCTCCGACGATGACGAGGACGAAGATGACGATGCGAGCGGAAAGCCCCTGGTGACGGACCTGGACAGCACAGCCGAGAGCGGTAACCTATCGAAGCGCGCATCGGCTTTCTTCGGGCAAGATATCTTCAAGGATATCGATATGGGAGATGTTGACGACGAGGACTGGGGCGTCGACAACAAGCCTGCTGAAGAGGAGCCAAAACCGAAGAAGGCCAAGACAGAAAAGGAGGACAAGAAGAAGGCAAAGGAAGAAAAGGCCAAGGCAGCTGAGGAAAAGCAGAAGGCTAAGGACGAGAAGAAGAAGGCGGCCAAGGAGGCGAAGCAGAAGGCTTCCGACGGCTTCGGCTCAGATTCCGAGAGCGAAGACGATGCCGGCTTTGAGGTCGTCAAGAACCAAGAGGAAGACTGGGAGAACCAGGAGAAGAGACGGCCGGACGGCAGACTCGGTAAGTCCAGCTGCCTACCTCTGGACCTCTTGTCCAATCCATCGTGGAGAGAAGAACAATTTGTACTGACAAGTCACCAGACATCGACATCATCACAGCCGAGGCCATGACGCTCGCCCACCAGCTCGCGACGGGCGAAAAGACCAAACAGGACCTCATGGACGACGGCTTCAACAAGTGGGCCCTCAAGGACCGCGACGGCCTTCCGGACTGGTTCATCGACGACGAGTCGAAGCACGACAAGCAGCAGAAGCCCATCACCAAAGCCGCGGCGGCGGCCATCCGCGAGAAGCTGCGCGCCTACAACGCGCGGCCCATCAAAAAGGTGCGCGAGGCCAAGGCGCGCAAGAAGTTCAAGACGGCGCAGCGCCTCGAGAAGCTCAAGAAGAAGTCGGACTCGCTTGCCAACGAGGAGGGCATGACGGAGAAGGAAAAGGCCGAGAGCATCGCCAAGCTCATGGCCAAGGCGGGCAAGGTCAAGAGGAGACCCAAGCCTACTCTTATCATCGCCAGGGGTGAGTCTTTTTTTTCCCCTTTCTCTATCAAAAGCATCGTACATGTTCTTCCATTTGCTAACCACACGTATAGGTGCCAACCGTGGTATTCAGGGTCGTCCCAAGGGCGTCAAGGGTCGGTACACGATTGTGGATTCACGAATGAAGAAGGACCTGAGAGCGCAAAAGAGGCTAGCCAAGAAGAAGAAATAGACGTTAATGTCGGTAGATTGCCGACCTCATCATCCCGGGATGATGTTCCAATTATGTTTGTCAAAACAAAGCATGGCTGGGAAATCAGGCGCATTAATGTGTTCATGGAAAAAAAGCTCACGGCGGATCTGCGTATGTGTGTAAAAAAGTCTTGGCATGGATGTGCATCATCGTGTGTCTTTTTTGTGCATTATCGTATCGTTAAGTAGAAAAAAGTCGTTAAACGGGGAAAAAAAAGATTTGAGATCACCATGGCTAAATGACGTTACCCCCCGACCGCCATTGTACGCGCGCCTCTATCCAAAGGAGGAAGGGAATCATGAGAATATGCCGCCGCCGGAAAAAAGCAAAACAAAAGTCTGGTACCGAGCACCACATGCTGCATATCTTACAGCAGCTTGAATGAGATCTTGACAAGTGAGGCGGAAGGATGCGAACGCCGTCCTCTTTCTTCTTTCTCCCAGAAACCGTTTGCTCTCTCGCCTCTCGACATCGTACAGCTCTTCCTGCGCCTGCATGTGTATTCGTACCGCCGTTTGTAGAACCGAAGGGGGAAGGAAAAAAACGCCGAATGCTGTCCTGCGAAATGCAAAATGCCTCCTCTTCTTTTGCCACCGCCGCCGCCGCCACTGCCGCCGCCATTATAAGCGTGTCATGACTTCGGCCTGGATTCTAGTCGTCCTCCTGCTTGATCCTCACTTCCTGGTCCTGGTCCTGGTCCGGTGCCCGTGGACCCAACATCCAATCTTGCATGGCGAGCCACTCACTCCATTGGGTTTCCGCACTCTGGATTTCCTTTTCGGTGACATTAGATAAAGGTCGGAGGAAGGGAACTTGCTGCTCGCCGTCCATGTCGTAGTGCGACTTCACCTTGAGCCAAGTGTCGCTCTTGGCGGCAAACATGTAGTTGCGGCGCTCAGCTTCGTGCATTGGGCCGATGCCGCCGAGCCAATCGTCACCGAAGAAGCCGTATAACACGGCGGGATAATCGAAACCGGTCACCACCAAGCGCCGAATGTACGGCGTCAGCGTTGCATGCGTAGAAGACGGCAATTGGGCGTTCATTGGCATCTTGCCGGCGGCTCGAGCCGTGGACGGGGTCGAGGGGCCGGGCCCGGCGGGGGAGTTGGGACCGGTGTGTTTGGAGGACAATACCGGGTTGTGGGCCTTTTGAAACGGGAGTTGAATGTTGACAAAGGCTGCCACAGCCTGAATGGGCCCGGTATACTGGGCATGATCCAAGAAATAGCGGAGGCATGATTGGAACTTTGGATACCATTCAAAGATGTCGAATTGGGACTGTTGGAACGGCTGAAAAGGGGGCCCATTGAGCGGAGGAGCACTTTGGTGACCGGTGAAGGCATGGCCTACCTGTGCATACTCAAAGCCCGAGGCTGCGGATGAGCCGCTCGAGTGGTGGTATGCCATGAGTCCTCAACAGGAGGACGAAAGGCTGCTGGGGGAGCAGGTGCCTTATCCGGAATTAGCCCTCGTCGTCGGCGATGACGGCGAATTGGGTGCTGGCAGCCGCGTTCTGGCGGTATCAGACGCTGATAGAACCAGAGAGCGGCAGGCGGTAGCCGAAGAAAAGGGACGGCAACGACTGTTGCGCGACGGGCAGAGGGCGGAGAGGGCGAGTAAGAGAGCTTCAGATGGAAAGAACAACAGAGCAGCCGGACGATGCAACCTCGTACGTGATTGTGTCTAATAACACGGCGTCCGACGAGGTTGCAAGATTTGGTTGCGATGTTGTGTCTTCTGTGTCTTCTGTCTCAGGGTCGACTCGGAGGTTGGCAGAGAATTTGAAAGAAGGTCGGTCGGAGGCACAGATCTGACGCTGATCAGGCAAGGAAGACATGCGGGACGGGGAGGAGAGGGAGGAGCAGGACCACATGCGGAGCCAGACCTGCATGGAGATGGAGTCGGAGAAGCAATGACAGCACCCAACAGAATAAGGGTTCTCGGTCCAGGGCTTGTCAGAGCACGGGATATGACGAGCGAAAGAAACGTCGACGATGGAACATGGGACGGGACGCCGGCCGACTTTAATATACTCTGGACAGTGTGCAAGAAGTTTGCCTGTATCCGTACGAGGGGAGGGGTGGAGGGGAGGAGAGGAAAAAATTATGTACGGGTGAGTGAAATGGTCCCTTGTTTTTCTTTCCCTTGCCTTGCCTTTCTCTTTTTAAGGTGGTGCTTGAGGTTGAGGAAAATGGACGGGGCGCCCACCCCGTAGAATAAGGTACATGATAGGAAAGGAAGGGTAGCAGAGAGAGAAAGGGAAAAGGGACAAAAAAAAAGTATGGCGACGAAGCGGAATGAGGTGGTCGGAGGGTAAGGTACATGCTAGGTGCAGCAGGGGCAGAGCCGAGGAGAGGGTACCTACATCAAAATGTGACATGGCTACCTACCGCAACTTGGGTCGAGATCGCGTCTGCACCCACGGCACACCAATCCGGTGAAGCAGGAGAGGAGGAGGAGGAGCAAAAGGCACACACACACACATACATACATACATGCATACAAGGGGGGAAAGAGGAGGGACGGGGCGGAAACAAGCAAAAGGCGGCGGTGGTCGTTGTGGTCGTTATGTGTGTTCGGTCCGGGCATGGCATGTACCTCTACCTGTTTGTCTACTTGCCCATCCACCGCCCACTCGGGCCTATGGGTATTATGGGTGCGTGATCCGGGAGAATCTTGAGCGTGTAGATAGAAACGTGTGAGGTCAACTGCCTCAGGTAGGACGGAATGAAAATAGGTAGGCGGGATGACAGCCCAGAACAGGAGAAGAAGAAAGTACCTGCGAATTGGTAGGAAGGTAGGCACGGTAGCCCGGTAGTTAGGCAATCCGGTAGGTTTGGGGATAGGTAGCGCGTTGCCATCCCGTTGATAGCGTAGCTAGATAAGTGGGAATGGGGCTAGGAAGTCGAGTAGTGTGTGAGAGGCGTGTGATGTTGGTTGGCGCGGCGCAGGCGCAGGCGCAGGCACAAGCACCGGTATGGCTTCGTGTGGTGTTGGTGGTGGTTGTTGTCGCCGTGGTTGTGGTGTAGTTGCATCTGCATACATCTCACCTCCAGGAACCTCCAGGAACTTCCTTCATTGTGTGCGCAATGGAATGTTTCGCCAGGGAGGTGTGGGAGCACCGACCAGAAGACTGGATGAGGGAGGAGACGGAGAGGCGGGACGAGCCCGGAGGCGTTTGGGTAAGGTATTTGTGGGGTGATTGGCCCGTGTCGACCCTTTTCAGGGTCTGCTCTGCCCTTCAGCGCCTGCGTGAGCGTCTGCCTCTGCGTCTCCGTGACAGTGTGGAAATAGTGTTTGCGCCGGCTTGTCCGTCGTCCTCGCCGCCGTCGGAAGAGAAGGGTGGCACGGATGATGGCGAGTGGAGATGCTAGGTGGTATCCGTACATTGGTAAAGGCGGCTGGCGGAAGGAAATGGGGCCTTCCATCTCATTCTCGGCCACCAACCTAAATCTGTTCAAACTCATTAGTGGCAGAATGGAAGAATGAGAGACAAGACTTACGAAACATGACTGAACGAGAGATCATAGACAAGATGGCAGGGAATTCCGATCGAGGGGCGGGAAACCATCAATATCGACAAATGTCTTCCACAGTGGTCTCACACAATGAGTGTTCGCACTTGTGTCCGTAGAATAAGAAGCTGGAGAATGATCGCTGGGGCATCTTGGTAAAGTATTGCGAGGAAACGGGCACAGGTTTATCGAAATTGGGTAACTGTATCCGTACCCGTACAGTTCTCAACCCAAGCAACCCCGGGCGGAAATGATGGATCATGGTAACCCCAGCCATGGATATTACTGATTGTGCGGATACTCCGGACCGGAATTCCCATTATTTTGTTATGAATCCCATGCCGGATCTGCGATGATCTAGATAGTCAGTAACTGCAACTTTCCTCGAACAAAGAGACAACGCTTACTTGAACTTTGTCGTCGGCGATACGAAGACGCAGGAGGGTTGTGAGGAAGTAGATGCAGAGCAGGGGTGCCAAGGCTAAGCACTTCAGCCGGAGTTGAGGCCGGGAAAGACATCATTGGACGAAGCGTTGCATGAGGCGGTATGAGATGAAGGGCGGGATCCCTGGCGGTTGCCAGTAGGGCGCATCTGTTAGCTGAAGCCTAGGTAGCAGTAAAGACGCTTGGTCGAAAAGATGAGGAAGAGAACACTGGATGCATACCTGTTGCTAGCCTTCCCTTGATTTAGGTTAACCCAAGGTAGGTGACTTGGACAGGTCAGGTTTTTCCTCAGATATCTTAGATTGAGGTAATCGACGTCAGGAAGGGGCGTGAAATGAGAGAAGGTGCCGACTTTGTCCTCCTTTCTTACCTACCTACCTTGTGTGTCTGCCTACCGATACTACGTACCGTACCTAGTGAAGTGCGTACCTACCTTCGAGCAACATCTTCCCCATGTTGGACCAGCAAGCCCGGGCCACCCATACAATCCTAGTACGTACCTCACCTAGCCCTAAGGTACCTAGGTATACGTACCCATGAACCAGCTGCGCAAGGTTCCAGACGTCCACCTGCCTTCCATCCAACCTTGAAAATGACCAAACACATTCCAACTGCACACTTTGTCCCATACGCCATGGCAATTTCTGCCTCTCGCACGAACACGGGAGTCCCGTACCCGAAGCCAAGGTAGAGGGCTCGTTTGTCCGGAGAGACATCTATTGGCTCTCCCATCTCCGCTGTCCGATTGCCTGAGTCTTGACGTAGATGCAGGTTCAGATCTCAGGTACCGCGGAATTCCTGCCATCCTAGTGTTGGACGTCTGTGTCTTACACGACAGTGGAACAAGATCACGAACACACGGGAACCACACACCACCTCCATCCATGAATCAGCCCGGAATCTGAGCATTGAGATGAAGAGCGCGGCCGTCTGCCAGCTCAATCCCCTCACTCCCAACCGTGGCCTTCTCAACTTCTCTGCACTTCACCCCTAGCCCCTGCCTGCCACCTGGACGACTGCAAAGAAAAGGAAAGAAAAAGAAAAGAAGAAATCTGAAGAACAATCGAGACACGAGTCCACCAGTCAATCGTCGGTCATACGCATTTCCCCCACCCCTTTCTCGCCTCTTCCATCCGACTCCGATATCATGACTGGATCTTGCCTGGCTTGGCTACCACCTCGAGCAGGGTGGGCAATCCCCTTGTTGTCTCCGAGAGCCTGCCTATGCGCATTAGCGAGCTTGAAGCGCCAAACGATCTTTGGTCGTTTCCGCCTTGGATCTATTACCCTCTCTCTTCTCATCAAAACCGTCTTCACCTCGGTCGAAAGGCTGCAATCACGCATCCAAGCATCCGAGCCTCGAGATAGCCGAAGGAATTTTCCTGACGCACGGCGCAAGGTCCTTTCGCCGATTCGAGCCTTCTTCGTGTCCCACGCTCATTGTGTTTGCCATCCTCCGGCCAATCCAGTCTTATATTCGTCAACTATTTCGCTTCCTTAGTTATCCGTATTCTCTCGAGAGACTTGATTGTCGAGGGTGCGACAAGCCGACTAGACTCTGGGGGAAACACTACACGCCAGTGGTCGGCTAGTAAGACTAATCGATGGGCGCCGAAGAATAAGCAAGCAAACGGCCAGGCTAAGACGATGTCACTGGTGCAAGCCAACGAAGCCACCAGTCCTGGCTGCGTCTCACGCCAGGGCACTTTGGGGAACATCACCGCCGCAGGCGACTACTCAATGACGATGTCTTTCAGCTGCCCTTGCACCACTGAAAAAGTGACGAACGAAGCAGCCCATGGGAGCAGAGCCAGACCAATATCAGTTCACAACCATGAAGGCGCTCTCACTCCAGGTGATCTGGACAACCATGGGCGCGGCATCAAAGCTCCGGTTAGCCGGCCCCATTGCTCAGCTGCCTAAGTATTTTAGCGGACCATGCAACAACCCGGATCAGGCGCGTCCGGTCGAGTCCGCTGAGGCATGCAAGACTCTCCTCCAAGCGCCCAACGAACCGCAGATTTCGTTGCATCTTCCGGTCGAGTGCAGGCGTGGGGAACGCATCTAAGCCAAGACCCATTACATAAGGCGTAACGGCTTGGGTACACCAAACCAGATACGTTCTTTCGACTCTCACGCGCCGACGTTTCGATGTTGTCAGTACGGAGTACACATATAGATATTCCTTCCATGTATCACCAATACACCAACTTGCGAGGTCTGCAGTTCCACATGGAGTCGCGTTTTCCATTTATTTTCGGGCCTTGTCCTACACAAAGGTCACTTACTCAAGCAATGGCCGCTATATCGACGGGTTGCATTCGCAAGTCATCGTGACCCCGCCGATCTAGCAGAATTCTCCCACAAGATCGTGTTGCACAACATGGCTTCTTGCTGTATCTCGGACCAGAAACGCGTACATCGGTCTCTTACGTCGACGAGAACATCAGTTTGGACTGCGGACGAAGCCGTGAGTGACAGACGTGCGTGGTGGCAGGGATTCAACCCCTGCTCCGGCCGAGAAGTGAATGAACGGGGCCAACCTGATTCTCGACCTCAAGCCGCTACCTAAATGTCTCTTGCTTGTATCCGTACAGTAGGTAACGCTGAGCCAAGGGCTCTTTGATCTGTCTGATTCGGTGCGTCCTCATGCTGCTATAGACATTCGGAACAGAAGCACAGAAGCTCATTGGATTAAGCAGGAAGCTGGACGAACTAGTGGCTCGGTCGACCGAGACATTGTCAACTTGTCTGTCTCTGAAAGATCATCCCCAAGTTGATCTCCCGTCTGGCCATCTGCCCGGTCCCAATATTCGATTCGTCTTCTCTGGCAGATCTGGTTCGACCGACTAGGGCTCGGAGCATCCCCTTGGCCTACCAACCAACGTATCCCCGAGCCAACCCATACTCCCCTACCACACGTCCTTGTTCCGTCTCGCAGTCAGAGTCCAGCTCCAAAATGTACACGCGCGCCCCAACGAGACCCGATTCCAAATACATTAGCCTCCCTCAACTCTAGTCATCCATCAAGTTTTTCCTAGAATGAGCAGGCTGTCATGCCACCCTCACCTCGGGACAGCCGCAGTTGCTCTTCGGACCACTCATCGAAAACGGTTAGGATTATGAGAGCCCTACATGCGTGCTACCAAATACCCTTGGGTCCGGCTATCGACGACGCGATATTAGCGATGCAAACTCCAAGGCGAGCCGAATTTGCTGCCTTCAAGTCCTAACACCTTGTCTTCAGAGTACCTAGTGGCCCTGTTGGCCTTAGCGATGGTTCCCGATTTAATTCTCCGACCCCAACTAGCAACGCTTGGTCATTCGTGGCCCATGCCTAGCAAAAGTTCGCCGGCATCAGCTCTCGCCCGTCATATGTGATACTGCCCGACTGGTAGGGGCGGCCAGTGCCACCTCTCCACGTCCTGCACCTTGACAAATATACCTAGATGGGTAGATGGATGTAAAGGACAGCCACCGCACCAGTCGTCTGAGACAACATACTCTTTGATATCCACCGATAAGCATGGCGCTACGAGTCAGAGCAGCTTAGCATCACGGGAACGATCTACAGGGGCATCAGACAGCCGCCTTGCAGATTCCACATTATGCTCTACCATGGCTCTGGTCCCTGTGCCCCTCGAAGAGCACCCGGCGTTGCGCCATCATTGTGGCATGTACTCCGTAGCGATTCCAAAGCTGCAAAGACCAGTGGGATTTGTCGTCATACAGTGGGCAGAACTTTGAAAAAACATCTACGTCAAGATTCCGCTTTCGCCAAGAAGGATACTGATAGACGCCTCGATCGATGCGTCAATCTTGCTTTGGTCCGCTAAAGACGTCCCTCTAAGCTCTCGGCCCAGTACATCGGTTTGACTGCCATTCTCACTGCCAACCACCCATCCTACCACCATACCTGAACATCCAGCCTCTTGAGCAACCAGATACAATACATCTAGGTCGAGAACGCAGTTCTGGCAGACCCCCCGTCGAGCAAGAGACATGCAGCTAGCCGGCTGGATGTGCTCGGAATATGCAGTCGATGCCGCCAACCCTCATGTACGATCGGCCACCAGCCCTCACCGACTTCCCTTACTTAGTTGCCAACCCTGGCTATCAGCTAGCGGCCTTTTAGTGGTGCGACATGCAAAGCACAGAACGGCGGCGCCTATTGAGATCTCGGGGTCCCGGATCTGGCCACAGCATCGTTCCAGTCAGACGGTAGCTTTTCAGGGTCTGCATGTACTACATCATCAACTTTCATGTGGTGGGCAACAAAGATCAGCTCGAAGATGCGCAGCATGTGTGCTATGCTCTGTCGGAAGTAGCGGCCGATACCAAATGGTCCAGTGCATTCGATGCGGCTTGACATTCCGATATCCCCAATTCGCGAAAAGCCGAGTTCAAGGCCTCGCATAGCTTCTGATCGAATATGTACGGCATAGGTTCAGTGCTAATGTCACGAATAGCACTCTTCTACCTCTGGCGTGCCGGCCAGGGATCCTGGTTGGCCTGTATATTGGTGAGTTGGCCACCATTCTTAGCCCCTGCTTGACGTCGGGATCTTGAGACGCTCCAACCCTGCACACTTCATCTCAACCTTGAGGCTCTGCGAACTACACGTCTCTGAATATTTGGACGACATTATCGACTCGACAAGCAGCTATTGCTTCCACTTGTCGCTGCGCCTTCGGGCCTAAGCGGAACTTCACACCATCAAGGACCGGCGCTTCAGGAACCATTAGCGTGATCAGACGCTTTCACCGTTCCCTCGAACAACGGTCTGTCAGCCGTGGTGTATGGTCAGACAGACAAAGCTGGAAGGAAACGGGACCGTTTACGCCAACCCCACTGAGATCCACGGCATAATCACAGACCAGTACCTTAATCACACGAACCATGACTTCAAGGTTAAGAGAGGCCCATCATTGTCTCCAAATGTACTTACAGCTATGCCAGCAACTTCTGTTGCCTGCGTCTAGCACATCCTCTGGAAATCCACGCACTCCTTCTGTAGCCCAGTAGTTGCCAAATTCCAGCCCTTGGCTCATTGTCTCGGGCTATACGGATCTTGCACGGACTAGGCACTCATCGCTACAGAATCGAAGTAGCTTTGGCCACAATTTACTTGTGTCCTGCGAGATGCTTCAACTATGTCACAGTGGTACGATTATACATTCATGGTTTCACAGAGGACCAGACGTTACCCCTGCAGGACTCGGTATGTTACAAATGGTCCATCATGTACGAGTGTCGCACAGCTGAGGGTCCAAAACGGGATGCAGTTCATTTCCGAGGGGTGATGAACTCTCTCGGAAGCTGGGAGTTGCTCGCGAGTTGAATTTGGAATGTTGGGCTATGTTGGATCCTAATTGACTTCATCTGTAGGCTGGAAGAAATTCAGCGATAACCATCGAGTTGCACGGGGTCACCGTGTCGACGACTTGCTGTCGTTCGCGGCTTCGCCTAGCCGAGCGGATGTAGGCAATGAACTCCGAATGGCACGAAAAGAAAGCTCACGGTGGAAATACGATAGGATTCAAGGCTATCCTCCTGCTCACCTGCAATCGGACCAGACCGGCAAAGGCACAGTAACGCTTGTGTAAGCTTCTGACCCGACACCGTCATTGTCTATCCAGTTGCGTGCCTTCACGTCGATCCGTCTCGGTTCTTCATCAGACAGTCCTTTGACCCTGCAACTTTCGGAAACTTTTATTGCTGTTTCGTGTGGTAGTTGAGAGGCTACGGCCTATGGCGCGCCGCAAGAGCCGTCCATGGTGCTCATCATCGCCCCAATACCGATTCAGACGCTCTTCTTTAGAAGCCGCCATCGAAATTTCTGACAAATTTGTGTCAAATTCTATGGCTGATGTCACGCCGTTGCTTTATACACTGCGTCGTCTCGAATTGCCGCTGTGGCATTCGATGGCCTAGCAAGCTAGGGGTATCCATCATCCGAGATGGCGTTGGTTACCGATGTCAAATTTGCCGATTTGGTATCTTTCCAGAACATCCGATGATCGACCGGATCATTCAAAGAAGAGACGTCCGCGACGTGGCCTGATCGGTCGTTCCTCGATGCTCACTCAGATCGACTTGCCAGCGAGGACTAGGTACAGTGAGATGGAGACGATCGTGAAGCCACTCCAAGCCATGACCAGTTCTTATCAATGAGAAAACAGGCCACAACGTAGTTTAGCATTAGGACTCAAGCGCTTTCGATTTCATACCGTTGTCTCCGCTTCGCGGCTCAAGAATCAGCCGCTTCCCGCGTCACGAGAGAACGATCGTGGGAAGTTCTGAAAGTCACTGCTTCATATGGCCACATTTGATCTCTAGGAACCGAATTTATCATGCCAATCGACAGCTCGACTTCTTGTTGGGTCGCCCGTTAGTTGCGAATCGCGACTCATTGCTACACGGTAAAATTGTCAAGCGTTGATACTCGTCAAGTGTTGGTTGGAACTGACTCTCTAAACTAAATAGCCGTAGCAAATCGCCTCGGTTGTTTACCATTTTCACCGAAATGGAACGAAAAGAAAGCTGAAGTGAGATTTTGATATCAAACGAGCCTCTCGATTTTCTAAGCCACTCGGCGGTTCGATCATTTGGAGAATACCTAATGAGATATTGCGAAAGACCCTGCTGGTTTTCTTCTTGTTTCATATGCATTGTTTTAGAAAACGAGATGATGATCTACTCCGTATAAGCATACCATGCTAACTATGTTTTCTGATAGATCACATACACGTGAGCACTCGGGCTGGCTACATGAAGAGCAGAAATTCTCCAAGCCAGCCACAAAAGCTCGGCTCGGCTTCAAGAATCAGTCGTTTCGTCCTCAAGATGAGAGCTTTTCAACACTTCTCATGGAGTCTCAGCTACTCTGCCTGATGCTGTCGCACAATCGAGCGTTCCATCGTTGTTGTCCGTTGCCGGCGGACCGGCAGAATGTAGCCGGGGCCAGGCGACGGTATGGTATAAAAGCACCTGGCGCGCAAAGGATGCCTAAATTGCGTTGTTTCTGGGCGCGTTCCGCGCAAAGACTCCGATTCCGCTGTGGATGCGAGAGACCCTTAGTTTAACAGCCAGGCGGGGCGCGACGGAACCCTTTTTCGACATTCAAGGCTGTCCGAGTCGTTGCCAACAGGGGCCTGTCAACCCGTCCGGGGTTTTCGGCAAAGATTACACGGGATCGTCAGTCAAGCTCGCTGCACGCATTTCAGCTGGCCGACATCTGATTGGGTGGTTTTGGCGAGTTGACCAGGAGCTGGACTGAGGTCTGCCTTCAGCTGCAAGCCACATTCTCCGGTTCGGGCTAAAGGCCATGATAGTCTTGTCTTGGGCACCGCTAGACTCCACCACACCGCTATCACGCCAAAAGCTCATCACCAAAGATGAGTTGTCGTGACATAGGGCGCAAAGCCTTGTTTGTTGCTTACAGTCCGTATCCGTAGGAGTTTATCAAGACTCAAGTGAGTTCCTCAGTCGCGAATCGAAAGCGTACGAAGCTGCGCAGGAGACACGAATTGGATCAAGTGATCTCCATGTAAGTGAGCAAAAGAGGGGCAAAGGTACGTGAGATCTACCCCCTTGAGTCAACTCGACGAGATATGTAACTAGGTTTCAGAAAAGAAAAACGGCTTTGGAATGATCATCTGGCTGTCTGCCTTGCCAGGCTGGTCGAATAACGCTACCAACGCGCATCGGTCCATACCCGCACCTCACGAGGCGGAGTTTCCACATGGTCCAATCCCAACCAGCCTCTATACCCCGGGCCAAGATACGAACGGTCAAGTGCAGGAGACTTGGAGCTGGACCCTTGGTGTATCCCTCCTTTGAGCCTCATTGGCGTTGTTGGACGCCATGGTCTATTGGCTCACCCGCAGGGCGCGTTCTATTTGGTAACTTTTCATCTCAGCCCGAGCTGGGATTGCCCGGCTGGCTGTATCTGTCTCCCTTTTCTCCCGCATCCTTCTCTGGAGCCCTCGTCTCTCTTCTTATCCCTCCCTTCTCCCCCCTTTTTCTCGCACTTTTCCTCCACATCGTATTATTCTGTAAAGACACAGGAAACAGATCGTTACAGCTTCAACATGGGGAGATTCATTCAACTCGGAGCTCTTGCTTGCTTGTACCTGGGCGTGGAGTCCAAGGCGCTGAGATGGCAGGACGATACCCCAAGCTGGTCTCCACCCAGGCAGACCATTGCTGCGATGAACATGGAGGAGCTCGGCTTCAGTCCGAAGCCCACTGCGGCGCCTGAGCCCGGCAATGTCGACCTGAAGCTGGCCAAGCGTGTAAGAGGCGACGACACCTGTGGTTACATCTCTGGAGAAGCTAGTAAGTATACAATCTTATGATGAACAGAGAATGGTGGTTTGTAAAGGATGCTGACCTCTCTCTAGCCAACTCCATCTACTGCGGTACTGGATCCTGTGTCATCAACAGCTTCTATTCTGTTGTTGGTTGCTGTAGCTCTTCCTCAGTCACAGACTGCACCACAATTGCTACGAGCTGTCTCCCATCAAGGTCGGCTAGTCGCGCCAGCAGTGGTGATACTCGTATGCAGCTCTGGTACGTTATACTGTCGCTCTTCTTTTCCTACGTGAACCATGTCTCATACGAATGCTTCTAGCACTGCCTCGGAAAGACCCGAGTGTGCCACTTACATCTACTCGGGCTCGCTGTTCAACCGTTATACCCTTTATGCATGCGCTGCCACCGAGGAAGTGATTGTTGTCTACGCAAACCCTACAGATTCTTCCGTCACCCAAGAGTCGACGACAGCACCGTCAACAACCTCCCTCCGCAACATCGCATCAACCACTGCTACGTCTGCAGCGACTACTAGCACGTCTAGCGGTGGTGGTGGCGGCGGCGGCGGCTCGTCCACTCCCGTTGGTGCTATCGTGGGCGGCGTCGTCGGAGGCGTAGCGGCTATCGCACTCATCGTCTTCGGCATCATCTTCCTCCTCCGCAAGAAGAAGAAGGACACCAACAACGTCAACAATAACCAGGCCGCCCACCAGTCTTATGTCGGACCCCCGCCGCCCAACCAGGGACAGCCGCAGATGTACCAGCAGCCTGGTCCCCCGGCGCAGCAGCCGTCGCCCCAAGGATACCCTCCCCAGCAACAGCAGGGACACTACCCGCAGGGCTTCACACCTGTGGACAACAACAATAACAGACAGAGCATGATGAAGCAGCACTACGACGTCACCACGGGATCCTACGACCAGAGCAACAACGGCGTCAGCCCGCCCGCCAGCCCGCCACCCATGAGCCCCTCGCCCACTTACCAGTCCGGTGTGCCGCAGTACGTGCCGTCTCAGAACAGCGTCAGCCCGACGCAGGGAACGTATCCTCCCCAGCAGCAGCCCCCGCAACAGCAAGGGGGCTACTACAACGCTCCCGCTCAAGGACAGCCACCTGCACCACAGCAGCACCAGCACCAGCAGCCGGGCTTCGCGTCTGAGTTGCCTGCTCACAGGGGCGACAATGAGCTGCGTGAGTTGGCTTGAATGGCTGTCAGTGTGGACTGAGGCGGGCAAATGTGGAAAAGCGCAGTCGATGTTTTGGTTTAATGATGGATTTAATTTTCAAGTATGAATGCGGGGTGCTGGAATGGATACGAAGCTCACGCTCTCAAATGCTGTTGTGAACGTGTAGTCAGCAGTGGTGTTGAACAGGATTCTTTGGAGGGAGGGGCAACTATCGTTATGTGTATATGTAATACCCAAAGTCTTTTACATGGCCTCAATGGGCGTAAGAAACCCTCTCTAATGCAATTGAGATATATATAAACCATGAGATTGCCAAGGGATGTCGTGAGACATGTCAACTGCTTGTGCGTTGGGTTTCATAATCGTTAAACTGATTACAGCTTGCTGTGTAGATCACGGCGCCAGGGTGTATTTGGGTTATCATGTCGTCCCGGGATGAGGTGGTCCACGGCCAAGGTATTGAGGAAACCTGGGTGGACTTGGTTTAGGTTTGTGACACCGCACATTTTCATCGTCGTTTCCAGTTCGTCTCGCAGGACTACGAATAAGTCAGTATTGCGGTTATACATCTCACAGCGTATGCATTCGCCCAGAAAGCTGCGACAAAATGGTATTCGAAAAAAAAAGGACTTACTCTCGATGTATCGCTCCACGCCCTCAGCACCATAATTAAGCCCATATAACAAACCCCTCCCAACACCCACGGCCTTGGCACCAAGACACAAGGCCTTGAAGATATCCGTCCCACGCGAGATGCCGCCGTCCACGTACACCTCGACCCTGTCAAACACGTGCGGGCAATTCTTCTGCAGCTCCAGCAGCACCATGATGGTCGCAGGGGAGGTATCGAGGCTCCGCCCGCCGTGGTTGGAGAGGACAATGGCCTCGACACCGGCCTCGACGGCCCGCTCGGCGTCCATCCACGTCTGCACGCCCTTGAGGACGATGGGGAGACCCGGGACGGTGCGGCGCAGCCAGGCAATGTCGGACCAGCTCACCGAGGCGTCGATGTAGCTGCCCATGATGCGGCCGAGGGCGCCACCCTTGGCGTCGTTGACGGCGCGGGCGCCGGAGATGGGGGAGCCCAGGGACTCGTCGGAGGCCACGCGCTCGTCAGCCTCGCGTTTTCCGGGGATCGGGGCGTCGATTGTGAGGAAGAGGGCTTTCACGCCCTGTGCTTGGGCGGAGCGCAGCAGGCGTTCCGAGTTGGCGCGGTTCTTGTCGACGTAGAGCTGGAAGAAGACGGGGACATCGTAGGGAGTCGCGGGTTCGTGCTCGCGCTGGGCGGCGAGGATGTCCTCGAGCGGGAACGAGGCGGAGACGGAGACGCACTGCGGGACGCCGGCGGATTTGCAGGCGCGGCCGAGTTCCTTTTCGCCTTCGGGGTGGACGAGGCGGGCCATTGCGGTGGGCGGGCAGAAGATGGGGGCGCGCATCGGGTGGGAGAGCATGGTTGTGGCGGTGGAGACGGCGGCGACGTCGACGAGGACGCGGGGGCGGAGGGTGATTTGGGAGTAGAGGGTCGCGTTGCGGGTTTTTGTGAAGAGGTCTGTTGCGGCGGAGGAGACGAAGGCCCAGGCTTTGGGGGAGAAGGAGGTGGAGGCTGCGGATTCGAAGTCGTGGGCGCTGATGAGGGTTGTGAGGGGAGGCTTTGAGGGCATGGTTGGTGGTGTTGGTGGTGTTTGGCTGTCTTGTTTTTGGGATGGATCTCGATGCTGCTGCTGCTGCTGCGGCCACTTGTGAGGTTGAGGTTTCGCCATGATGGCTCCCGGGGGTAGGACGCCCTTGTGGTGCGAGGTGGGAATGGTCGACTTGACCAGGTTGGGCCCGTGGACTTCAGAGTAGACTTCTGTGGCGTCTTTGCCTGCGCACTTGAGAATCACGGCGATGCCGCCCGGGTGTTCGCGAACAAAGTCTGTCAAGTCGTAGACGACGCCGTCGATTGCGAGCCAGAGGTCGTCGAGGCGGTTGTGTCTTGATACCTCGGCCGGCGTCAGTGTAAGAGGGGGCATGTTCTTATCATAGGAGTATGGGTGAGATGGGTAGAAGAATGGCGTCAGAGAGAGGGATGATGTTGAGAGGTGAAGACTTGCATCACCGTCTTTGTATGTCGTCGCGGGCCGGGCGCCAAGGCGTAGTCTGACATGTCCCGGGACCGAAGGGGGTAGTCGATTTCGGGCGGTATTGCGCCGAGAGGGTCCCTCGGGATGGTGGGGCTGCAGCGTGCCGTCCTCCCCGGGTTTCCCTTTTGATGCGACTCTGGCAATTGCCCTTGGATGATGGCCGCCCCCCATGCAGGCGGGGGTGGATTGCACCCTCAGGGCCCGCGGGGAGATTCTCTCGCTCGCTAAAGATGCACGGATTTAGAGCTCGTCATCACTGTAAATCACCGATGTCGCATTGGGTTGTTGGTTGTGGTGGTCCCGTGGTGGGAGAATTATTTTTATTTATTTTTTCATGTGGAGTTACCTCTCCAAAGCCTCTCCCTCAAATGAAGCTAGATCAACATCACCCCGCCAAAGCCTTGCCGATAAGACTCAATGCCCTTTCGCTGTGATTCATCTTCAACGCCAGCGCGTGCCCCTCCTCGCTCATCTTGGCCCACGTCTTGCGCAGGATGCCAATAATCTTATCCTCGTCAACCTCCTCTTTGCTCTCAAAGTCGTCGAAGTGATCGTCGAGGAAGACGAGGCATGCCACGTCTTCAAGCACCTGCGTCTCCTCGTCCTTGCTGAGGTTCTCCTTGCGGATAAGTGCCGCCACGCGGTCGACGTCCTCCTGGGGGATGGCGGGCTGGATGTCGGGCGATGAGGCGAGGAGCTCAGCCACCTGAGCGGCGGCTTGGGACTTGAGCTTCGCGCGCCAGGTGAGGTAGCCCGGACGGGTCATTGGGTATGTGTTGCGGGGGATTTCCCATCTACGGTTCGCAAATCAGGTGAGTCAGATAATGAGGCTTGTTAGGTAACTATGACTGGAAAGGGGTCTTATTCATCAACGTGATATGCTTAACATGCAGATTGTGATGCTTATAATTGCTTGTTTAAAAAAAGGTAAAAAAGTATAATAAGAAAGGAATGCTTGATTGCGCAATGTTACCTCCTGAAATGTTGGGCTCGGCAGGCCAGTTGTAGGACCGGAGGGGCCGTCGGAGACCTGACGGCGAGCCAGCGCGTCATCTTCTGGGCATAGTGAAGCTCAAAAGGAACCGACTCAACGGACGATGGCCTGGGATCTTGCTTGTGGGCCTCGTCGATCAGCTCGAGGGCCTTGAGGTAATTGGGTGGCAGATCGGGCAGTGAAGACGACGCTGCCATTTTGGTGTGTGCGATGATTATGTGATAGTATGAGGTGGGATATGGTGGGTGTGTTCAACGGGAGGGTGTTGGGATGAGTGAGTTTGAACGGAGATCGCTGGTGAGGGAAGAGATGGGTTGCTGTTTCAGGCCTTGCGAGAACTTCTTGGCCAGTGAGAGAGAAAGCCGCTAGTCGCCCTTTCAGAGACCGAAATCAAGAATGCAACCACCGACGGCGGGTTCCATTCAGGACGATGAGTAAGCCCGGGGCATGATTGGCCATCGCTCACATATCGCCCGTCCCGGACCTGCATCAGAGGTCAGAGGCTCACCTCGTCCTCGTTGCCGTGGACCAATCCCCGGACCTTGTTGTTAACATCAACTTGATATTTCCCACACATCCTACTCCCCCACGCAACAGACCATGGCTCTACCAAACTTCCCACTCAATGTCACACTCACCACGTCGCACAATTAACGCCTATTTTCAGCATATAGATCGACAGGACCCATAACCTGTCAATCCGTTGGCCCCACGCTTCCATGCTTCGGCAGATCGCCTGCCGCCCAGTCTCGCCTGTTCTAGACCGGAGGATACTTTGCGATCCAGGGAGGGGGAACTTGGAGAAGGGTCCCCGAACCGCGACGTTTCGTCCCTTCGTCCCACCATGGCCGATGCTGCATACGCACACTTCCCCAAGCTACTGTGTATGATTCATGCTCGTTGATTGGTCGGACCCATTCAACCGCTTAAGCTGAAGTTTGACACTTTGCCAGTCTGATGAAGCCATATTAATAGCTTTCAAGGAGGTCCTTCTGCCCCATCTTGGCCGTCAAAGCCAGCTTCAAGTTTTCATTTTCGGGTTCGTGCTCACCACAGCCACAAGCAGAATATTTCTCTTCTCTTTCTTTTTTCCAACCTACCTAACAGAATTGATTCAATTGCCCACTTAATCCTCGACAGGGCATAACTGTCTGTTTGGGAAAGGATGACGGAACGCTGCTCCTGCCTGCTTTGGTGAAATCGTAGCTTCCTGGTTGATTTCTACCACCTGTGACCTTTCGCTCCAGCCTCCTTTGCCAACTTCACCTACCTTACCTTACCTTATCAATCGACAAACTCGACCACACACCTCACCCTCTGTTCTTTCTTTCAGCTACACACCAGATTTCTCACAAGGCACCACCTCGTGACAATCACAGCTTATACTTCTTCAGCCGGCAATCTCATTGAGCATTCTATCAATAGAATCCTGCAACTACACTGCCGTTTTCAACAGCATTTACAAAGCCTGAACTCACCGACAACCTACTCATCAACATCACGATCAAGTCCATCAACAACACCCGATCGACCTCACACTCAGATATCTCAAGCGCGAAAAAAGAACCACCATTGTCACTCTCAGCAGATTGAACACTACGAATCGGACAATTGCAATATTTCGGAACGGAAGCAGCGACTTCATTTCTCAAAGCCTTGTGGTTTTCAGAGTACTCACAGGCAGATCAAACTTCAAACAGTGAGCTACAATTCCAGCGAACCTTCCCTTTCCAAATCATTTGCTAAAAACAATATTCCAGATTCATCTCCTCAACACTCCACGGGCCAACATACCTATGCTTTCGCAATGACCAAAGCTAATCATCTGGCTGCCACAGTCGTTGACGATGGCACATCCTCCGTCACAGCAGTTACAGATGATGACGCCATGACCCTCGTCGACCTGTTCGGAGATCTTGACGTCGAGGAACTCACCGAGCCTGATAACAAAACCACATCTGGGGAGTCGACCAGCATTGTGAGTTCAGAGGCCAGCATAGACGCCGCTGATAGTGAGGTCGGCCTGAAGAATAAGCCAAACGAGAAGGGCAAGACCGCAGACACAGAAAGCCAGTCGGCCACAGAAGCAGAGACTTCCTCTGTAGTCACATCCGATGCAGCCAACTCAGAAGTGGCTGAGTCGTCAGCCTCTGGCGAGACAGCCTCAGAGGACAAGAGTACAACCGACAATGCATCCTCAAAGAGCGAAGACGCCTCTACTGGTGCCCAATCATCAACCACGGGCGAGTGGACAGCCTCAGAGGATGCCCTCATCATCGGCATGAAGGAGGGTGGTGAGACCTGGGCTTCCATTGGGAACGCAATCAACAGAGGCAAGAACGAGGTCAAGAAGCGCTGGCACGTATTGAAGATCAACGTTGCCAATTCGGCCGAATCCACAGGCGAGGCTCAGACAGTGTCTGGAGGAGAGACCACTCAGACCGAATCCCAGGCCGGTACCGAGGCCGATGCCAAAACCGACGGGAGCCAAGATGAAGCAGAGAAGTCAGAATATGACAATTACAAATCCAAGGCAGAGAGAAAGGCGGAGCGCAAAGCCGAAAAGCAGAAGCAGAAGAACAAGAAGACCCCCAAGTCTGATGAAGAAGCGAAAGAGCTGCAAAAACCTTCCAAGGAGGTGAAGAACACTGGGGGCAAGAAACCCGAGTCCAAGCCCAAGGAGCCCAAACAGAGAGGCAAACCCGCCGAGCCCGCCCCGTCAGAGGACTCGTCAAAGCCTGCTACCTCCGACACCAACGATGAGACCCCGAGCTCATCCTACCGAGACCGCTTCAACCTCCTCCGCGACACCTCCTCGGCCTCCGAGTCAACGTCATCCGCTACCAGCGCAGACGACAACGACGCCGATCCTCAAGCTCAATACAAACGCGAACTCGCCGGCCAGGAGCGCTACATCCGCCGCCACATCCACCCGGCGCTCTACCCTCCCGCGCCGGCAGCATCCCACAAGAGAAAGAGACCACTTCCCCCTCCCGCCAATAGACGTACGCCCAGCCCGGCAGACAGACAGCAACGCCGAGACGACGCGACTCTCGCGGCCGTGGTGTCCAAGAGGGAGGCGACAAAGTGGCTCGAGATGCAGGCCAACTTTTACAATGCCACGGGCCGGATGGTGCCGCTTCACATGATCAAGTCGAGATGCGAGGCTGAGGAGGACCGAGGCAAGGCCGCCGGCGTGCGGAGTTGGGCCTCCTCGGTGGCCGGTAGCGAGGATTTGTTGGACCCCTACGAGGGTCGGGACACTCCTGAGGATGCTCTCGTCGATGATGACGAGGATTGATACACCCCGTTTTTTTCTCCTTTCTTACGCTTGTTTGCGAAATGCGATCCTCATGAGATACCTGGCTTGAGGAGGGTAACGACTGACGAATGATGATGACGATGAAGGTTACATCCTCACCTTTTTGCGTCTACGAGACTTTGATCGCAACTTTGATTTGGGACAGCTGGTTTAGACGGATGGAAGTGGGTTATCGGATATCAAAAATTGGGGTTGGGGATTCGGGATAACGGATAGATGGAGTGGTAATTTGCATTTTTGTGTTTTGGGTCGTCTCTGGGTAACAAGGTAGTTCCTCAATATGAGGACTATGGATCCTTTTTCCATATCCAGCCAGCCATCCTTTGCTCTATTTCTTTCTTTCTGCTACTTCGTAGGGTTTGGGGAGAGAAGGGTGAATATGAGAGAGAGAGAGAACCCTATTTCCATACTGATACTCACGATGAACTGCTTTTGCATCTCAATTCACTGGTAGTGAATGGTGTGGATTTGATCTCACAGCATTCCGGTTTGCAGAGAAATCCCTAAATTTTGGAGCTTCTATAGAAAAAGGTGCAGACTACTACCACCACCAGCCACCGCAGAGGATGGGGGGGTATCAATGGGAATCAACCATTACAACAAAAAGCAGCCATCTTATACATGGTGCATGTCGAAAACTCCCACCGTATCAATTCGCCTCCCATTCTCGCCGTATCCAAGATATAAGTACAGGTAAGCAGCCCTTGGAAACTATCCAAGGGAGTCTGCTGTAATATGATGTGCCACCCAATGCGCCGTTTGAGATGCTGTGTGCGCTCAAAGTTTTCGAGAATGCCCCCCTTAGCCTGCTCGACTCCGCTGTAGCAGTAGTATTTTCGAGCTGAATCTTGTACATCGGAGAAGCCTGTGGAAGGGGAACCGTAGACGCATTGCATGAGAGGTCATCATGCCTGACCCGAGTGCAGCTTTCGCCGTCGGTCGGAGCAGGAGTCTATGGCCACCACCACCAAGCTGCGCCTCTCTAGAGAATATTGTGACCGGGGGTTGAGTGATATCGAGTACCTCCTAGCCAAGTCATAGAATAGCCACCATTGAGACATACCGTCTATTAGATAGGGTTCTCCATGCCGGGGGCCATTGTCGTTCCTGGAGGTGCAGCTGGACTAGGACTTGTTCCTCTAGTCAAAGTGTTATTGCTTGACCCGAGCCCCCGCTTCATCATCTTGCCCAGGACAGTAACCAGCTCACAAGCATCGGAAAACATGTCATCGTCCATGCCCTCGGTCGCTTCATAGACCTCGGATATGGCATCCTTGGCCAGTTTTCGGCTCCCGTCAGCGTCGTGCACACACTCGTAAAGGAACGCGGCGTATTCGGTCTTGACGGAGAGTCGTAATGAATGCGACCCCCAGAGGTGTTGGTCAGCCAGAGCAATCGCCTCCTTGAAGTACTTGTGCGCTTCGGGGAGGTAATCTCTCGGCGGCTCGAGGAAGGCGGCGGGTTGGTCGGAGCCGCTTCGAGGAGCGAAACCCGGCGGAGGGTTCACTGGACCGCCCTCGAGGGCATGTGTGGGCTGTATTGAGCCCTGCGATGAGTTCCAATCCTCCCTTGCGATTCCTTTGCCCTTGTCCGTCCTTGGTGGGGTCAATCCGGCCATTGTGTCTGGAGTTGCGATGCCCATAGTGGACACTGCAGGTTTGTTGTGAAACAGGACGAAAATGTGGTAGAACGATGCTCGTAGCTTGTACGCCAATACCCGGAGTTCTGTATGGTTTCCCACCATAGGAATCACATATTGCTGCAGCATCACTAGGCCCTCTCTTGAAAGCCAGATGATGTGAAAAATGAGGTCGAGAGACTGGGGCGCGCGGGCAGCATCGGGTCTGCGCTGTTTCTTCGCTGTGACAAGTTGCTCTGCAAGGCTTAGTGAGAGTCCAAGGATCTTGTAAAGCATCGATGACAAGAGTGGGTTATCGGTTTCGACGGTTTTCGCCCATTTTCCGAGGAACTTCTGGTCAACTTCGGAGGAAGCCATGAGGATTTGTCCGCACGTCTGCGGCGCGTGAGATGGCAGGGATGGGTATTACGGCTTCTGTAGTCCTGATGAAGAAGGAGCAAGCCCGGAATGAGGAATTCGGCTGGGATTCACCGGAAGTTCGCCAATGATAATTAAGTGCCGTTCTCTGTACTGATTCAGAGCCGCTCAGTAGAAGGGCGTAAGCAATGGCTGAGAGTGAGCCGCGGGCAATAGTGAATGAGCCAATTGTGAGAGCTGCGGAAAGCTCGAGGATGAGAAGATATTCGGGGAGCAGAACAAGCCGATTATGTTTTTTATCTTTGGCCTGATAATGAAACTGAGTTATGCCGGTTGTCAGCGACTACAGGCACCGATCGCATTGAGTGTAATCTGGAAGAAAGGAATACTCACAGGTATAATACATTACTAGTAAGTACTCAGTGAGGGAGTTCGATCGTTCGGCCAATTGGCAACTTGCTAGGCGCAAAAATCAATTATTCAAGTGTGAGCGGGATGAGGCTCAAGTGAGAAGATGAGTGATTGAGTGATCTTTTCGCAAATAGCATGACGACAACGCTCAATGCTTGGGTGGATTGTCGTCGAGAAACCTTTTGAGGACAGGCGTAGATAGAGCTCCCCGATGGGCTACGAGGACGATCCCTGAGAGAATAAACGAGTGTCGAAGGATAATGCCGGCGTAGGAGGCGGTGAAGAGCGGGCGTGGAAGTGAGCGTCGGCGTGGCTGCGGGGGCGGGACTAGGTGCCAAACGTCTGTCAAGTCAAGGTGCGAGCAGGCCAAATGGAACCAGACGAGATGAGACGGCTGGCAGCAGTCGTAGTCGTGGAATTAGGGTGTGACGAGGTAGTGTGTCGGATGTCGGGCTATGAAGGCATCTCGACAATGGTTGAGGATGAGTCGAAGAACAGCAGCGATGCAGGTAAGTTTTGAGACGGGTTCGGGCGATGTAATGTAATGTAAGGTAATGTAGGTAGCTGCAGGTTATATGTGCCCTAAAGGAGAGCTTGCAGACAAAGGCGCAGAGGACTGGGGCATGCGGTGGTATTGTGCATGAACGAGTGTGGGCCTTTGCGAGAGCTGCTGCGCGGTCTGGCCGTAAGGTAGTGTAGAACTGGGAGAACCGAGGCCGATTGGGAATGGAGGCAATTCCCGGGGTACTGATACAGATGGATGACGAAGTCGCCCAACAGGTACCGCACAGGCGATGGAGGTTGCGCGATAGGGTGCCTGAGTATGGAGTCTTTGGACACCCGGGGTCGGGTGGTTATGAGGTTGAGATGAGAAGTAGGAGCAGCAATGACGGCCGCGGGCGACGTCGTACAGAGGCGAGAGGCAGCGAATGAAGTCGGGTATTGTAGGTTGGATGACGGGGGCAAGATGCTGCAAGATGAGTTGTCCACCCCTCGGAAGACACGCGCACCGTGTGAGTTAAGGCTTGAGAGCGATTGATGTGGTAGCCCTGGTAGCCCTGGTAGAATCGAGCGCGAAGATGGGTGTTGGATTGGGCGCGAGTGACATCAGCTTTCAATCGCTTAGTAGGCTGGGGCTGAAGAAGCTGAGTATTCGTACGATAGGTAAGGTTCTCCAACCAAGTGATGAGAAAGAAAGAGAAAGGGAAAAGGGTGATGGACTGGAGCTGGAATTGGAGCTGGAGCTTGGGCTGGACAGCTGGAGCTGGACGGAGGCAGGAAACAGCGTGGGAACAAGGCTTGCAAGTGTGCAAGTCAAGGTATCCCGTCCGTAAGCCAAGCTCAGGCACAGTCTCCCACGAACTTGGACGGGGACACGGGGGGGTAAAAAGATGCCCGCGCTAAGATGGGATCCCTGCGACCCGCTTGACTTTTGAACTGTGAAATGGGAACTGGCGCTGGCAATTCAATTGCGAACTTGAGGTGCCCACTTGCCCCATGCCCCCAGCATGGCAAGCCGAACGAGCCAGACACACCACCAAGGTAGGAGCGAAGACGGGAATCCTTCCTGGTCGTTCTTTTGCGCTGCTTGCCTCGCCTCCACCGGCCCTCTCTTTCACTCATCGGCATTCTTCCTCTTCCAGTTCGCTCTCCGAACAAACGGCGGCCTAGCTGATATGACCTCAATCGTTGATTTATCCTACGAGTACGGAGTATCCGTTCTTCCTCTAGGCATTGCGACGTGCTTCTTCCCCGCCAGTCACTCGCTATCCAAGCTTTCTACATGATCGCGCTACAGGACCAAGCGCCGTTCATCTGACCCCTAGGTCTAGGATGCTTTCTGATCTGAATTGACGCCGACGACGCGATAGCGCCGCGCTTTCCTTCTGACGCGCGGGACCACGTTCCGACACAAGCCGACTAACCAACTAATTATCCCAAGGGTCCGCGGGGTCTCGACTTTCGACTCTCGAGTATCCTTCATTAACCAGCAGCTTGCTTGGCCGGACTGAACCCCTCTATCCCTACGAGTTTACGAAGACAATGTCTTATGCGGCCCTCGAGTCAGACCGGAGCCTCTCCCGGTCCTTGCGACGATGGCCAACTTGGGGTCGACACGATCCTCACTTCTGGACCATCTTCTCACGTTTTTCCCGTCATATCAACGTATCACGCCGGTCTGAGACACGGGAGATGCCATCTCGCTTGATGCGCACAAATCAGCCTAGATTGCTGGTTTGCTTGCTTTTCCTCCCTTGTCGGAACCTGTCTTTCGTGTCGCTCCGAGACTTCGCCATGCGTCCACACAGACACGCGCAAATGCGCATTGCGCTCTGGTGGCCCGCTGCCGACGAATCGATATCACCTGTATGCTCCCCACGCAGGCCTGCTTCTGGCTGTGCCCAGAATCTTTGATGCACCATACGGATACGCAGGCAAAGGCAAAGCAAGGGGCCCAAAGGCGCACAACGTGGCCGGATGTCGACTATCGAGTCCCGTATCCTTCCCGTCGCCCTCGAACAGCCATGAATAGCCCGTGCGACTGTTTACCCTTGTCAGTCTGGGGGTTTCAGATTACCCAGCCCACGTCCCGAAACAAATGCTGCTCGGACATCGTGGTGTATTCACCGATCCAGGTTGCACAAGGCCGTCTTGTACGAGCAAGACTGGGTTAAATGGCACAAGTCGTCCGTCGTGGAGTAACTCGTGAAGTTGTGCTCCACGGTGTTTCCACTAAAAAGGATACGTACCGCTTACTCGCTGGACCCACCAGCGTTTGGCAGTGGCTCCTCAAGCTACTCTCTGGGTCGTTCTAGTCCTTCTATGGATTAGCGTCCAACGTCTCTTGATCGCCTTCTGATCTGACCAACGGGACGCGGTGCGCTTTCTCGAAGCAGGGAAAACGTCCCCTTTGCGCTCAACTCAACTCTCGGCATCCCAGCCACCTCTTTTTTCGCTGTACCAAAAGTCCAAAGTGTGAAGAATCCCCCTACTAATACTCTCAGTGGCGATTCGCCGACCTTATGTGTGGCCTCCCAGAGGCCTCAATGGTGCCAGCGCATAAGTCAATGGCCTCGCTGCGCCTGACAACTCTGCGTAAGGCAATTCTATCTCAGCGCTCCAGCGAAAATCTCGCACTGTTACGCCACGCCAACACGCGTGTGCTGATGAAGCTCGGAGATTGATATAGTGACTAGAAGAATGAACCTGAATCTGACAAGCCTATGGCCTATTACCAACCTCACGCTTGGCCAAAATCAATGCGGCCGCCCCTCCTTCACAATCCACCTTGGGTACCTATTCTTCACTGAACGGCGTTCGATCTTCAAGAATACAAGAAACCCAACATACCGCGTGCATACTGAAGCCCAGCCTGACGACGGCAGAAGTGAGCAGCAGCAGCAACAGGCAGTATCAAAACTGGCGGTGAAGAATAGGCCTTCGGTTCCTTGCGGCTATGTCACTTATGTCATCTTGGAGTTACGATTTCTTGTCTCTGGATGGGTCCACCTCCACTACGCCTTGTCAAGAGTCAAGCTATGATGCGAGCTCATCCGGGGTGGCGAGCGCTGCTATGTGTAAGTGGGTGCAGTCAAAGTCTCTAGGTGCAAGCGGGCCTTGTGACAAGGCCTGCCAACTTATGTACATGTCCTCAACGTAGTGATTGAGGTCGCAGCACAAACGCATCCTCTCTGTATAGTGTGTTGTCAACACAGGCGTGAGCGGCCGTCGTACTTCCTGCCAGCCTCAACGTCGCGCGCTCCGCCACCATACTGTACGACCTCGTCATCTCACTCGGGGGTCGGACTTGCTTCTGAACTGCGTCACGCTGCGATTTTGAGATCACGAGCCTGCAGCCCTATATGTCACGATCACAGCCTGGATGCCGGGTGAGGTTGAAGATAAGCCAGCCATTCTGGAGCCCCTTGGTCGTGTCGACTTGCCTCAATACCAGCGCGAGAGACATCATGACGTGTTGTCGGGCACACGTTTTGGAACGTGGATGCATTCATCGAACAGTGCGACACACCCTCTTGCTAGCTGTCACTTCGGACAACATGTGAAGCTGAATAGCAAGCGTCCCCCCCCCTCCCCTGGTGTCCTCCTTCCTTCTCGAATCAGAGCTGAAGATTCCGTTTGAGACTCTGCGTCTTTTGGTTCCTGGTTCCTGGCCGCGGTAACCACCGTTTGCTTCCCGGAGCGGGATGTTGCAGCTTCCGGACGACCCGCGACCCGCGACCCGCGTGCCCTACTTTGTGAGATTTCATAGATCTCGGTACGCTTCGGCTTGGGTTTTGTTCCCTCCTTTTTTGGGGGTGATTTCGGCGTACCTCGCCTCCGGCTCGAAGTTCCGTGTAGGGTAGGGGGAAAGGAGGCTTCCTACAGCTTCTCAAACGGTGTTGTCTGGTAGGATCGAGGTCACGCCGTAGCTTGCGGTTTGGTGCCCGACGTAGGCAAACTGGTCTGACGTTGCTGTTTGTAAGATAAGGGGCGAGGAGCTACAAATAGATGCCATCTCAGTCTGGATTTCCCAGACGTGCTTTCCATCCCTTGGATCTTGTATTCATTCGATATAATCACATTCATTTCTTACACGCCCGTCAAGATACCAACGAGCCAGCCTCAACCTTCGCTTCCAAGCCTACTCTTGACACTCTCAGCCGCAACTATCACCGGTTACCGAGATACCCTGACAACCGCAAAGTCGTACAAGTCGAAGAGAATCCATCAACTAGCAGAGCTACTCCTCCGGACGCCAAGTCTCAACCACACTAAAGAGAGACAGAACCAAACACGTCCCCTGAAGTACAACAATACTCATCCACCCACGACTTACACCCAACTACAAGCCTCATAATGTGCCAATACTACGCTCACGCCTTCACGTGCAAGCACCTCTCCTTCACGTTCGCCCGCTTCTGTCAACCCGCGAGCCTCATCCAGAAACCCTGCGCCAAACGGCAGGTATGGCAGACCATTGGCCTCGACGACGCCTGTGAGGAGTGCTTGACTTGGTTCCCTGACCAGTACCCGTGCCGGAGACCGCGGTATCAGTGAGCTGAAGGGGTAAGGGGCTGCTGTCGTAGGTCGATAACGTGGGCCGAGACGGGTAGGATGTTGTCGTTTGGCTGGTTCCCTAACGACGTGATGATTATTTTGTAGAGGATGTTTGGAGTACTTAGAGGAAGAGCAAGCTGCTTCAAGTCTGGTCCTTGTTTCGGGTTATCTGGAGTTATTGTGTCCGGCGTCAGCTATGGGTTATCAAAGGTGAAGAGGTGTAGAGGTCAGAATATGTATTTCGCAGGGGATGAACGGGATCAAACGATGTAGACGGAGACAACATGTGGAGAAGCGAGGGCGCGGGATTCACCCCCTGAAAAACGCCACTTGATAACTTCATAATCACAAGCCGAAAATGTATGATCTCCACGATGTTTGAATTTTCTAGTGACTCGAAATGACTGTCGTGGTTTCTGTGTGCCTATCGCTTCTTCTGATCCTTCATCTATGCGTAGTTCTGGTAGTAGATCAATTGTTACGAATAATGGCGGTGGCATGTTTTTGAGGCAAGTCTTGACCTTGTCCGGTCATGTCAAAACCCGTGTGAGCTCGTCGATCCCGGGGACTTGGGAGGAATGTCCCAGCTGCAGATCCTCGACGTCTTCGTTGCCCTCCTGGCTCTGGGCGGGGGAGGGGGATAGCAGGTCAGGGTCCGTTATCTCGACGTCCTAGTTATACTCACCGGGGGCATTTATTATTGACTATATAATACGCTTAGTATCGGATTCTCTATAGATATTAGAGCTCTAGGACTCGGTATTACGTCGAGTAGTAATAACAACCCTAAGAGTTAGCAAGCCCGGAACTTCGATAATAGGGGGGGCATCGGGCTAGGACTCGAGTCCCTTAAAAACGTTAATATTTATATTAATATTAGAGTTCTTGTAAACATCTCTGAGCTCCTAGAGAAGGTTATTAACAGTAAATTAGAAAACACCGCACTCCTCCTACTCAGAATTGATCTAGTTACTGATATTTAAGAGATTCTCCTTCATTAAGACGCCCAGGTCGCTAACCTCCTCATATAAAGAGGTTAGGGGAATATCCCTTATAAAGCTATGGACGAAATTGTTAGCCACCTCGAGTAGGATATACGACCACTTGTCGAACAGGACTTCATAGTCCTTCTCGTTCAGACTCCTGGCGAGCTCAACGTCGTTTGTGGCGTTGTGACATACGTATACGTCAATATAGAAAATTCATCGATATTATAAAGGCATCAGACGATTCTGTTTCGTCATTAGAGTATTCGGGATTGAATGCTTCGAGAGCTATGCTGAGGCGTGGTGAAGAAGAAACGATAAATGATGTTAAAGATCAGAGCTTTCCCTAATAACATGAACCCTTCCTTGCCCGAGCATTTCTCAATCACTAGCTTAGACCCAATACTCGCCTTTACCTCGAGTAAGAAAGAGAAAGCATTGTGATATTTCCTCTGTTCAGATAGCCGTCTCTATAATATAGCTCGAGACGGCAACACACGGTTAAATCGGATGTCAAGACGTCCATGGGGGTCTAATGTTTCAGTGTGGGTCTTTGGTATCTGATCAACAGCGCGCTGGCATCATCAGTTGGCGAAGAGCGGTGTGCCAGTCGGTGCCATCAGTAGTGCGGGTGAAGATGTCCTCGATGCTCCATTCAGCTTGGTACATACCGTGTAGCTTTGATTTAGATAGCTAATCCGGGAGTCAAGAATCTAAGATATGATTGTTCTTAAGTCGGCGCTGTTCAGAAATCAGCAGTATTGTATAACAAAACATCTGCAGATGCGTGCTGCGTGCGCAACTGTCCGGATCGAATTCTCCGCGTGGTCACTCAGGTAATAAATGGGCAGAAACAGTGTGTCGATTACCTTCACCTAGTATTTTGACCTCGACCAGTATACCTCTATGTGCTCCGCCTCCATGGCGCCTTCCCCAGTGGCATCATGAAAGCCTACCTGCCTCAAGTACCTCGAGTCAGACGAGGAAGGAGTAGAAGGGTGTTCACCCTCCTCCGTACCTTCCCGTGCACACCTGCCCACTTACAAGCTCATATAGGCCCCGTCACTCCCATTCCAGTCACCAGCCACCAGGTGCCCTCTAGGTCGGGGGTCAGTTCAAACTGGCTAGGTGGTGGGGTGGTTCATGATCAGCAATCAATTTATACGCCAACCAGCCTACTCGACGACAGGCTTAGCGAGTACCCGAGTTCGAATACCAGCATGAGCGCCAGAGATGTAGCCCCCAGTTGAGCACCGGGGGGGGGGCTCCACACTCACGATACTTCCGAAAAATCCTAGGGGGTTGGTTAGCAGGCAAGCAGGCAAGCAAGCATCGTGGAGCTAAAAAAAAACGGAGGGGACCGACCTGGGAAACCAAGCGAATCCACACTCCCGTCATCCGGATTCAACTCCGAATGAGAGACCGTGCATATTGGGGCTGATCACAGCAAAAAGGCCTTGTGGAAGAAGAACGATGACACACAATCCTCATAGTGATTTCCAGAGGCGTTTCCTTGATCGCAATTGATTCTATTCTACAGCTTGGGGGGAAGAAAACAAAGTCGTTATCTTGCTTGCTAATTCTCATGGCCGTTCCTCCTCAACGCCTGGGTATTTGCCATCCCAAAAAAAGTACAGTTTTTATCACACGTTTTCCCACATTTTGTGCTTGCTCTCTAGTCCGGGACACGATGCCATCTGCCGCAGTTCTCCTCGACGTTTTACAGTCTCATGGTGTCCACGGTCGTGTATCAAGGCCAAATTAGCCCCTTGTCGCCAGACTGGACCCAGAGCTTCTGCCCAGTCAGGTCTCTGCAACGTAACACCACGCATGGCGCATCGTAAGTAGGCAGGCTGTTGGAATGCGCCTACAAATCTCTTTCCGACTCGGCGAATTCGATGAGGGAGAAAACGTGAGACCGCTGTGAGATTCCGCGTCAGTAGCCATAATGGGGATAAGTAGCAGCTGAGAAAACTTACTAGAACCTTATTCTCGGTCATAATCTCGTAGAGACGGGGAAGAACGTTGCGGAACAGGCGCTCGTTCCAGCCACCAGCCTCACCTCCAAGCTCATGCTGCTTGAGCAGATCCTCCTGAGCACTTGTCTTGACCACATTGCGGGCAATATTGCGAAGAATCAGCACCGCGCTGAGAGGGATGCCGGCTGCTTGAGGAGGAGCTGCGGGGTTTTGCTCGTCGGGAGCCGTGGCAGTCTCTTCAAAGTGAACCACAAGACTGTCACTAGGCTGGGGTCCTGCTTGCGCCTTCTTCTCGTTGATGGCGATGCCGTGGAAGCTCTGGCAGCAGTGGGTTTGAAGGTGGTGGCCCATGAGGGCGAGCTTCATCTTCGTAGGCTTCTTGTACTTGGTGCAGTCAGCCCACTGGCATCTCACCTCTTCCTCCTTGTTGTCGAAACCACCCTTGTCATTCCGAACCCACTTGAGATGGGTAGTAACGACATGCTTCCACATGGTCTCCTTGGTTCCGAAAAAGTGACCGCACTTTTCGTTGGGTCGACCAGAAGCCGAGTCCCATAGACAACGGACAAAGGCCCGGCCGTCTAGGCCCACAGGTCGAAGTCGACACTGGATTCCGCGGATAATGAACTTCTGCTGAACCTGGCCGGGATTTCCAGTGCCAGCCCACACTTCAGCCTTGGAGCTCTTATACGCCGCACAGCTGTTTCTGATGAAGTCCGCCGGAGTGATGAGAGGCTGGTCAATGGCCTGCAGAGCGGCCTTGAAGGCATTCTGGTACGCCTGCCAAGCTGCGATTTGGGTGACAAAAGAGTCGTTGACTTCCTCGAAGAAGCACTTGACCCACTGGTTGCATCTCTCCGGCTCTTCTAGCTTCAATAGATCCTGTAACAGGTCTTCAGGCATGGCGGCCGGGTCGTTGCTGGTGGCCGGTTTCGGCGCGGGCTTCAGAACCTCTTCCACCTGGTATCGTCTAGCATTGTGCGAAAGCAGACGAACAAGATGATGGATCAGGTGCTCGCAGTTAAGAGACTTGACCAAATTGTCCACGTTGCCGACAACCGCAGTGTACTGGTACAGGAAGTCGAGGCAAGCATCCTTGAGCTCGTCGTCATTCAGAAGCATCAGCTCGCTAATCTTGGTCAAGATAGCCGTAGGAACCTTGTCCAGCCTGTTGGTGGCTTCAAGATTCATCGAGATACGACCAAGCGCTCGAAGAGCCGTGAGAATGATACCCCGATCGTCGGAGCCCTTCAGTTGCTTCATGAGGACCTTGTAGAGGGGATCGCGAGAGTCAATCTCCAAGTAGGGTGTCAAAGCCTCTGCAATGTCCAGCATTTGGTGCTTCAACTCAACCAACCACTCGTGCTTGGGAAGACTCAAGACAATGCAAATCAGGTCTTTGATCGGCAAAAACTCAGCCAAGTGTGCAGCATTCTCACGGAGCTGTGACATGTTCCTGAGAGTCAAAGCAGCCTCATTGACGAGGACCATCTGATCAGATAGGTGCTCAGGTACAATGAGTTCGTTGACTTCCTTTGACTCCAAACTGTCGATACGTTCCAGAATGTCCTCGGTTCCTTCATTGCCATCGAGGGTGTCGAAATTGTCAGCGGCGTTTTGCGAAACCCAGGAGATCTTCCACTTGACATCATAGAAAATGCTGCCAATCTCCAGAACCTTTTCGACGAGACCTTCGCTGAGGCCGGGGAAGCCTTCGAATTTGAACTTGTCGTGGCGTTCATAACTGATCTTGACCAAATGGTAGAGCGCGAACTGCTGCTCTTCAAAGATGGCAGAGCGCAAAGCCATCAGACAGCGAATGTAGATATTTGGTCCTTCGAATCCAACTGAACACAAGTTAACGGCTTGATACACTTTGACGGAGAGTGAGGATGTCTTTACCTCCAGGATAGGGTCCACTGCGGCGAGGAGGCTCCAGGAGGGAGCGAGCTACATGTCGGCGGCGAGCAAATTCGGCCGGATTATTGCTTGGTGTATCGACAGGGCGCATGGGGAGAACGTGCTGCTGGTTCGGTGGCTGAAGCGAGCGGGGAAGGTAAGATTCAACTGATGCCGACGTGTTGTCTGGGTTGGGCGGATTATAGCTGCCGCTCGGTCCACGCGGTGGAGCTCTGGGTTGGTGAGGAAGAGGCACGGGAGTGTGCTGAACCTGTTGCGGTGTTCCATGATGACTGCCTGAATGGCCGCCTGGGGTAGGAGTGTTGAGGTGGCTCGGCTGTTGGCCAGAGACGTGGCGAGTCGGCCTAGCAGGGCCTGTATCGGGTTGAAAGATGACTCTCTGGGGCGGTGCCTCGCGTAGGCCACGAGAAGCTCTCACGCTGGATGTTGGTGCCGCATCTGGAGTCGGGCGCTCTCGTGTAGGGGTGCCATCATCGCCAGAAGCCGCGGCAGAGTCAGCAGCCGTGCCACTGTCGCGCTTCGCTCCACGGAAGTTCTCTCTGGTTCGAGACAAAAGACCACCACCCTTAGCAGAGACATCCTCCAAAATGTCCTTTGGAGGAGGTTCCTTGCCGTGGAAGAATTTAATCTCGTATGCAGCAAGGTTTTTGTAGTACTTCTCCTTCAACGAGAAGGCAGTTGAGGCAACGTTGGACGAGTGGATGCCGAGCTGCTCGGCCATCCGGCGCCAGGCCAGCTTCTCATCAGACACCTTATCATAGCCACCGTTCGCGCAGATGTGGGTGAAAGTCTTGTAGAGGTCGAGATATACTGGTCCGACCTTGGGCTCGGCCTCTAGAGCAGTGCCCCGCTCCTGGTGGTAGGCCTTCAGCTTGGCCATGAAGTCCTCATACTCGGGGGTTCGGCTGATAGCATGAAGCTCGACCTCAGCTTCTTTGGGCGCCATGATGGGTCGGTCGATCGAGCAGGCTGCTGTTTCCCTGTTAGTGGAAGCGCAGATGGAAGTGTACGTTCGGAGTGAGGCAAACTGACGGGCAGCCTGCTAGCAAAGTCGGGTTCACTGGTTCGAGATCGTAGCCCGGTGTGAGGCTCGCAGAAGAGCTTCGAGTTCTTCTACAGGACCAAAGTTGTTGGAAAAGGTTGCGCGAGGTGTTGTGACAAGAACTGCCTGAATCTGTGTGTTGTAAAACGCGTTGTCGACTCCCAATGGAAGAGGGTGGGGATGAAGTGTGCTCTTGCGCAAGTTCAGGGCCCTCTGCGATCGGTAGTGATGCGCCGGGACAACCAACCAACCGTGTTTTGCCTTTACGCGACGTTGAGAAATCCCTAGTAACCTCTGCGCTTATCTTCACGTGACTGCGAGTTCAATCTGGTGGTCCCTGCGCTAAGGGTACCACTTAAATCCCGATTAGGATCGGGTCCACATGAGCTGCACCTTCCATCTGCAGCTCGAGGCATGGGTGAAGACTGGAGAGAAGCTAGACCCCTGCCCCGATTGTCACTTGCCTACTCTCCAGAGTCAGGGTTCCTTCCTATTTGTTCTTCAGGGCAACCACCATTCAACCTCATTTGGCCTGTGACTGTCTCCAGCCCACTACTCAACCCTCATAGGGAGTATTCGTTGATCATTGCTTTGCTCTGCTCAATCCATCCAAGAACCCTATCACCAATGAAATGCTATACACCCCTGCCTCATGTTACTAACTACACAGTTTGGTGGTATCGATGACTTGGTCGACCTCGTTTTCTCGAGCTATAGGTATACTTGAAGGTTCTACTTTTAACACATATCACCATCAGAAGCACGGCTCTGTGTATCGCCGAACATGCCACCCAAAGTACAGAAACCCCAGAACTGGACGTTCACACTGATCCATGCGACAATCTCCGAGAGACGCCACCGTGAGAAAGACTGGTTATGCACCTCCAGCGTCGAAAATGCCGTCCTAAACTTGAAACAGGAGATACTTCTCGCAGATGCTATGGGATCCCGAGGCAATGCCAACAGAGAACCAAACCATGTTCTCATTGTGCCGAGACAGGGGGCGCAGGCTGTAAGTCGCCTCGTAGTCTGGACCGCACGCGCTTATTGACACAATGTAGCTCAAGCTCGGTCTTGGAAGTCGAGATGGAGCTATTCCAAGAGACGCCGACTACATGCTGGGCTACTGCCCCGGGGCCAATATCTTGGTCATTAGAGAGAGCCTTCGTAGCGTACGTTCATATTCTATGCTCGTATCGGGGATGTCTGCTGACCATTTGTAGGTCGATCAACAGATCCGTCTAAGATTCAAAAGCCAGAGTGATAAAGACCAAGTACTAGGCCTTTTTCAAAGTCTCGGCTTTCAGGCCAGACCGATGCAATCATCTCGTCGCCAGCCCACTCCACTACAGCAAATTCGGTCATCCTCGGTTGCAGGCGACTTTCAAACTTTTGCTGCGACCCAGCCCTACTCCTCGAGGCATAATGCAAGTGCGATACGACAAGAATACCGAGGTCGGCTGGGGTCGCCTCCAGGGACACAATTTCCTTCGGAAGGAAGCCACTCGATACCTCGAGCCAGCAGTGTAGCTGTGCAGATGTACCGGCCTTTAACGTCCGTCAGTCAACGCGCAGGGTCTGTTCACCAGTCTTCAAATGGATTTGAAAAACCTTACACCTTCAGCCGATCTCGCACTGCATTCACAGAGATGCCAAATGAATACGCATCGCAAACAGCTCCGTCGAATACAGAGTACAGGTTCGCGGTCTCTACACCTTCAACGATTTCCCAACGACGGCCATCAGTACGCCCACCGCCAGCTTCGCAAGACTTCCGTCATTGGAATCTCAGCCCATCAACCGATGAAGTCACTTTCGCCAAGTATGACGAACGAACAATAAGACCTAGTTCTAGCACCCAGATTCAAGACATGCTTCCTCCCCGCCGTCAGCTTCCATTCTCAGTCGGAAGTAGGGCAGAGAAAGAGGTCCCTGAAATGGGTATTACGCAAATGAGTACCACGCACCCAGGGACTCCAGAGCCCAATCAAGACTCCCAGGGTGTGATTAAACAGGGAAAAATCCTCAGACCTCATACATCGGAAATCGAACCCGCTAAAGTCCAAGGATCGGCGGAGCGAGGCAACGGAGCTCAGACGACCAGGATCAACTTCGTCAAGAGAAAAGAAGCTGGTATGATCGACAATCCATCTTACAAGAAGCAAAAGTGTTCTTCCCAGACGACGTTGATTTCCACATCACCGATCCCGCTGCCAGCCATTTCGTCTGCTCATTTCCAACGCAGAGCACTGTCACGGGCTCCAGGCCTGGCTACCAGGCATGAACAACAGCCATCGTCAGAAGCTATTGAGAATGATGGTATCAAACAGGTAAAAGATGCGGTTGATTCTGCATCGGTGAACAAAGCGCAATCTGCAGAGACTGATGTTGTGAGACACGCCCAAGGTACAATTGGCAGAGGGTCGTCTAGTGTGGATGCGCCTCCGACGATGTCGGTGGAAGGAGTCGACCAGGCTCCACCAATCCGTGCCATGGTACCAGTACAGTATACAGATGGATTCGACGCCAGCCTCGATTCGCCACGGCCGGTATTGACGAATATGGACCATGGCACACAGACTGAGCATATTCCCTCTGGCTCCTCGGAAAAGACGGAAGAACTTTTCATCGCAAGATTCAAATTGATGTGGGACATCAGAAACTTACACCAAACATCTTTTCATCGTTTTCTCGACACTTCCAAGCCAAATCATCGCATAGACGAAAACAGAATTTTGGAAGATTTGGAGCAAGGTGCTATCGATCTCTGCCAGGTCGCGATTGACCGCTACGGTCCTGAAGTGGGTGACATACCGTATGAGAAGCTCCTGAAAGCTATCATGGGTCCGAGATACTGAGCGAATGTGATGTCTAATGAGTCAAGATCACCCCTCGGGGGCATATGATTTAACTTGACAGGAAGGATTCTGAGCGGGTCGCAATAATGGCATATGGTGTGCGTATGGAAGATACTACGAATTGGAGCCAGGTAGTTATATCACATCATGGTGCGAGTCAGTTAATGAGAAAGAGAGAATTGTGTGTCCTATGCTATAATGGAATCATTGGTTCATCTCTTGACGAAGATTTGCGTACCACCGTGGAGCCATCTCTCTGATGATGAAATATCTTTCAGGCTCGCGACGAACCCAATGCATATCCTTCGTCCTTCGCCTTCTCTAGTACTGCCCGTCGACGAGAGTGGCGGTATTCAACTCGGCAGTTCTCAGTACATCGCAATACCCCCTGTTCTTCATGTCCTATAGTTCTACACCGTCCTCTAGACTCTCGCAGTAGCTGTGGCCTAAGGCTATTGGTGTTGTGTAATATGTGTTCCTGCCAGGTAGTGATGAAGGGCGGTGGAAGTTAGAGTTCGACACCGGCTCATGACACCAGCCCATGACGCCCGCCCATGAAATTCTCGCTGCCTCGATCTCTCCCATGCAGCCACCATCATCTTGCGTCAGTCTACATCACATCCATCTCAACGGCTTGGCAGTAAGCGATCCAGAAAGTGAACCTTTTACGTCGCAGTATGGTGAACACCATCGACTCCATGGTGATGTTCAACTCCGACGGCAGCCTCGACAACGTCCCTTAATCCTATGCTTACTTATCGAACATTGGATTCTGCGAACATGAGCCGGATCACCACTACTCCCATTCAAGACCGTTTCAGGCGGGCAAGAATCTCTGGGAGGAGCGCAACGACAATGCGGCATCGTTCACTCATAGTGATCCTTCTCATTCTCGGGCAATCTAAGCTCCACGACGGGCAACTCTTCATCATACTCGGTGCCCGAGTAGTCGAAGTCGACATACATTATCCTTTCGGACACTCCGTTGACCCAGCGGGTGAGTGTATACTCCGAGATCAGGTCAGGTTCGGGCCGATCAGAAAGCGCGGGAGGCGAGTACCTGCCCGAGCCGTTTGGAGAGTCCCGAATGAGCGTGGTGCCGTCCAACGACCATATGGTGACGGTGGTGGCATCGCTGTCGTCTGCTATGGCGATGTCGGGATCCGGGTAGTATCCCTCGTCTGAGGAAGAGTCGCCGTCGCTGTAGTATCCCATAGCGAGGTCGAAGTCCTCGGAGTCGTCCTCGTATTCGCTGTTGTATACAACGAACCTGTCATCGACGGAGTCGCCACTCTCGGAGGAGCTGTCGGTTTCAACAACTTCTCTATAGCCGAAGACGTTGGTTCTGGTGTCTTCAACATAGTCGATCATGTAAACATCGCTGTTTTCGACATAGTCGGACATCTCGATGTCGCAGTCGATGCCTCCGCTATAGCCGGCCACTACGACGTCCACATTCTCGTCGTCGTACTCGGCCATCTCGACATCAACGTCCTCGCTGTGGTCAGACATCTCGACATCATCGTCTTCGACACAATCAGCCATTGAGACGTCGTCGTCTCCGCTATAGTCGGCCATCAAGATGTCCTCATCGTCATCGTCCCCAGAAGCGGCAATGGGAGAAGCGTCGACCATGACGATATCGCCGTCCCCAGGGAAATCCATGGGAGAGATGTCAACCATGATTATATCGCCATCCCCAGAAACGCCAATGAGAGGCACGTCAATCATGGCGATATCATAATCACCTTTGGAGTCACTACCGGACTCGCTATCGAAATAGTCCGCGCCAGAAAGGAACGTATAATGCGTGTAGCCGTCATCAGAGTCGCCCTCGCTCTCGACACACTCCTCCACCGAGGAGTACCCGCTATCTGACTGCCTGGAACTCCAGGAGCGAGACCGGGCGTACCTCACCTTCGGGCCGGGCGAGGAACGGGGCCCGCTCCAGAGGCCGACATCAGACTCGTGCTTGTAGCGAGGTGAGTCTGTGTCGGGGCAGATGCGGTACTCCTCGGCGTCCGGAGGGTATTCGTCATTGACGATACCCTCGATAGCAGATGAAGATGAAGATGAAGATGAAGATGAGGAGGAGTAGGAGGGGGAGGATGGGGTGTTACTCTTGCTCTTTGTCATGGCAATCGCGTACAAGACTGGAATCTGCCGCTCTGCGTTGAGCGGGGCGTCGACGCCGATTCTGGTGCTCCAGCTACGGGATCTACGGTACTTTGCCTTGGGACCGGGAGAGGAGACGGGGCCGTCTGTGAGAGTGAGGGTCCAGTCGCGGCGACGTTTGGCGATGCGCTGCTGAAGGTCCACGGTTGAAGCTGGCGCGCTTGGTGAAGTGATGGCGGCTGTGGTGGTGGCAGTCTCCAGACCGGACTTGTTGACGATGTTGCCAATGGACTCCATTGTATCTCTTGATACTCTGATCTGAGGTCGAGGTTAAGAGTCTGGCTGCTGTAAGGCAGTGCCTTGTGTAAGTGGCTGGGGGTGAGTGTGATATAGCAGATGGGTATAGCAATTCCTCAAGATGAGGATGTGTATGCTGTACTGGGTAGTACTCAATGAGGGCGTGATTGGAATGAAGAGTAGGATGTATCATAGAAAGGATGCCAGTAATGATGGGAAAGAGGCTCTTTCTTATAGGATTTTTACCGCGGGATGATGCGAAGACCGGGCAATCAGGGTTCTAAAATGACTTCGTTCTGTCACGTTTCTGACTGTTGAAGCCATCGGAGATGGGTCCCCGGGACGGCCAAAGTGAGCGAGTTGTCGTGAGTTTTGAGCCATAGAGGTCGTTGGTCCATCAAACCTCGCACTTCCCACGGTTCACTTTAGAAGAGGCTTCCCGTCCAGTAAGGGCAGTGCGAAAGAAAAGCAAAATACCCTCTCACTCTGGACGAAAATGGCGTCTATGGCAAGGACAACGGGATATTCCACTCATTCGTGAACCTGGGAGGATACCAGCCATCCCGGGTTAGGTTAACGGATCCCCTTACGGAGATAAGTTTCATGGACAGCAAGGTTTCTCTGAGCTTGGTTGAGGATTGCGGGTATGTGTTGAAAGCCTGGGAATTATGGTATGGGAAAGTCAAGGTGCTTACAGCTGTGTGTCGACCAGGTCAACTCGACAGAGAAACCCCCGGTCTTGTCTCTCATCATACCATGGCTACTGGATTGATTCCGATGGACGAGGAAGAGCCGAGAGGTCTGGAATTGGACCTCATATCAAACCACATGAAATCGCGATAATAAAGTCACCATAGCCAAGAGAACACCATGAAAAATCAGGGATGCAGAACCTCAATATTCTTCTCCCCAATGCAAGTAGTGAGCGCCAAGGATCCCAAGCCCGACGAAAAGCCCCATGTCTCTTCCGTGCCCAGATACTTTTTTGTTCCGCTAATTCTAACATACAACCAACTCCTCGCGCCCCCAAGAAAGCTCGCTCAAGCAAACCCAAAGCCTTGCGCGTTCTCCAATGCCATGGAAAGCCTCTCTCTCAGGACATCTTTATCTTTGTACTCTGGCAGCAAAAGCGTACCGTAACACGTGTACGCGGTGGGCAAATGTCCGCCCTCGCCCTCCTCTTCACCGTTTCTTTGCACGACGAACTGCATATTCTTCATGCCACCGACGGGCACACGGTCCGACGCGGTGACGAACTCCAGCAGCCGCCTCTTCATCTTCTCGTCGTAGCGCTTAACAATCGACCAGAAGTCCCGGACGCCGCGGTGAGTCGCGTCCCAGCCGACATATCTGGTGTATCGGCGCAGTTCAGAAATGTCAATCTCCTGGACGCCCTCCACGAGTGATTGGAGGAGTGGCGGAGTCAGGAGCCCGAGTGCCTTAGGATGTAAGCAAGCTCGGAATCCACGCTCGAACGCTTCGTACTGCGGACGAACGGAGACATCCGTCAGGTATTTGATGTAGTCGCTGACGTACGCGTTCCTGTTCTCGTTGGTGACGAGCGGAGCATCCTCGGGATTCCCTTCCACAAGCGACGTCTTAGCAGTCGCCTCGAACTGGGGCCAGCTGCTAGCCTTCCCATCCATCTCCCGAGAAATGGGCTGTCCAAACATGGACACGGAGAATTCGTATGTGCGTGCGAAGACGTCTTCGACAAGACCCTGTTTCTCATCCCATTCAAGCAGTGTCGTCAGTCCCATCGCGAGGTCTGGCCATCCGTCGGCGATATGATGCAATTCGTCCACAGGCTCGCCCAGGAGCTTGCGGTAGAGGGCCTTGGGAAATGTGATGGGCAGCGTCAGGCCGTTATAGACAGCCAATGACACCAACAGACCAAGGATCTCAAATTTCCAGGCTGGTACAACGGAGCCCGGGACGAACCAGGTCATGCGGGTCCTATCGTCGACCGTGAAAGCGCCATGATCGGGATTGAGGCACTCAGCAACAGCGAGGCGGAAGAACTCCTGTTGAACTCCGCCCGAATCGAATCCCTCTTCGCCACCTTCCTCGCCAAGATGGATCTTGAGCGGTCTATGCAGCTCTCTTGCTTCTCGCCGCCAGAGTTGATCGAAAGCATCCCTGATGACGTTCTTACGACTAATCTCGAGGATCAAATACTTTGAGGAGGCTGTCTTCAGAAGGTCTTGCAGAACAAGCTTGTGATGGGGATTGGTAATGAGGCCTCCAGGAGCAACGATCGCCTTCATACGTGTTTGAAGCGAGCTCGATTCCTCATAGCTTCGGCTCATCTTCGAGAAGTTGATGGATCGGAAATAAGACACCAAGGCAGATGGTTCGAAGATGAAGGGGAAGTCCAATAGGTGCTTCTTCTGTCTCGAGGAGGTATGGGTGAGCCAGGCGACAGGCATATTGATTGAGTCCAGCCTCTCGGCAAAGTAATCCACGCGGAATTGTATGTCTCCAAGAAGCAAGTCTTGTCGTTTTTCGTCTGGTGGGGCGGTCAGTTGAATGGGAAATCTCACATGTAATGATTTCAGAACTTACACATAGCAGCAATCAGCGACAACGCTCCACCAAAGGAGCTATCGTATGAGATTTCAGGCTGGCCGTCCCATTGCTGAAGCATCACCGTCTTGGCCCAGTCTAGAAGTAGCGTAGAAACCCTGGACTCGTGGCCAGCTCGCTCGAGCTGGCCCACCCCAGGAGTGGAAGATGAGTACGAGTTAAGTAGGTCAAGTTGGGACAGAAGGGGTCGAAGGGCGTCGAAGTCCTCTTTATTGTCCTCGAGGTTGTCATCTTGCGCAGCCATATCTGCAAAACACCTACGCGCGGATATGGCGGTGAACAAACGCCTCGCCAGCCGGAGTGCCAGATCGTTTGAAAAGGCATCCTCATACAGAAGGCAGAGCCAAGCTGGCTGCCGCGCGAGGGCACCGCTTCCGGCGAGAGCTAGTCCATTAGAACGTATTCGAGACATGTCGAAAAGGATTCGGGGGTCTGTAATCAAAGGGGCCGCGGCCACCAGCGCATGGAGGCATATCGATAGGAGCTGACCTGCTTCGACATTGGCAAGAGATCGATCGGTTCGGCGGAACATTCCGGCAGCGGGGGAACGAAGGGATTGCAGTGACTTGGGTGCTTTGAACAGGCTCCCAGCTGCCATCCACAAACTGTGAAACACCAGGCTTGGAGCCACTCGTGTGAGTCTCAGCATGCAGTACCATATGGTGTGGGAATCGAGCAGTTCGTCGTCCTTGACAAAGGATGCGACTAAACTAACGGGGTCGCTCAAGATATTGAACAGACTTTGCTCAATAAAAAGCTTCCACTGTCTCCGGAGTCTCTTTGGGTAGGTGGCTCGGGAGCTCTGTTTCCTCTGCATTCTGGAAGCCCGGTCCTTGAGTGTGGTGTACGTGCTGGTAATCCTTGGGGGATCAAGGAGGTGGGACTCTGATGTACCGTCATCCTGGAGAATGTCGCACACGAGATCAACCACCTCCACGTTGAGTACTGTCAACGATTGTGGGAGCAAGCTGTCGGCGATCGATACCTCCAGCGGGTCTTGATTCTGTTTCGAATCTTCGGCGGAGTTTGCAACCCGCAAAGGTTGAGCTTCTGAGACCGGCTCATGGGAAACTGGAGTTTCTGCTGGCTGTGGTGGTTTGCTGTTGGCGTGGTTTGTATTGGGTATTGAGTCTGGTTCTTGAACAATCGTTACGGCGTGGCTTTGAGGCGGTACATTATCAAAGAATGATGGTGTCGAGGGTATTTCTGGAATGGCGTAAGGGTTAACGTGAGACGCTTTTGGTGGCCGCAGTGGTTTCTCATAAGCTCCTCCGTTCATCCTTGGGGAGGACAACCCGGACGTAACGTCTTCGGGCAGTGAAGATGTCGGGTATGGCTCGATGGAGAGTTTCCTACTAGGCTTCGAGTTGGCCCGCACCCTAGTGCTTGAACTTCTCTTGGGTTTATTAGGCCGTGAGCTGGGCATCGTTGCACTTGGGTTATGCAGTGTCTGTGACCCCTGAGCGAGGACTGCATCCGATCCTTGTTCCGTGGTCGACTGAGAGACTTCGCCCAAATCTCTCGTATCTGCCTGTGTCAAGGGGGGCGTCGACTGCAAAGGCGTCGACAGGCCTGATGGATTACGGAACATTTGCGGTTCTTCTTTGGAAGGACTTTGTGTCGCCTCTGCCTCCAATGCCGCGACTTTTTGGGACATGGCATCCAGGCCAGCTGGCGTGAGCCATTCCAACATCTTGAAGGCGACGGTCCCAAACACATTGGCTGCGAAAGAACGGTAATCCTTGTTGACAGGTCGTTCGGCAACCTTGAATGGAGGATGTGCAGTGCCTGTTGCCGCATCGAAATGCGAGCGTTCGTGCGTGGCGGATATTGTTGCTCGACGACCAAGTTCCTCGGTACCCTGGGTAGCCCTCATGGAACTGCCATCGCCATTTACCCTGCAGCCCGAACCTGACTTCCGCCTTCTACTATCGCCTGATGTACCTGATCGTTTCGAAAAGGGGTCGCTGAATGCTGGAGGCGCGGGGTTGGAGGAAAATATGAGCGAGTTCAGGGCGGCCGGTGTTTCTTTCGGGGGATTGAGGTAGGGACAGAGCCCAGTCTCTGGGTTGTCCTGGCTGGCCAGGTACACTGCCAAGGTCCTTGCGCTCGTGATGTTATATCTGCGTATTGGCGCTTTGCCTGCGAGACGCTTGCGACAGGAGAAGCAGGTCGAGGTTGTGCATGACTTGGAGTCACATCCGTACCGTAGCTGTTGGACGTACCTAATCAGGGGTTTGTTAGTATGGAGGACACACAATGGAGGCTGAATAACAGTTGAAGACGCACGTTTCTACGAGAATCTGGAAGTTGTGCCGGCGGCTGGCGCGGTGGATAGCGTAGACGCGCTTCGGGTTCTCTATGATCTGTACCATATCCTTCAGTTCGGCCGGCGCATCAGAGGGCAGGCGCGC